GCTAGGGATAACAGAGTTTTTTCAAAACGGAGTTTAGGTATTCGGTCTGCCAAACACCTGTTGAGATTTTGACTGTTAAAGTGTTTTTTTTTTTTTTTTTTTTTTTTGGTGGGGTTTGGGGTTGTGATGGCTGCATGCAACAGCGAAACGGAGCTGAAAAGTAGGTACCCCTACTTTTCAAAACTCTATTTCAACACAGAGTTACAAAACTGATTGTCCAAGCACAAAGTCTTTTGGTAAAATGGAGCTTCGAAGAAAATCCAACGGAGTTACGTAGTTGCCACACAATTATTATTCTATCTACTCTAAAGCCGTTGTATCAATATTAGGGCATATACATGTATATATATCTATATCAATGCTCAACTCATGAAATCATGCATGATCAAAGTCACCGGAATTCAAGACGGTCTATACTTTTCCAGGTGGGTATTTAGAGTACCATGCAGTTAAGCTCCTGGCCGCATGGGAGACTTGATATATATGGTATATTTGATGGTACTAAGAGCTACATGTAGTAATCTAGAAGCAGTTGTACTAGCTACATGTAGCTATAGGCATTCCCGTTAGTAAGTAACACCTACATATAATAATGAATGCTACCTTAGTACGTTTGCTTATCTATAGATTATAATTCAAATCCTTTTGCCAAGCTGGGCTAATCAACTCCCGAGTGATATACTGTGACAGAGATTGCTCGTACACAATAAAACCTTGAGTTCGCATTAGTCTAGAGGGCCTTTGTCGTATGGTCTAATCATAACACATATGGAGACGTCAGGGATCAGTAGTGACAACATAAATACAGAATTCACGTATACTTGGCTCACGAGGCGAGTTACCTCATTATCAATACCTTGTGGTCCCTGATTCTATTTTAATTCAAGGGAAAGAATTGCCGCTTAAGAATTTCGAGGCTTAGAAACCAGAGGGAACATCTCCCAGAATTGTTCTTGGGAGTACGGAGCTTGATTCTATTCACCCCTTCTGTTTTTAGATTTTCTCCAGTGATCGCCATAAAACTAGAGTCTCGGCGTCCCAGAAAATCCTGAGTGTGTATATGAGTGTGGCGTATATGATGAGTCGAGCTAGTTATAATTATCACTACGCCCCACCACAATCAATTACAAAAGCGCTATATATATAGATATAGTGATTGACAATCAGTGTTAACCTCCACACATTATAGCCCTTACTCACTAATCCGACTCGACCACCACCCCACCAGCCGGTACCGACGTTGGTTGCCCATAACTTCTCTTAAACTTTTACAGAATTTGGCAGAAGAATATTATGAGTATTGTGCATTCCTGAGCTGGTATATTACTAACCACTAGTTTAAACTCAAAACTCGAGCTCTGCGAACCCCAATTCTCACTATAGTTCTAATTAAGCAGATCCACAAACCCTGTGATCTAGCCTAACGTAAAACACAAATACGTGGCTCCGACTTGAAGATATGCTCGAGAATTTTAAGCCGATCTCGCATTAGGGGGCCGCTGCTGTATACGATCATGACAATGCATATGATCAGGAGACAGATCAGCCCACTTAACCCACTTAGCCCACAGATTCTGTTTCACGTAAGTAATCTTGTCGAGACCGTCTATCCTGTGGTTACAAGTTGTAAAATAACTTTTTCAGTAATGTTTATAATTGTTCGACCGCTTCCAGCGGACAAATGTTTGAAAACCACAAGTACATGGATGATCATGATCTGTGAATGGTCAGCGTATCGATTCAATTATGGAAATACTATAATTATCAATCTAGGTAATAGTAGCATGGTTACGTGGCCTAATGGTTAAGGCGCTGGTTTTCGGCATAGCTATTCACCAGAGATTGGGGGTTCGAGTCCTCCCGTGATCGATAAATGCGGTTTTTCTCTAATTTGCTATACAGCTATCAGTGTCCCAAGTACTACTTTTACATGAGAGCTATGTTTTTTTACTAAGAAAACACAGTAACATTGTTAATAGTTAGAATTACAATCATCTATGAATTTGCCTAACTACATGTATATTCAAATAATCCTTGTCAGAATTACTAGAATACTCACTAACACACATGTGGATACATATACCTGTATTAGTAAACTTAATTTAATCTTACAATTTCCATCGAGTGACGAACCATGAACAAGGAGTCTTTTTTTTTTTTTGTTTAATTCATTATGAACAAAGTGTCAATGATAGGAAATAATCCCATTACTACGTAAGATCTACAAAGGTGACATTTAGCTAGTAAGAAAAATTTAATTAAGTCGGAATATTTATATTATAATTAGCCATCCCCAAATCCCAATAATATTACTTTTAAATCTTCTCTTACTACAATTAATATAAGAATACATGATGGGGGGATAACGTAATAACGAGTTTGTATGTATGAAATTAGTACCATGGCGTGAAATCAACAATATCAACAATCTACTCAACTCAACTTGTGGTTCTCACTCGCTTCAATCTTTGATTACCAATCATTGGCCATCACTCGGTGATTCGACAGTATAATTCCGATTCGTTTAGGATTAACAGGTCTTGGATACGATCAAAGTTACATGCCACTTTGGAATTTTTCTATTCAGCTAACGTTATGCGAATTTGGGTAAGCTCAGTATACATTAATTCTAATTCGTCTCGTTAGCTACAATCGGAAGGGCGAGTGATTTAATGTGATTATTAGGAACAACCCGAAACGTGTCGCTTTATAATTTAGCCCTCATAAAAATAAAAGGAGAAAAAAAGAAAAACAAACTGCTGAGTTCCTATAAAAGTCTCTCCGAGTATCATGATTCAGAATTGATGATCATCTGCTAAAACCCGGGTATTGATCAAGCTGCCAAGCGATGATCATGAATGACCTAGTCTGCGGCTACAGCGCATAAATCTGGTTAATTTGCGAACATGTATCTTGGTAATGTTGTGGGGTGCCCGCTACACATCGCAATCGAACGACATACCTACATACATTATTTATAAGGCTGTAATGTAAGTAAGGGAGCCTTACATATAGACCCAGTGAAGATTAAGGTCATGTAACATGGATGGTATTTTGTCTCATGCATCCCTAAAAGGGGGCTAGGACCCTGGATCCCGGCAATGTGATCCACAGGGGCTATTGCATTGGTGGGGGCATTTTACTCGAGGACGGGCCGTCCCGTAGCCGCCGCCGGCACCTCGGCCCATAATTCTATGTATTGCGATTTGAGGGGGAACTAAAGCCGACAAGGGGGAGGGGTGGTGGGTTTATCTATATCATGTATACATGTTCCAGTATCGATTATCAATAAAATCTTCATGTCGCATAGGTGTCAATAAGATTTGATTCCCGTGAGCCTGAAATCATTTTACCTGTTCAAGCCCCCACGATTAATTAATGCAAGGGTGGAATAGATCGATGTTTAAAGGCTCGGGTCGAAGCAAAGGCGTTAATTACTTTAGGAGAGTACGTACTTAGCTATGTAGAGTACATGTACCCTATTGTCACAAGTACATTTACGGTACATGGTATTCTACTTCTACTTCAGGGGTGGGGAAAAGTTTGTCTCCAAGACGGCATTCTTGGCACCTTTCTAGCTAGGAATAGAGTTGCCTACCCCTACAAAGTACCCCGTACGCAACTGCTGCACTCTGGATTAGCACTCCATGTACTAATTACCAAAGAAACGCTCGAGGCATGGACACGAGCACCTAATAGAAACTCACATACTCGCTCGGTCCGATATCCCTGGACAATACTCTAGAGAGCTATAATCATGGGTGTAAATACCCGCGAGTTCGAAGGGATTCGACTACATATAAGACTGCAGCCGAAGGCTGCAAAAGGACCCTACAAAGTGGGAAGGAACATCACCAGCCAATTCAACTGCCCATGACAAAGTAAGTCGCCCCCCCCCCCCCCCCCCGCTTTCGATATTGGCCATTGCCGTGTATACGTATCTTAAGATGAAAAAGAAGACCCACGGAACCACTGGAATGTATACTGGCTATATTCAAGGCGGAAAGACAGTTCTCTATTTGAAGCCAATAAGCTTATTGCATGAGTCGAGCGGCGCGTGACCTAAATAGCAATCGGTACTCCTTTGATCTCCGCGCTTTGCTAGCCAATAGCTAATGGCCGGCTATCAGGAGTAATGGGAAGACAATCGAATGCTTCGATGCATGATCACATAATTATGCTTACAGGATGTACTACGCCAGCCTCAGGATCGAAGTTATCGTCCCATATCTGTGCGCCTGTCTTTGCCTCGATGGGGGCCCATCGATATGGTTTAAGCGACGGTATGTAATATGTATAGGTTTAGATTGCTTCCTATCCGTCCTCTTACATCCACTACCCGCATGTCTTTGTTCAGTTCATCTTTGAAATCTGCGGATATCACAAGTTGTCAAACGCTTCCGAGATATGCAAAAACGGTGGTGTTGTTATCAATATCCTCCCAGAGAGGCGAGTCTAATGGACTCGACCATTGGATCCGACTACTTGTACAGTTCTTGTCAACGAGACTTTCTTTCTATGTTCGTGATAACGGCGTACAGATGACGTGGATGAGACAAGAGAGAAGTGATAACGTGTTACCAGTATTGTTAGGCAAGGGTTGCCTGAGTCATGTACCTCCAACTAATTTTGATACAGGTTTCTCGATAGTAAGCTAGGTCTAACCAATACTCTGTTTTTTTTTAAAAAAAAATTCCTATGGAACGGGTAATAAACAGTAAGAACGATGCCTGTTCTCTGCCCCCCTAAAAATTCCAGATAAGAGCTCCATCATTTTTGCAATACGTTGACACATAACTCAACTAGTCCTAGTCTTGATGAAGTGATCCTTCGTCAATATGCACCCGTGAGAAGATCCGGTCATTAGAACCTCTTTTGACAAGCTTGTCCAGCAGTGTAGAATAATTCCTATATTGGAGGCCCGCATTTCAAGGCAAAGTATATGCTCAATCAAAATTGCCAGCCATCCCTACTGCTTCTCTTACATTGTCTTCACCATTCTAGTCTTGCTCCCTGGACCTTAACTCTCTCTGTTTTCTTAGCCCCTCTTCTCGCTTCCTTGCTTTCCTTATCTCTTTATCTTCGTAGCCTTCACTTTTTCTGGTGCCACTACTAAATAAAGTTTCCCCAATTTTTGTAGTGAATGCATCAATTCTTCGCTGGTTCTCCTTGAACCTGAGGTTGCAAACCTTGAGCAAGGTTTTTAAATATATGTCGTCAACTAGCTTTCTTATCTGTCCATTGGGGTGTTCAATTATGCCGATGATCGAATCCATAATGAGGCCATTGCAGCGTATCGCAACCATTGGAAATGAGGACGCCTTAAGACCAGGATTCATTATTCCTGACTCACGAAAGCCCACTGACAGGGCCACCGTGAGAATTTCATTGGCTGTTTTAAGGTCGGCAGTCTGGATGTGAAGAATCTTTTGGAAGCTTGATTAGTGTATTACTTTGACAATGCGAAATTCCGCTCCACATACCATTGGCTCAAACTTCAGATGCACAAAACGGGTGGTAGATGAGATATCGAAATCCACTACATCACCCATTTCTAGCTCTACAGGCTCGCATAGCCCTCCCTTGTTGCTAGCAATATCTGTAACTGCTTTATCCTTTTCACCTCTGAAAAGAATTTCGGCAATTTCTCGATTACTTTTCTTTTCCACGTCGCTCACGGGGTCATGAGAGACGAATAACCATTTCCCGCCCTCTCCCTTCCCCCCAATTCCGGCCTGGCTGGCTCTGTTTCCTCGATCATCCCCTTGTAATTCCTCGGAGCCAATTGGTTCTATACTCTTCTTCACACCCTCAAAAAAGACGCTGATTCTGCCGCTACAGCTACTTGTTGTAAACAGCCGATCATGTTGATTTAATTGGTTAATTAGTGGGAGAATTTGAACATCGATTGATCCCTTGGGGGATGCATCAGGAGCTGTAGAGGCAATCTCAGCTAGTATTCGAGATTTGTTGATCGCGAAGCGGGCTTCTGGCGACGACATTTTTCGAATATATTGTAGAAGGAAAGCGGGGACAAGTGTAGTGGAAGAAGTTTTGATTCAAATTATAGCATCTGATAAGATAAGATTATTGCTCAAATTGTGATGACATCATTTCAGGGGTAACCTCGTCTACCAGACCTTTTCCCCAGGTCACAGCCACAAACCAGCTCTCAAGCATACATACACCAACAACATCAAGTCACAACATCGAAAATGCCACCACGCAAGACCAAATCTGACGCCAAATCTTTCTATTCAGACGAAATGATAACTAAATCTACACGACGGAGCCAGCCAGCCCGCAGGGCCACAGGAAAAAAGAGTCCCTACTTCGAAAGCTCATCGCCTGAGCCGCAGGAGCCCGCGAACGCGAGGCCGAAAAAGAGAGATAGGAGTCCAATTGATATGGTTTCTTCATCCGGTTCTACCAAAAGATTGAAAAGGCCAGAAGAGATTTTTATACCTATCAGACAAGCTAGCCCTGGGGACACCGAGTACCATCCACATAAGATTCATCCCAATACTTTGGATTTTTTGAAGGGTTTGTTTTATCTTCCTACCATGCCCTTGACAGCTCTTTGGGGATCTACTTGCCTTCTGGGTTGTGGGAAGAACCTAAGTAGTCTACTCATGTCCTCAGATTTATAGTGCCAACATGTTGGTGCAATGTACTCCAATCGTTATAAATCCGAGCATGAGTGGGGAGTGCCATCATCAGCTGCTGATTTGGAGACTGGTAACTGTAGCTCTAGCAAAGAACAATGATCGCACATGGTTTAACGGTATGGCTCTATATCTTCTCAATAGAATGGCAATTATTTTTATTATCATTTTCTTCTCTTGGGCTGTATTCACCTTGGCCCACCCACTCTTGATACATCCCACATAATATACGTTTCAATGGGAGAATAACGTAGGTATTACCGCTACAGAAAATAACGGCCTGTTCAAGGGCGCCAAATCCGATTTCGAGTCGTTTATTGAAAATTTGAGCAAGTCAATTATTGCTGAAGTGGATGATACAATTCCGGAACTACCACTAAAAGATTTGGTAGGTCTCCTTGACCCTGATATACTCTATTAATCGAAGTTCTACTTTGCTTCTTTTCAACCTCAATTACTTGCTTTTCCCAGTCGATTGATCCACCTACCCCAAGTCACTAGGCTTCTTAGCAGGCCTGGGACTTCCCTTCTGACTGTATCAGCTTTCCTAATTCTGTATCTACGCACGCTGTATCTCACATGATATTGTATCAGTATTGAGAAATACCCCAAAATAGTTCTGTCGATTTGGGGCCAGAATATCAAAGTCTGTGTAGTATCCTTTATTTATGTTGAGCTGATGAAGATTGGCCTGATGGAACAGATTTTTCGGATCTATAGAGATATCCGATTCAGTAACGATCGAACGCCTTACAAGGTACGTTTCTACTAGTTGGATTTTATAAAGTCGTTTCTTAACATGTAGTGTTTGCTTTCGTCCGTTTATCAATACTCTGTGCACATGTTACCATTGGGGGCCTTGAATTGCCAGAAAGGCATTTGCTAACCGTCCGATTGTTAAAAAAAAGACCCATTTCTCTGCTGCATGGTAATGATACCTTAACTCGTTACTTTTTATCCCCCAATGCGTTCGAATACGACGTGGCTCGCTCGATCCACTCAATTGCGGCTATTGATGATCAAAATTCCAATCCAGAAGAGCTCACTGGGTGGTTGGAAAGATGGAGATGAGGATGGAATATTTCTAATGTATCGTCCTAATTCAGGTCGCGGACGGGCAAAAGGGTCCTTACGCATGCTATTTCTTGTCATTACAGCCCGGAAACTCATTCATAGGTATGTGGCGATCGTTTGTTGTCAAACTCTATTGAGCGATTTTTTCGTTTTTTTTCGTTTTTTTTTTTTCTTTCGTGCGCTTCAGCGCTTGCGCCCAAGTCAATCCACGATCCTTGATCTCACCGATTCTTGCCTCGACCAGGATCGTAGACTAGTCTGAAGCAAGTAACACGGCTTTCTTTGTTTTTCCTCTTTACATGTTCGTGTGCCATGGCTCTTCGAAGGTGTACTGGCTACAGTCTTTTACCGTCTCTTGACGAATACTGCCACTTGACGAACAGGGATTCCAAGTATGGAAAGAAACAGTCAAGCAACAGCCAAGCTACGAGATCTCCGGTTCTTTTAATTTCTATTGGCCCAAAGTCCCCTGTTCGTCAACTGGCAGTATTCGTCAAGAGACGGTAAAAGACTGTAGGTTATGTGGTAAAATGGGCCATTGATTGTCCACGTCGCGTTTTTAAATTTTTTTATTCCAGGCACGATCTAAGTGAACTGGTGTTTTTCCTTTTTATTTTCCCTAAAATTCTCGACACCTTTAACATTAGCTTCCTTGTCGACGGCTTCTCTTCGGTTAGATTAGCGATTATCGGGAAGGAAATTCAAAGCTAACTGCAATGCACAATTACGCAGGAGGTGGTCTCTATCACACTGAAGCCCAACCGCTCAACTTACTACGACGTAACATTGATAAAAATTCTCGACAGATTAAAAGTATACTTGCTGGGGGGGAGTTGGCCAAAGAGTTTTTTGGTGTCCAAGCGGGTGGTAACAAGCAAAAAGCCGTCCAAGCGTTTGTGGAGCGAAATAAGGAGGACGCCTTGAAAACCGCACCAAAGGTAAGTTTTTTTATGAACTCGGTCACCCGTTGGTTGTCTTTCAAACCTTTCCTTCTGCTGTGCCCTTTTTTCCTTTATTTCTTTTCCCTTTCCCTCCGACTCTCTGGATTTCGATCCATAAGAGATCTACGGTGCATTCGGTTCGTCATTTCTCTTTTGACGACGAAATTTTCCCGAAAATAATAGTGCTACTATTGGTTCTTGGTCCCGGAGAAAATTTTGCATCTTGTCTTCCTGAACATATCTTCGGATCAGCTTGTCTAGTCTGGAAAGGGTATCCTGTACCCTGCTATTCCCTTAATACCCCACAAGCCATTGCATCTCATAACAGTTCCCATTTCAATGTTTATCGTGTCTTGCTCCTTGGGCGGTTTATTCCTTGATATTCTGCGGTGTGAATACTACCATGTATGCGTGTCGCCTTTTTGCCCATATTACCCGCTTCTCGTATTTTCGTAAGCCGCTCAAGATGTCTTGTCCCTTCAGCTTTATTTTTCCAGTCGATATTTCTCTTTCTTGTGGTCTGCATAACAATAAGTGGTACATTATTGATAAAGACTTTGCTGAATTGAACTCATCTTCCAGAATTACCCGAAGGATCATAAAGAAATTGAATTGCTGAGACTTAGGAGCTATACGCTTGGGAAACGGTTAAGCGACGAAGAAGTTACTGGAGACGACGTTGTTCAGAGAATAACCAGAATTTTCAAAAACATGGAGCCCTTCGTAAGTCATTTTTTTTTCCCTCTTTCTTGTAAGGGGTCTCGAGCTTCTCGCCTTGTCGTTTTATTTTTTGCCTTTCTTTTTCTAATGTTCCATGGTGGTCTTGTGCATCATCATCCCCGTGGTACATAAGAACTCTTTACTTTTTATTTTGTTTCGGCAGGCAACTAAATGACAGCTGTCTGTACCCCTGTTGTAGATCAGTTATCTCAACAGCGTCGTCATGCCGGACATTAATGTGGAATCTTCGAATGGGGAAGATGCTGTTGTTAGCGGGGACGAGGATAGTGATGGTAACTAGTGGGTACGATTGCGGTTATCGGACATTGCAAGGTTGCATCGGGTACTGCCGGACGCGAAAGCCAGTCTCCTCTTTCGCGGGATACGCACAGACATCGACCTGATTTTCTGGAGGCTCGGACCAAGATGCTGCTGTCACTGAAGTTTGACGTTCTTCGGTCATCCCAGTCTTTTGCCATATGATTTTCTCAAATATTCTTTTTTGAAACTAGTACCAAGACCCTTTCGATTATTTCAAGCGTGTAGGAAAACCTGATTACAACCATATATCGTTAAGCAATGATATCGGCTTTTGTAACTTTTATTTTTATTTGTTCTGGACATTCGAGATTCCCTACATGTTTCGCCCTCCAGTGCTGGCGGATATATATGGACGACATCGCCCGTTTTTCATTATTCTTTGTCGTATGATCCAGTGACCTATTCGGCATGCAGTGGTGTGCTATGCAACACAGAGCTTGAGTAGATTGAAATCTCATCTGCATTGGCTCTCTGATGTGATAGGTGCATTGAGGATTCCTGTCCTTAACCCAAGTAGGTTGTCGGTAGAGTACGGCACTGTATGTAGAGTAGAGTAATTTGGACGGGGCGGCCCGTCACCGAATAGGAGGTTTTGTGGCACAAGCCGCTGACGGGGTCAAGCATTTTGAGAGTTTCTGTCACGATTGGCTAGATGAGGATCTCAAACCGAACCCGAGGAAGCCGCGGCAATACCCAGTTATTGGATGAAAGTTGTGGTTGAGTGGGCTACTAAGCCGGCCGTACGGTCGCCTAGCACGTTTAGAGGCTGAGGTCACTTGCCTGATTTGATGGGTTTCGTTTTTGCAGATGATTGAAACGCGGGGAGCATGCAGGTGGAAGGTTTCGCCAGAATGTTCGATAGCTCAGCTGGGAACGGGAATCGGTTGCTCACCCGTTCGCCTTCTTTGGACCTAGGTTGACAATTGGCTACATGTACTTGTTAGATTCAGGGTCCTCTCTGACTTAGTAACAGCCAGGCGCACAAGAGCCAGAGACTGAATTTCAGGTAAAGAAAGATGCATGTATGTCTTTTCACACCTATCGATTGACCAAATTCTTACCAAGCAGGTGTGAAATTCCTATGTGACACATATGGGTCGAGATTTGAGGGGATATCGACTATGTTGCTGTTTTAGAATACTTGGTACGCGCGTGTAAGCAGCACTACATGTACCTATAGGTACTTAAGTACATATTCCTCTAGAGTACATGTACATGTATACTTATGTAGTCATATAACTGCTGTACTGGGGGCAGGCAAGAAGAACCTGAAAATGTAAGCTGCAAGTAGGGGCTCAATTTGATGTAGCTTTTTGCCAGCCGCGAATCAGAGGTCGTTACCATAAAAAGTCATTTTCAGGTTCTTCTTGCCTGCCCCGAGTAGAGTAACGTTAGCAAGGAATCTACATGTAGCTTCTGGTATTTAGGAGCTCGATATATCATGGCGCAAGACACAAGGAAGGCTAATAGGCCATGACGACGTCTCATGAACAGGTAGGTGCTACATATACGTGTGTTCATTACCTACAAATACTCAGTTACTACATTGCTGTATTGCCCTTATTCGACTTATGTTACTATTCTTTGCCTTGTCCGTGATATATTGTAGACCTGTACGTACTTTGAGTGCGTAGTAATAGGTAGTACTCTCTCTACATGAGCAGAGTCCATTAAGTTAAAAGTATGTGCATATGTCCACATGACTGGTGACATCAATGGCTCAAACCTTTTGCCCTTAGTTTCGGAAGTGCAAGATCGCACAAAGCCCGGGAGCATGTGCATTCCGTCTGCACGGATGAACAACGCACATCACGACCTCCAACCCAACCTCCAACCACCGTAGTTAAGGGCCGCGGTAAGCCTAACGATATGTACCTACATACCTACAGTACACACTCACTCTACAAGCGACTGCTCAACAGAGTTAATCATTTGAATCATCGACAGTGACGTCGGTATATACCCCCCCGTGCAATTTTCTTATGTTTGTACTCGTTTACCACGAAAAGAACCAGAAAATGCAAGTGACGGAAACAGGGATAGTTTGTATGAGAGATCACCGCCACTCCATACAAATAATCCTTGCCCTGAGCAACTGCATTTTCTGGTTCTTTTCGTGGTAAACAAGTATTCTCTCGTGCTGAATCCATGGAGAACCCCTCCCAAACACGTTCGACCCGCATCTCCGGGTGTAATTGCCTGGCCAACCGTGTACCTTGCCCTGAGTACTACTACTATACTACATACACCTCCCCATGCTAACCCCTCAACAACCGGATTGCCTACCTGAGTTGCGATAAGCAGGCCCAATGATTATATATCTTAGGAAATCTATGACGCCTGCACTCCCCTGTGCCTCCGTCTCGGGAGTGTAAGGGTCTCAACCATCGACTCGCAACCTTTTTCTTCTCTTTACTCCTTCGGAAAGAAGAAGAAATAGTTGTCTGCATGTTTCACGACTTGCAATTGCTATTTTACTTACGTCCTACAAGTCAACTACATGATGTATCTACTTGCGGATATATCCACCACCACCACCAGCAGCAGCCCTGGCACCTGCTTTTATCTGGCTGCAAGCTCTCCTTTCCGCGCTCAATCATATCACCTCAATATATATGCAGGTCTTTGAGAGCAGAGCAATGGCAATCCCGGATGTAGGCTGTGAGCTGTGGTCGAACTCTGATTCCTCAATTGTAGTTTCCCATCCCACGGGAGAAGACTGGTGTGCAGTTGTCCTAGAAGGTCAGTCATGGTGCTTGCCTTCGTGTCCGGCCGGCCCTTGTTCTTTCTTTTTTTTTTACTTCTCGAGTATGCCTGGGGATGAACTGTCTCACTTCCCTGAACGTGACTTTGACCCACAACCCACCAACTCGGAGCCTGTATCAGGCACGTAGCTTGCTGCCATCTCCCCCCTCACTTTCCTTTACCTCTGCCCGACGTCTTCACTCCATCCTCACCCCTTTTGAACACTTTTTTGTGGGTGCGTCGAGCTTCTCTTTATCGTCTCTCACTCTCGCATCAGCTGGTCCCTCCCCCCCCCCCCCCCGGGCTTTAATCAATAGAATTTTTCGCCTTCTACTTCCGATCAGATCGTGAGTTGCCAATAGGCCAGGCCAGGGAGGACCTTCTGTCCAGCCAGCCGGCAGGGATTGATCGAGCCTTCATTCGGCGTGCTGTACATGCGCCAGTGTTTACACAGCTATCAACCCACCCCCGTTGGTCGGTCCGCAGCATGTATGTTGACCATCTACCCGCCCGCCGAGTGTCATCATAGCCTCGTCTTAAGCGACTAAGGGCTCAGAAAGTACAGCCAATTCCTAGGTCCAAAACATCATTCACCCTACATACGTACATCCATCCATACAGGCACAATCCACTCTACGGGGTTATTACATCCGATCAACGCATTTTTTCTTCTTTCTTGACTGTTGTTTACTCTACCAGTCGACAATTTATTGTAGCCATAGGTAGGAGGGGATTTTCTGTCTAACATAGCAGAATCAGACGAAAGTCATCCCGGCACCAGCCAAGTACTACGAGGGGGAAAGTCGGATTCCATTGGCGTGCATTGTGTTGTGTTAGTGGTGTCGTCGTCCCTTTATCTGCAATCCCGTTTCTGCAACACTGCATAATATCACTATTACCCCATAGGATATATCATTTGTTTTATTATTTTATTATTGTTCCGTTTTTACTGTTCCGTTTTTTACTATTCCGTTTATTCTATTGCTTTATTGTTCTTGCTGGCCGGCCGTTGACATTTCCAGAACAGAAGAGTGCCATACATTGTTCGGTTTCTCCTGTTACTGCTGCTGTTGCAGCTGCTACTACTACTGGTTTTGCTGGCTGCTATTATTGCTTTAGTTGTGGTTGTGGTTGTGGTTGTGGTTGTTTTTTATTACCTGGTAGTCTTCTGGAGTGAAGTGCATATCATAGAGAGTGGGAGAGAGCGAGAGGTCACCCCGTCATCTGTTGTGCCGTGATCGGTCAGGTCACATATTACCTACATTGCGAGGATCCTTAAACGGACAACCAATACTCGGTTGGGGCAAGGATTGGTTTAGCGCTATTAATGCTTGGGGAGGACAAGACAGCTGCAGTGTTAGGAACATACTCTAGGTAGTGAAGCCTCAAGATTACGCCAGCGAAGTACTACTACAGACACCGGTACCTGGCCATTCTTGATTTTCACAGTGCTGTTCCTACCTCCGAGAACGGTTCCAATTTTCCTTTTTTCATCACCCTTAAACCTCTTCTCCCGTCGTGGTCGTGGTGATCTCAATTGCAGGAGAGCACCGGCAGGTTTTGAAGGAAAATCCAAGCGGCGGGGAGAGGCTCTTTGGTCCCTGCAACCGCACATCTATCTACCGGGTCTACCTATTTTGTCGCCGGCGCGAGCACGACTTCCCCACCATTACCATTATTACCTACCATACTCTGCTCTACTACTACCTATTAACAGTTGTTACCACTATACTACCCCCCTTGTCCTTTCCCCCCCTCTTGCGCGCCGCTACCCGCCCCAAAAGTCGCACCCCTCCCTCCCCATCTTACTTACGTCTGTATCAATAACCCAAAATCCACTCCCCCCCCCCTCTTCCCCTCCCCCTCCATTTCCCCACCACCTGCCTAACAGGCAATTGTTTTTTTTTTTATATATATATTTTTTTACACATTCAGCTAAATAGAAGAGGAGGAGGAGGAGGAGGACGAGAGACAATTCGAAACAAGTCTCGAATCACCATTGACCGCTTTCTTACCCCCGATTCGAGTCGAGTCTCGCATAATTATAACGGAAGCCGCTGGAGTTGATCCGTCCCATCTGCACGCGGCTCCTGTCTCTCCTGCAATCCACCCGCTGCACCCTGACAGCCCGCTCCTTCCCGCTCTCCAGGGAAAAGAAAAAAAAAAGGTTACTTAAGGCTTCTCGTCTGTCCCGGTACTCCGGTTCCAGCGTCATCCCATCTTCTCCGGGATTTTCTAACCCGCCAGCCAACAGTAGGAGGAGCGTCAGCCAGATCAAGAATCAGGATAGAAGAGAGGAACAGGAAGAAGAAGAAGCCTACACCACCACCATCACGGGTTCAATACTGTGGTTTCTCCTCTTTCTTTCCCCTTCTCCGATAGATAGTACATACGCCCCCCATATACATTGCCTTATTTTTACCTTGTTATTGACATTTGCCTTGTTGATTAACATTAAGCACCTGCCCTTCCCTCTCCCCTCCTTCTATCTACCCATACGCCCATTACCCTATCCACCCACACCCACAACCACCCACACCATAGATACTCTCACTCACTCACTCACTCACTCACCACTCCCACACTTACCGGTGCATATCATTACCACCGCCACTACTACCAACGCCTAGCACCCGTGCCATTGCCGACCCCACCCCTCCAATCCAGCCTCCACAACCACCTCCACCACCATCACCACACCCCCCTCCCTCTCCTTTTTTTTCTTCTGACGGGAACCAACGGGCCCTTACATTCCCGCACTGAGATCAGCTGCCCCCCCCCCCCCCCCGGCTCTCCTCCACGCGGCTCCTCTGGTTCGTCAGGTTTCACAGACATTCTATAGCGCATGCCATGCTCCCGCAAAACAGGGCTTGACCTTCCTTTAAACTCGCTGCATCCCATCTTCGCTCAGCCACCTCCCCTCAGAGCTTCAAATGTCCTGGAATCCCCCGCCCAGCGGCAACAATCCCCATCCAAACGAGTGGTCGCCAGAAGAAGACCGTGAAAATCTCGGTGGGCAATCGTCTGAAGAAGAAGACACTGCCGAGAACTACCACCGGAGACAACAACGGTATCCGGAACAACCAGCATCAGTATCAGGATCACCTGTAAGTCCATTCCAATTACAATATCAACTTTAACCTCAATTTCAACCTCAACCTCAATTCAATCCATATTCACACATCCCCCCCCAAAAAAAACTTCCATTCGCCTACTAATAACGTACAGAGTATCCACCATCCTCATCTCCAGCAACATCCCCTCCACCCCCAGCAACACCATCTCCAACACCAACACCAGCAACACCATTCTCATCATCCTCGACAGTCTCCCCCGCCTCCCCCGCCCCCTCCCCCGCCCCAATCACACCAAGTAGGCGACCACAACCCAGATCAAAACATGTCATACGCCGAGATGTATCCGTACAGGATACCCCCACATCAATTGGCGGGATTTCAGCAACCAGCCCCCCGTCAAAGAACGGCAATTGCGTGCAGATATTGCCGGAGACGCAAGGTAAATGCTCACCTCCAATTTCAATCTTAAATGCTAACATATGTAAGATTCGCTGTTCTGGCTTCGAATCTTCCCCAGATGGTAGATGCGCCAACTGCCTGCGATTTAACCAGGAGTGCGTTTTTACGCCAGTCTCCTCACAGGCTCAGGCGTTTGTACCTGCCCATGCAGCGTTCGGTCGTGGTGCGCCTGGTAGGTCATCTCAACAGATGTTATACGGGGCACACGGCCAGCCACTCCCCGCAAGTTATAACCTACCGCCCCCCCCTCCTCCGCCTCCAATGGATTTTCACCCGCCGCAACAGTACCCGCGCCCATCCAGCCCTGGTGGATCTAACCGCCATCCCCCTCCGCCGACGTACAATCACCAGTACGATGAGCGAATGCCTATACATGATGCAGCATCAACAGAGCGCAACAGGGCTCTGGAATTACACCCGCCGCTTCTACCGCCTCCTGTATCCGGTAATCCAGGTCAATCGCATTCCCACCCGAGGCGTGGATCCGCAGGTGATTATCCAAATCGCTACGGCCGGAATGACCCGCCCTCCCCTTCGTCCCATCTTGTACCGCCTCATCCCGCGTATTCCCCACCACCACCAGCGACTGGACCACCGTCAACCTATCAGGGTCAAACTTACGGCCAGGGTCCACCGCCATCAATCCCGGGGAACTACTATCCGCAGGCGCAAAGCTCTGTCTCAAACACGAGCCAGCAGCGACCTAGGTCACCTGTAGGATACCATTCCCCGGGTGATCGCTCAAGCGGCTCGCCGCATCCGTTCCACCCACCGATGCAATACCCGCCGAGACCCACGTCCTCAGGTCCTAATCCGAGCAACCCGAGCAACCATCCCATTCCTTCAATGCAGCTGTCCAATTTGATCGACCCAGGACCCCAGTCGCAAATCACGAATCGGAACAATCAACGGTCTGCCGCGGATGGGGACATGTTGGATAAACTCAGACCGAGGTCAGGGCTTTGATCCATGTGCATAAAATCCTGGGTTGGGGTTGATTTGATCTCTAGGGCTCCTACATAAAACCTTCGACGCAAATCTACCAAACAAACAGCACAGGTTGGATTATGTCTCAAGCGTCGACAAATCAAATGGTTGTTTATTAATTATGCATAATTTCATTTTCTTTTCCTTTTTGAATTTTTCACGTATTGTAACGAATCTTTCAAAAAAAAAAAAAAAAAAAAACAGGCTGCACGTGTGTAGGAACCCACCGACTTCGGCACTCCTAATCAACATGTGAATTGAAAGACTATTTCGTTTTTTTGCTTATAGTTTGTTTCAGTTTTATCTTTTTTACACGGGCTGTTGATTTCTGGTGGCTTTTTTTCGTCGTCTCTTCTCATGTTTCAATTGGTTTTGCCGATTTGCATTTCCCTTCGCGATGATAATGCCAGTATTTACATAGAACGAGATTTGGGGAATCCTTCTATCGAAGGATAGCATCAGTTTTACGTTGGTGGTTTTTTTATACGTCTTTTCCTTTTATCTTTGCTCATTTAGCCCGTAGTTGATTCCGTTCTTTACCCTCATTACTCAGATGTTTATATATTCTCTCTGTACAGTCTTTTATTCTGTCTTTCCCGTCCTTTGATAGCTTGATATCACCACATTCTTTTATTTTGGGGGCTTCGTAAAATATTTCGTGATTATTACTGCATAAATGGTTTCCCCTCTATCATGGGATTTCTGGATAGCCCACTTTGAAAGGCAAAGGGCGTTTATCGTTATTTACTTTTGTTTATGATCTCAAACGTAGCTAGTTTTGTTAGCGCTTCGCGGAATCGGCCAATGTCCAAAAGACCTTTTTTTTTTTTTTTTTTTTTTTTACCTTTGATACGGTAGTATCGTCTGATGAGAGGGCATGACGAATTTGATTTGAATAAAAGTGAGAAACATGCGTACGGCAGTAACGTGGTACGAATGTAGTTGGACTGGTCAAAACCTTTCGGCAGCTAGGTTTATTGGTTGTTTGGCACTTTAGTAAGGCAAAGATCAGACGAAAAAAAAATATATAAAACATAAAAACATAAAATAAAGGGATGGGCGTTGCATTGCATTTGGAATGTTAAAGGGAGAAATGGCCTATTAGGGTTTCGATTGACGTGTATGAAGCTAGTTACCATTGCGTCAAAAACGAAAAACGAAAAACGAAAAAAAAAAAAAAAAAAAAAAAAAAAAAAAGGGTAAAGGGAAGGAAAAGTAAACAGCAAGAAACAGTAGAAAACAAGAAATTCACGGAAGGGAGGCACAAACAAAAAGGAAAAATCCGCATGAGATGCATGCAACGGACCAAGCCTGCGTGCGGTAGACTGTATGTTTATTTCAACAAATGGTGCTAGGACAAATTCCCCAAAGTGTGCTTTCTTTCGTCCGTAACTTGGACAGAGAAGGGGGGGGGGGGGGATGTGTGCAGAAAGAGGAGAGACGAAAGAAAGAAATGTTTCGCAAACCTGCATCATGACCAATCAAATTTCGGGTGCGTGCTCTGAACACTTATGCCTTATGGTGTTATTAAGGACAGTAAGGATAGAGCACTACACAAAGCAGAGTAGTACCTGAAGTACAAGTATCTACACATCACTGACGTCTTCTCCCTCCCTTCCATCCTAGAACGCACCCCACTGGGCGTACAGCGATAGGAATGATCTATGGAAAGAACAGTTATATGGTGCACAGATATTTCGCCATACAATTTCACCCCCCCCCCCCCTGTTTTTCCATAGATCATTCCGGTCGCTGTACATATGGGTTACGTTGCAGCAGTTCCATTTCGTCTTCCCGCCGCTAGTTAAAGAGAAAAAAAAAACCCCCTGCTCGTTCGTCTGTCTATCTGTCTGCCTGCCTGCCTCTCCTGCATCCCACCTCCTCTCCACCGCCCCCGCTTGCCTTATGATGGCCGGTGTGTAGCACTCACATGGCCCTCTCTAATCTTCCCAGGCGGTGGAAACGTCAAGTTGCAAACACGGGTACGCTCGACATCACCGTACGACACGATAGTCCCAAGGGAGGTCTTGTGATGACGATCAATATTGTTATGGTTGTCACAATTGCCGCTCCCTGGGTTCTTGAGGGGGATTATGGCTGTAGGGTCGACTCCATTTCACCCTGTCAAAGTTGTACGGGTCCAGATCTTGGATTGTAATGCAATCATCCAGAGTAGGCCGGCGCTGACGGAATAGGAGTACAATTCTTATGATTGCAAAGACATAGAGCGGGGCTAGCGCAACGGTTATGATGATGATCTATATTAAAGGTGTGCTACATAGCCGAGCAAGGCATTAATTATTGGTATCAAAAAAATTCCTGGAGAAATAGAGGGGGTTCGATAATAACACAATAATCACAGGAAAGCGGGCAAAGGAGATTTTTTTTCTTAATGTAGCACGAGCCGAATATTGATGATCGCATGATCGGAGCCACCCGGCACAGTCATGTTAGAGCCATCATCGAGTGACTTTAGACTAGGCTGAGGAATATGGCCCAACCCAAGTCTACTGCACACACCATCACTCGACCAGGTTATGTTTCGATAACAACCGCATAGACAGCTACCAAAGCCAAGAAAATTGACAGGTTTCGGGAAAATTGAAGCACTCTTGGAACGAAGAAGAATTACTATGACCTAACAGAGGAGATTGTATACATTAGTTCAAAGGCGAGTGATTGTCGTGAGTCAATTTACTCACCAGGAGCTCTAAGAGTTAAGAAGAGGTTGGTGAACCAAGAGATAATTCAAAGGCGTTGAAAAAAGGTGAGAAAGGACTCAGAATATTTTCCCTTCTTGGTTTAAGATATCCCAGATAAAAAAAATATCTCTCTACAATTCATCTTATTGATTTTATCGAGCCTTTACAGTAGAAGCACGTTTTCTCAATAGAAGTATTTCGAATTTCCCAATATGTTTCCTCAATAAAGTTTGAACACTCTTAACGGAAAGCAACAAACTTCTCAATTAGCATGAGCTAGACAAGAGGGGGAACTTTCCTCCACTAACTGGTCAGGGGTTGACCAGAGGAAATTTTTCGGTGAACAATTTTCTGACGATGTGGAATTCAGAGAGCCAAAGAATGTTTCAAAAATTTCTTCCATCGACGCCAAACAGAAACTACAAAACAGACCCCTAGTGCAAACAAGTTGCACCAATATACAGATTAGGGTTAATCGGTCCTTTCCGTCCCATTCCCGTACTTGTCCAGCCATTTGACCAGAGAAATAGACGGTAGTTATAGCTAGTCTCGACTAGGCAGCCCAAACCTCGCCCCAGGATTTTCAAGAAGCTATTCACTTCTCATTCCCGGTTTTTGACCAACGGCTTATCGTCGCGTTCGGGATGAACCCTCTTCATAAAGTCACGAGGCTAAAAATGAGGGGGCGGAATTTCCGTCGCTACTAGAACTAAAAATGTCATCTATTTGCCGCGGAGGTACGCCCAACGCCACAGAAGCCACACAGCCTCACTTATTTAAAATCTCAAATATGCAAATCTAAAGTTTTCTAGCAGCAGTAAAATGCTTATATCCAGCTGAACATTATTAAAGATCACATTGGTGGCTCGAACTAAATACACATTCAACCCCTTCACGCTGTCAAAATAGGTCACGACAACTCATGTCTGGGCACTATACTTTCCCCAGCCCCTGGTACTACATTAATAGTTCACTAATCTTCACTAGCTAGAAGTTAACATCTGGTTTTGAACTAAACTTTCTAAATACACCGCTATAGAAACGGGCGACGGAAACGTGTGTGGCCGGGTCTAGAGACCGGTCCGTGACAGGTCTGTTTTCCTCTAGATCAATGGAGTCCCTAGCTTTACTGACAGTTCGATTAGATATTTCCCTTTAGCGAGTCCACGCAAAAACAAAGCTACAAAACAGTAAGCCGAAATTCCATGGCGGTACGTTGTTTTAGTTATGTCCATCCTATAGCTCTATTTTTGCTCCGAGCGCAAAAAAAAAGATTCACTCAAGACTCCACCTGCGTTACTAGTCCCGCGGAGAACCCGCCGGAAGGCCCTTCTAACTATGGTGCGAACATGATCTTCCTGATATCTTAGAAGCATAGGAGAAACATCTGTAAGTCTTCACCCCTTGTTTACCGTACTACTAAGGAACTAGAGACCACACATATGCATCTGTGTAATCTAACTGATAATGATATACCCCAATGCGAGCAGTGAATATATTCACAGGTGCTTCTACAGCGGGGTGCGTACACGCATTCTCCCAATGGGGGTCATAGCTGAGCCGCTCGGGGGACAAACGCTGCAGTTGAAAATTTGTATCCCAAGCAATGACATAGGAAGTCAGCTGAAATTTGTCACCTTACTGAACGTCACTTTAGCAACGTCAATTCATTGGCTTGCAGCCCAATTGCTTGTGCAGGTATCTAGATATACCAATTACAAATGGGCGGCATGCCTTCAGGTCTCAGCAAGCATGAAACCGTTGTCCCTCCTCAACAGGTGGACAGCACATACTGGCATCCCCGCACAGTCCTGAACACAACTAACCCCTAGCTTTCCTCCCCATTATTATGCAATTACAATGGAGTACCCGCCCCTCCTTTAGAATTCTTCCACCCCTCTTCTCAACAACATTCAATACCCTGTCGTCCATGTACCATCCTGGTCGACGTACCTCTGTGCTTCACATGCATGCCATACCCATACCACAAAGATCAAAAGCTTCTTTAGCCTCCGGTATGGTAGCAATCCGTGATTTCCGGCGGTGTCTGCGGTTGACACCGCCAAACTGCCAACGCACATATAACACATATGTGTAGATACATAGATTCGGAGATAAATCAACCGATATTCGTTGCATACATACATATATGTCCAGGGGTAGAACAAGGCCTGACAAACGCACGGCCCCTCCTGATCTGATTGCGCCATGGGGATCAATCTACCACTATCGTCACTCTAGGCAGAAAAGTAGGCATCAAAGTCGCACAATGCGTGGACTTACCTGAGTTAGTCTTAGTTTCTTACGCCGTGGTGAAGAACCCTCGCTCTACAAGGGACTTCATGAAATGCACCACAGTGTAGGCGATATGATTCGCAGAGGGAAATATCAACTAGAGATTGGTCATATGCCAAGGTCCCATGAGGCTGTATGGAGACACTTTAGAAAAGCTCGAGCCCACTTGTAGGCAGTGCACGCAACTATCTGTACCTAGATAGCAGAGGCCATTTATCTGCATAAAACGAGACACGAGAGGCTTCGCGGGATATCCCATGAGACGACGATGACAACGACAAAGTGAGGTGGAGGCGGTGTGTATGGATTTTGGCGCTAATATTGATAAACCTTCACTGACGGCGAAGTAGAAACATTTACTAAAACAAAAAAAGTAATTCGCTCAGACCTCATGAAAGAGGCCTTGCTTGTTAGTGGGAATATCGCCGGCCTAGTATCAGGGATCTATCCCTCGCTATAGCATGGTTCGAGCCCGCAAACCCGGTTTTCAAAATTTTCAAGCCCAAATCCCACGAGCCGAGCCGAGTCAAGCTATTTCTTCGGCTCGTGATTCGTATGTAAAACTAGCCAGAGGCCTAGAACTTTGTGCCGGGGATTAGGTAGCGAACTAATGGATGGGAGTTTACTGATCAGGCAGTGGGCACAGCATTGTTAAAGAATTTCCGGAGAAGGGGTCTAAGTTCATGGGTCCGATACCCAAGAAGAAGAGGACTCCGTTGATGACACTTCGATACAGAGTGCGAGTTCCCTTCGGTCCACTCACGAAGGACACACTATGAAAAACTTCACTTACGTGTTAGCAAAAGAGAATCGAGTCACAAGTTGGATCGATCCACATACTCACTCGTAAAGCATTCTGCTCCAACGTGTTCCTTGCTCACACGTCAACACAAGCGTACCCTTGGCTTTTGCTTCTTTCTTGCAAGGTGTTAGACTTTTTTGGATGAAGAGGAAATAAGGCTCGAGCTAGATGGAGCTGTTATGTATGTACAATCTCTTTCAACGCACGGTCACAATTGATTCAACAACTCAGCCTATGTTGAAATCAGCAACAAAGATCAATTGCAATGTTACACGTAGTATACAAACGAAACGAATCAATGTCACAAAAAAACTGCAGTGTATGAGTAGATAATGGAGATTTGTGAGTGAAACGAGACGCTCGAGAAAAAATTAGAGGAACAAGCCCTCCTCTTCACTAGAACAGATAGCAATCAGTGATAATGCACATCTCCCTAAGTTCTTATGGAAAGACAATTAAGATAACCACCAGATATGCGTAAGACCTAGGAAATCGATACCGTAAAGATATACGCGCGTAGTAAACAAGATAGAGAAAAGGTGGGAAACGAAAATGACCATAACGGGGAACCATTGTACACTAAAGATGTCAACAAATATTGGGTTAAAGATGAGCGTAAAACACCTTATTAGGGTTTCATTTTGACCGTTGGTTAGTGACCGATCTGGGTACGATCAGAACAAAGGGCAATGAGATAAGTTGTTTTTGGTGATATCGTTCCGTTAATACCGAAGTAGTGGGAGTAGCAATCCCGAAATACCGCCCGTAGTTTCAGAGAAAGCAGGGTCCCAAGAGGCCACAACAACAACAAACTCAACACACTGGTATTCATGTTCTCCAGTTCTACTCGCGAAGGTTCTCCACGAGGAAGCCCCTCGTACCACAGGCGAGGATGATTGCTTCCATGACACGGTTAAAGGAAGATGCAGCCCCCTTCTCTTGAGTGAAGTGGATAACGCTTGTTCCAGTCTTTTTACTACCGCTGTAAGTTCGAATTTCACCAACGAAAGTTACCTCCTTAATGTTAAGGCCTAGAAAGTTGAAGGTTACGATTAGAGTGAGTTCTCAGAGAATAGGATAGCAGAAAAATACAGACTATTTGAGCTCAGTACTCTGGCCCTAAGGATAAGACCTCTGCGATCATCTTCCACGATCTCCAGCCCATGCGTCAGCCAATCCTTGTAGAGCTTGAGAATTTCTTTACGACACTGAAAGGCCGAGATGTTGAACTGGATAGTACGATTCGCAGGCTTGACCTTAAGAATTCTCCAGAGCCAGCTACGTTGGCCCATAACTTTCGAAAATTCGTCCTGATTCCCTGAAACATCGTTATGCTCTTCATCGCTTCTGCCAATTGAAGGAGAGGGGCAACGGCCCAAACTATCTCCTTCGCCTATTCAGGTCAGCAGAGTAATGTCTAAAGCGGAATGATAGAGTAATAGTTGATAGACTCACCAAGCATCGGATTAAATGTTTCGGTGATTCCATTGACCAACTCCTGTTCCTTCTTTGCATCACGGCTAACGAAACGACGCAGCGCATTTCCTGAACGCTTCCCAAAAGTTATCTTCTCTGTGTTTGTGGCTCCACTCGAACGATTCTCATGGGTGCTCGTAGCGCCTGTGACTTCCGAATAATTATCGCCGGGTTTGACCATATTCTTGACATCTTTGACGGTTTTCTTTCCCGTAAAAATACCTAGGAAAGATCGTTTCTTCTTGATATCTTTGTCAATTGTCCCGTCGACAGGCAAACTCGCCTCTTTCGATATCGAATTGCGGTCGCCGCTGCTTGCATTTTTATACCCATAATGTGGGTCACCTTTTTGCGCAAGGCCCTCAAACTGTACAGATATGATATTATCAGGCTTGAGTGCCTCATCCACGATACGGACGGCTTTCTCATTCTCTAGCATTTCCGACTGCGGCTTCCTAGTGGTGCTCCTAGGGCAGATATTAAGTGGCGCTACATTCATGCTTGTGGACGCAAATTCAATATCATGGCCTATCAAATGCGAAGTTCTTTGAGGATTAGGTGCAGACACATTTCGTATGTTTGCGCGGGTGAGAAGATGCTTCTGATGGTCTATCTCCTCTTGATCCAAATACTTTTTCATCAGATTTGGATGGTCCCTCGAGTTCAGTGGGAGCCCCCCCATATTTAACGGCTTACCGCCCTGCGACACAGCACGAAGCTTTTCAGCGCCGTTCATATTCGCCGATGAATCCATGAGTCGATCAAGATGTTCAATGACGGCATCAAGACAACCCTTCTTTGGGACATCGCCGTCATCCTCGGGGGTCTGTAAGGCACCCCCGCCATCATAATATTTTACACTTGAAAGCTCGGAAGGCAGGTTTGGTGACTTCCGTTTGGTCGTACCAAAGAAACTCCCAGAGTAGTCGGTTTGTGTAGATACGGTTGCACGCCCAACAGTTCCTGGAGCATTATCGTCGGAATTGGTGGCACCAGTAGCATTGCTGATATGATCGACAGTAACATCCCCGAGACTCTTAATAGTCCCAAGACTGGTGAATGAAGATCCAATGACAGAGCTATTAAAGGCTCTCTCGCAGGCCTCTTCTAGTTCTTTGCTAACTTTACGCCTCCGTTCGGCCTCCTCGTTCTCCCTCATAAACGACATACGCTCCCTTGAGGCTATCACGCCCCCAGTATTGCGAACATTGGGAACTTTGGGACCGGATAACGAAGAGCTTTCAGTGGCATATTCTCCTCTAGATTTCGGTAGCAACGCTGCAGATGGCTCTCGGAACTTTGGAGTGTCCTCTCGGTCGAAACGGCTCTCCTCATCGACCCAAACCTCTTTGTTGGTGTTATCACGAGCGACGACGAGTTTTGACCTCGATCTTCCTTTGCTACATGAACGATGATGATTGAAGCTCACATGTCGCTTGCTATGTGAATGTCTCGCAGATCTATATGCCGAAGGGCTACTGCTCATATAACTCACCAAGGAAGCTTTAGAATGATGGCCTCTTCTTCCACTGCTTCTACTAGCATGTCGCATTGGGTTGATGAGTGATGATCTAGAAGCAATGACCCTTGGATGAGAGGCCGATTTCTGGCATTTTAAATCCTCGTTATCGGCATATCGCTCGTGGGATGAATGATGTGTTGGACTCGGGTTATGATTATTGTCTTCGATGCGATCACCAAACTCGGTTGTGCGACCTTTCCCTCTTGCATGTGGGCGATAATCGCCGGTATCAGCAGTGTCATTTTGACAATACCGTGCAGCGTTACCAGAACTGTGTCGCTGGGCACGACCGGTGATGGACTTTGTGGGTTGAAGAGAAGATCCCGATTGTTGATTGAGGTCAGAATTTCCAGGGGCATGTTCGGTTCCGGGATAATTCTCAAGGTGCTGTTTCCGGTACTCGAGCAATAAAAAATAGAAAACCTTTTCCTGATTGAACCTGTTGTACCAAAACAAACATCAGAGTTAGTTTTACTCTTATCGCGAGACGCATATAATATATTATCGCAACGGTAAGGAAACTAAATTTCGATCCTCCCGTTTGCTGTCGCACGAGATGTACCACGCGCACGGCCCCCAGTCACCGGGTGCCGGCACAGAGAGCAGAAAGAACACAACATTAAGTTATATGCAGATGTGGACTGCCTTGAAATACTGAAATGAAAACGGTAATATGACCGAGGGCAAGGCAACAGTGATAATAGGGCAAATACGCAGGGTAGGGGTGAAAGAAAAGGGCAGAAATGCTCACACGTTGTTTAATAGCCTTTCAACCAAATCCCTCTCTCGAACACCTTGCCACAACGTCCCTAGGTTTTTCAGAAGCTCACGATCAATGTCTCTGCGGTTTTTTACGGGTCTTCCAATATCCTGTGGACTCGGCGGCTTAGGGCCCCTATCCATCTCGAGGCCTGTTCGTGGGTCGATAGGCGCGTGTTTCCTAACGAGTGGGTGCTTCCAAATCTGCGCCATTGCGATACGTGCTTTTGGGTCGACAGTCAACATACGCCAGATGAGATCTTGCGCTTCGATCGAAAACTCCCGAGGCATAGTGAATCGACCACGAATGACTTTATTCAACAGGTCACGAATGTTATCATCGTCAAATGGGAGAAATCCAGCCAGTAAAACAAACAAAACAATTCCACAGGACCAAATATCGGATTTTACTCCATCATACTCTTTCCCGGAGATGATCTCAGGGGACGCATAATGTGGAGACCCACATGGAGTATTTAAGAGAGACCCCTGGGGCTGTAAAGCAGCCATTCCAAAGTCCGCGATCTTGATGTTCCCATGCGCGTCAAGGAGAAGATTCTCTGGCTTAAGATCACGATGGCAGATATTGAAATGTTGGCAGTAATCTAGACCAGAAAGGATCTGGCGAAAGAACTTCATCGCCTCCGCCTCGGGAAGGCGCCCACGGCGGGTCAGGTATTCAAAGAGTTCGCCCCCCTCGATGTATTCTAGAACAAGGTAACTATGTAGCCCATTAGGAATATTCTGCATAAGTTATCACTCGAATGTTGGGATACTCACAGTTCACCACGATTTTCCCAGACATCCCATAGTCCCATTACATTATCATGGGAAATCAGTTTCATGATGATTACCTCGCGCTCTAGCCCCTGTGGCAACGAGTTGACCTGTCCATGGGCGCCCAGATTACCTCCATTATTGCCCTTGCCGACGATTTTGATAGCAACAAGCTGGCCAGTGTCACAGTGCTTAGCAAGCCTAACTCTTCCAGTGCTGCCTTTTCCCAAAGTGCGGCCAAGGATCCATGGCCCAACTTGTGCCTTGCGCTTTCGAGGCTGTTGGGACTTTGGGGTTGAAGTAGCTGCATTGGCCTTAGTGGCCGCAGGACGATTGAGGTGGTATCCCTCCGATGGGCCGCTTTCGGATTCTGGATTCCCATAGTATGAATTTTCGTCCCCTTGGTTATACCGAGGATTTGGCCTTGTATTCCTTGAAGACTGTAGCTTCGAAATGTAACGCGCGGGCGTTGGTGAGGAGTAATTATTCGTAGTGGCTGTGGTATCCTGCAATGGATGACGCATTGCCCGACCAGGGCTATTCAGACTTCCTCGGTTCTCAGAATGAGGGTCCATTGCAAAACAGCGCTCCAGATTGATATTATGCTATTACTAAAAGGCAAACGATAGTGCGTCAGTAAAGGTTAAAATAGGCACGGGAAGATTGCAAAGCTCTGGAAATATTGACATACCAGTCAAGGATCAGCCTTTTCTCGCAAAATGATCCCGAGAGTTAGGCAGGCAATGAATGGCGAACTACAGATGCCCGATTTCTGATAATCAAGGCAGCCTCCTAAAACCAGATGATCAAGTGGTTCTAGGATGTTAAAGGAAGGAAATGCTTGGATAGAGAGACAGAACGTTACTCCAGACACAGAGCCAGCGACGAATTCAGATCGAGAGATGAAGGGTAAAACGAGCGAACTAGAGCTGACACACTTTCTTACCCTCAGAAGGAATGTGATAAAAAGAGTGTAAAGAGGGAAAATAAAGGCAAATGCTAAAGAAAAGAGTCGTGAAAGATTTAATTTCTCATCACAGACTGAAGATATGTAAAGAAGAGAGGGACCGTGGGGACAAAATGTCGTGATGAAGGGAGATGAAGAGAGCGTGGGGAGGGTGAAGAAGGAAAGACAGATGGTGGAGGTGAAGTGTAGAGGAAAGGGAGAAGAAGGTGCAGAGGAAACATAGAATGTGTAACAGAAAAATCACCAAACCTACACCGAAGTCAAAGGAAGGCATGTACAATGAACGTACTACTCTTCTCCAAGGGGGCTTACAATTGGACTTGTGGAATGGACAGTTACATATCTCCCAGCAGATGCCCATGAACGCCTCCTCGTTTATCGCCTAGCAGGGAAGCTGTCGATCACCCGTTATCACCACGTGCGGAAAGGTACTGTTAAACCAAACTTGGCAAGGCGTTCATTCGTCAAATGCAGATCCCAGGTCCCCTTAATAGAGCCGCATGCCTAACCTGACGACTTAGAGAATGGTTGCTGCACCTGTACAGTACCTTGCTGCCGTTAACTTGTAAAAAAAATCACAATCAAAACCTCTTCATGTAGGCATCGTCACGTTCTAGGGCTGACATCCATAACGAATCACTGCATACGCCGAAAACACAGTCAAAGCTACCGCCGTGTACTACAATGTATCGTGTCTTGGCCCTTCCCTCTCTACCTTCAAGCACAAAAATATCATTCTCAGTGGGTAGTATTTTGGAACAAGCGAGGTCCTAGCAAGGCACAATAAGTACCCTAGGCTTCTCACTTGGAAACTCCAGCGCCAATGCAACCTAAACAGGACGCAAATGTTGCGAGTCAGAATCATGTGCAAATGGTTTAATGCCAATTTATAATATTGATTTTGATTTTGTATCCATTGTGTAATCTTACAGTACATCTCATCGTCGATAAGACCCGGCCTCCGGTTGACATCCCACACCAATAAACGAGAAAAAAGGTATAAAAACAATACCTTTGAATGAAAAGAAAAGAAAGAAAAAATGAGAGAAAACCAGTCCCAACCAATCCCGATATAAAGCACAGCAACACCACTAAATCACTTCCTCCACATTGCCTTGTTGGTCGTAAGAACGTACCCCCCCCCCCCTTCTCCCCACACGACCGGCTTAATAGAAGTAAAAATATCCCCAGAGCCAGATTATGAGACCCTTAATAGTAACACACCAAAAAGATAAAGATGCAAGGAAAAATGAACCAAAAAAGAAACCCCGCCCAAGAAAACACCTATATCAAAACAAATGCCGAGCAAATAACCCCAGCTGCCTTAAGTTTTCAGTTTAAAAAAAAGGAACCAACAAAGGAAACAAACACCGACTCGCTGCAGAAAATGCCATCAAATAACAAATACACTAACGACCATAGTGCACCACGTCCCCTCTCCAATGAACAAAAGAGAAAAAAAGTAGATGTGCAATGAATATATCTCAGTATAAAACATGAATGGTATAGTAGATAAAAGAGATAGTTTACAGTCCCCATTGATTGAGGCTTATGAAGTACTACCGCTCGAGCTTAATCGAGGCAGCACTGGGATTTGACTGTTGTACGTGGTTGCTGCTCAAAACTCTTGAACTGCTTGGGGAACTTGAAGGCGATTGCTTTGAGTCCTGATCCCGTGGATTTGTGTTATTCTGGGCATCTGCCTTTCCGCAGCCTTTCACAAGACGATGTCTCTATAATTCCAATTAGTATTCTGATACTTTATATATTGTTAAAGAATTGTATCCTTACCTTAAGAGCATCTTTTCTGCTGAAGCTTTTTTCGCAGTTACTGCAAGGGAAAGGCTTTACTGCTAGATGTATCCTCTTGTGTCTTTTTAAGTCATGGTTTCTGTTGAAACTCTGTGGGCACTGATCGCACTTGTAAGGTCTCTCGGCCTGTTGTTGCTGTTGATGATGATGGTGTGACATCATTGCGTGTGGATGACCAGCCAGCATACCTCCAGGACCCATAACCTGACCACCCATTCCCGGAAGAGAGGGATAGCTTGATTTAAAGTTGGGTTGAAGTGGAATGAGCGGGGGGTAGTGAGGAGTTTGGAATGGTCGACCAGCCGATGGGGGGCCCGACATTTGAATTGGCGGAGATGTCGTATACGAAGGGCTATGCTGTTGGCCGTAGTATGATTGAGAGGGTGCGGGAGGTGGTAGCGAGCCCTGTGGGGAATAAGGGTCTTGGGGCTGAGACTGACTATTTATTGGCGGGTGTGATGCGGAGCCAGCTGATGCATAAGCAGCGGGATAACTGTGAACGCCCGGACCTTGACCTATCGATGGCAGGCCTGATCCCGCTGAGGCAGAAATTGGGTGCACACCAGCTCCCGTTGTCATAGGCATTCCGCCTGAGAAAGACGAGGCTGTACTTTCGTAGTGCGTTGACTGGGGAACTAGTTCACCAGTTGCGGGGCTAGAAGGTCTACTATTTCCTCTATTGATAGAAAGAGGCCCACCATTACCGGAAAATCCTCTCATACCACCAAAGCTAGAATTTGGTGCATTTGAAGAGTAAGATGGATTCGCAGGCGCTGAGTTGTATCCATAAGATGCAGTGTTCGAAGGCGAAGTCCAATACCCGCCAACTGACCCGACAGGTGAAAATGAAGCCATGGTTGATACCGTGCCAACACTGCTTGCCCCACTACTCATTGGGCTTGTCATCTCATTTGGTCCAACCGGAGGTGGTGTCAAGACACTTGTAAAGGATGAGAAGGGCGGTCGAGTTGTGCTCAAATGGAACTGGGGGAGTGGGTGCTGTTGTCTTCGCGCAGCAAGCCCAGATGTGGACAAGATGTTCGACCCACTCTCATGGGTACTCATTAATGAGGAAGCTTGTGCTAGTGTTACCGCCACGTTGGAGTATTCTTCACGAGAGCCTTGTTGTGAAAAGGGTCTTGCGTCTGCGTCACTGGTGTTTGGTGGAGTAGGAAGGGTCCTAGTTGTCGAAGATGTAAGAGTATAAGGCGTTGACTGAGGAAGGTATGAGATGGAGTTTGGAGGAGATGTATTAGATATTAATGAAGGAGCCAAGACTGAGTGAGATGAACCCGCAGTTGAAGAAGCCCCTGTAGAACCTCCCCAATAATGGGCTTGTTGGCCCTGGGAGGGATCCAGGGAGGGCAACGAGTACTTGTCTGCCGTGCTAAGGGTCGGCGATGGATATGCTGACTGAGGAGTGGGTGGTATAAAGAGTTGAGGAGGGTAAAAGTTGTCCCGTGGGAACGGGGGAAAGCTGAGGGTCGCCGTGGTGAAGGTTGTTTAGAGTAAGCCCTTAGAAGGGATTTTGTAGGTTGAGTATACTGAGGCGAATTCTCTCAAAGTATACTGCGTAATGTGCAAATGCTGTTATCCTAGGTAGGCGCGGGGGGAGTTGGTGTTGTATATGTGCCAGCGAAATATAATGAGACACCTTTTTAAATCGTGCAACAGCCTGTCAGGTCAGGTCAGTTATATGTTATGTTGCACATTGGGGGGAGAATATTGAAAGACAGCGGTACAACCCGCCAGATTGGTAAGGGCGTCAAGCAGGGAGGTGCTGGATGGTAAACTACCTAATGATAATGGGCGGCTGTATGTATTGAATAGATTTGACTGTTTAGCAATCGAAGTTGGATAGCGTTGGATAGTTGAATTATTTGGAATAGTTGGAATGGAATAGTTGGAATGTGATGAATAGTAGGTGAAATAGTAGCAGTTGAAATGGTTGAAGAAGTAAAATGAGAAGAGGTAGAATTGGTATATAGTAATTGTTGATGTTTGACCCGAAGAGAGCAAGAGGCCGACGATCACCACGTTTCTTCCCTGCCGTGAGCAAGCCCTTTGGTGAGTGATCTACAAGAAAGAAAGCAACGGGCCCGAAGGTATGGTATCGAGACAGGAACCACTCCTCTTTTTTTTTGTTAAACGAGAAACCTCTGCAAACTTGGGGTAACGCAGGAGGGTTTATTCAGCCAAGGTTCTTTGCAGAAGTAATTGAAAGGGCTGAATTGAAGGCTTTATGATGGCTGTCGGGAATGGCTGGAGAAAAACGTGTCCAAGAGCGCCTCTGAGGAGATATATACGTCAAGTGAACAAAACTTGATGTGGGCGAAGAGATACAAAGTAGGGGCAAGAAACAGAGGGTGGGAAATATCGAACGTAAAAAGCAAAATAAGCAAAATTATGGTAAAGCTGACAGGCCGCGCGCGGCGGTAGTATTTTTTTTTTCTTCCCACGAAGCGCAATTATTCTTGCAAATCCTCTGCCCTTCTCCCTCACACTTTCTTCGCTCGAAAGATATGCGTAGAAAGCTACCCCCCTCCCCAGGTAATGCACCTCCTTCTATCAAGACAGAAAAAGTCTTAGCTTAAAGCGGGCTGGAGGGAAAGGCTGCAGAGACAGGGGGATTGCAACTGGATCTCAAAATCGAGAGACCAGGGTTGGGGGGCAAAAAAAAAAAAAAAAAAAAGAGGAGGAGGAGACGGCTTGGTCTTCCCCCTGGCCTTTGCCGTAGCGTCTCGGCTTGAATTGACTTGTGAAGTGAGACAACAGCCCGAATGGAGCGGTATTGGGTTCACGGGTCGCACTGGCGCGTCTTGAACACACCGCAAAAGCACCAGGACAGGCAGCAAAGCAGATGATTGATGTTGATACTTGATGGGAACAGCCGAGTCGCGTGGATCCCAATCAATATCTGGATATAACTATCCCAGTAGTTGATCAATGATCCAATTGAGGGTCAGACTGCTCTTGATGGTCAGAGATCTATATGATCTAAACGAAAGGATGTGATGTATGGAATTGGATACTATAATAGATAGAGATATAAGATGAAGGATATATGTACCTTTTCTTAACAGCAGGAGTGGGGGCATGTTAAATTATTAGATCGAAGCTGCACATGGAAATAAAACATAAAAATTTGATAAGGGCTGAGCGGAAACAAAAAGTAAAATCTCACGAAGCGTAAAGGACAAATGGTCAACTACACATGCCCATCCACACCACGTCTGATAATCAAAGGCAGGAGCATGATGATTGACAGAACAGGATGGGACGAAAGACAGAAACATTTGTCTGTATCCATTTCACAGTGACGTTAACTATTGTTAGTACCCCAGTTAGTATTTGAGTTTCTCGCCCCCCATAAAACAAACAATATGCCGATATCAGAAGAATTAAACTCTTCAAGAGTCCTTGACGGATAGGAAAGGGGCACCCCACCAACATGTTCAAATCTAGGCCCCTCATTCCCAGTCCATTCACCTGCGTGCGATGCGCAGATGCGAAGGCAAGGTGGCCGAGAGGAGCAGGGACGTACCGCTTGCGGAGTCCCTGGCTATGCGAGATTGGGTATGGCGGCGTGAATTAGGTTACTGGGATGGGCAGTGATTGGTGGTCAACAGTCGGAGGGGGGGGGAAGGGTGGCCACTGCTCGATGGCTGTGAGACTGCATGTCTCACGCTCTAGACGAGGGTAACTAAGGCAAAGTACTCTACACAACGTGGACGTGGTGTGCCTCTTTCTCCAGAGTTTGTGCTTGTGAAACGTCCACATGCTGTGCGATTTCTTTCTTTGGACTATTCATCTTAAGCACACAACCATAACCTAAGTCATGGACCTTTCAGTCTTCGAGGGAGAAGATTTTTATTTCTCAGCATGCACAACTCGTCCAATTAAACAAACATTGGCCAACATATCTCAGTGCAGACCACGATGGGTCTTACCTTTGTTCTTTGTTTCCGTGCATATCGACTTGTAGGTACAAACCTTTTCGTGGCCGCGAATTGGATAAATCTTTTCCCAATTGGAAGCTCGCTTATACGCATGCAAAATTTCTTTCTTAGAAAAAGCTGAGACATTCATCGATGAAAATTATGTCTCTGTTTGCTTTTTTTTCGTTACTTCCCCGCTTTGATTGGACAAACAACCGAAAAAGATAGTTCCTTTTGCCTGGGTACCTCCCGGCCTCCCCGACGGCCAAATCACGGATGCGCGCTGAACTGCTGGGGTCCCTCATCAAATAGATCCATATCCAGATCCGCCGTAACGCACCCGCTGCTGCTGCCCCACTTCTTCTTCCCCCAGGTCGTTTTCCGCAAACGGGTTTGGGTGCCACGCATAAACCACGCGAATGACAGTGTCAAAAAAATCCAGTGGACGCTGTGCCCGGAGGGAAAAAGAAATAACCGGCCTGTACTCGTAGCTTTATAGCGTTTCCGAACACGACCAATATTGCATGACATACAAAAAGGTGGGTTTGGCGCTTTTTCGTATGTCATGCAATATTGGTCGTGTTCGGAAACGCTATAAAGCTACGAGTAGTTGATCTTACAGATGGGGTGATAGACAACACAGGAAGCTGACTAGAGATATCGTTTGATAATGTTTAGCTACTATTTCGAGTTCCAGATCTCCCAAACGGGGAAGACCGGACCTAATGAATTCCCGTGCAGTAGAACTCTGTTTGCAGAGCTGCTTTCCTCTTTGGGGTTTGTAAAGAACAGTAAATTACTTACTTTATGTCTGATGGGAACATCTAGACCAATGTTGTTCTAGGCGCGATAGGATAAACGGTTGATTCACATGGACTTGTGTGCAACTATTGGAACAAAGGCTATAAAACGTCGCCTGAAAGCAGATCGTCTCGATTAAGCGAATTAATTCAAGACAAGGGTCTGATTGTGAATTCAACGTTGGGAAAGGGGGTTCAGTACGACTAGCAAAAAGTAAAACACCAGTGTCTGATAGATACCGTCCCAGAAATGCTATGGAAAGCGAGTTCTTGGGCCCATCACGAACGAAAGTAGAAATGTTGTACGGCATCTTCGACCCGGCAGGCAGGTTCACCGGTGGGTATCTACCCGGAACATGTTGATACCGTGTGGTTGCCAGCCTACATAACTGTTCTCGGGACAGCTGGCGGCTGTACGAGGGCTGTGAGATTTCTGGGGTCAAGTATATCCAATTAGGGTAGATACGTACTCTTAGACATCGTATGCAGCAGCCAGATTCTACGGATAGCCCACGATCACGATTTTGTCGACCATGGTGTTGTTCCTTCTGCTACAACCCCCCTATGATGAACTTTGAAGGCGCCATGTCCTCCCAAGCCGCCCGGAAGCCGACCATGTAGCGACATCTGAGACAATGTCTCACAGCTTCAATGGTGGCTATAAATGTTCCAAATGGGATTAGTAACTTTGATTGTTGGTGAACATCATCCCAACTACCTGGTGCAAGGGAAAAGCCGAACGCCCCCGAAAGCTTCGATACTGCCCCCTCCCATTTCTATTCCCCGGCCTCCGACATGCACAAATCAAAATTATTCGGCAATTTAGAAAGTGGTGTAGCATCTCTCGACCCGATACGTTTTGAAGGCGGTTCAAACCGAGGGATTGCGACAGACCGCTCCAAGCCACCAATCCCATCACTGCGGCTCACATCCTTGTCCAACAATGTCTTCCCGCGTAGAGCATATTGTTAATACTTTTGTCATTGTAGGAATACGACATATTTTTCGCCACAGACAAAATGGGCGTCTAAAAACGACGAACTGTATCAACTGTTGCTTGTAATTGTTGCACTTCGGCCCCACGAACCAAAAACACTGATAGCATCGATAACACCGATTATCCCCTAAGGGCCATAACAATACTGGCCAGGTATAATAATATGTGTATAATATTATATTAGCAGTATTATAATGAAGACTTGTGTCATCAGCTTCTGGCAGAGGATAATCATTCCAAATACTGATATCCTCAACGCTTTCGTCAGTTGGTTTGGAGGGCTGAAAAGGCCAGGGCCCAATGCTTCGTTACCACCATAGCTCTGACATCTTCAGAGCCCAGGTACGTACATATACGCGCGTGAAACTTCGGTGGACCCCACCTTCACTTACGCCATAACCCCCACATAAAGCGATATGGCGGTACTTGGGCGCGAGGGTAAGGACGTCAAAGTTAGTTTTTTCCCAATGGAGTAGACTTTGGCCGCTTAAATTGAGTCCCTAGTCCTATTTCATACCCAAGGGGGCTGAATTAAACTACCCCAAACCTTTGGCACTGACAGTACTCTGTTAATCCCACGTGGCTCTCGACGGGTGCCCTCCGTAAGATGTGTATCCAGTCTGTAGGTAACGAACGTCTGGGATCACATTCTGACGGTTACCATCGTCCTGAACCCAGTGGTAAGAATGCACATGTACAAGATGATGTGATGCTAGATCAATGATCTTGATCACCTGGCACAGACCGCAATTACCTTAAGCCAACTGTTCAGACTCCTATTGATTCCATTAGGCAATTACATCAGAATAGTAGGTGGATAAGTATTCTCCATTCAAGATGGGTTAGCCCTACATTAATTTCTGCAATTATCATTAGCATAATTGAATCTATAGGCTATAGCGCTCCTAAACATCGTGAACATCGGGCCCTGTGTGTGCGGAACCTTCAAAAGAGGGGGCATTATCAAGTTGGATGGTCTTAGTTCGTGGTATGACATTTGTCTTCCTCTTCGGCTAGCGGTTACAGAAAGTACACGGTGCAGTTTAATTCTCTCATGACGAACTTTACATGGGGTGCCCGGACTGGAAAATTTTCTATCATGATAGTTTTGGGTAGATCTAAGCGTGTGGCAAATTTTCCGAGATTTCTGATATCTTTTTCCTGCACCAGCGACGGACGACATCGGCGGTGTCAACCCCGACAATTACGAAACCTATAGCAGGCTTTTGATTCTGGCCTCGAACGTGCAATACCTACGCCATGATGAGTCCCTGCAGTCTTTCCAGTGTAATGTCTAAGTGTCAGTTAATAAGATAGGTGTGAGGATATGTATGATCGATCATTCACCGATGCTACATAGGTTTCTAGAGTACTATCAGTACCACCTACGTGACCTGGTGGTGCCAACCGTAAGGAATTGTCAGGGATTGGCTGATCCATAGACCACTCGATCTGATTCGCCCCTCTATCTCCTCATAAGGGCCCAACAGCACAGCCGAGGGTCTAGATCAACACCGCATACTGTGGGGCCGATGGTCCCAAGGCTACGGTTAAATTAAGCATTGACAATTCTATGTCTCGCTGATAAACAATTCATCTTCCCCAGTGGGTCCAATAAGGGCGATAGTTAACAACCTGACGATATTGGCTCGGGTATGGTCCTGAAGAAATTCCTCTTTCATTGGGGAATATGATTTCTTGTTTGAAAAGCGATTATATATATTAGGAAGGTCCCAATGTGCCAGTTGCGATAGTTTCTTTGCAGAATTTGGGTTTTTCGGACCTTTCTTGACAAGAATGCGGGCTGCAGACTGCAGACTGCACTGCCCGACCGTTTGCTGTTCTTTTTTTTTTTTCCCTTTAGGTACCCCTCCCTCAAATATTTAGTCGGTAAAACAACGTGGCCTAGAATCCAGATCTCCGCGCGGAGAGGACTGGAGAAAGGTGGAAGCGAAGACAAAAAGGCCCTACTCTAGAAGGCCACGCGGAAGGGTTGACTTGCAGATGCCACATATGCGCCTCGGCATTTTCTGCTCCCTGAAGTTGTGAACCCTTGCCTAGCTTCCCCGGTCTAAATCATATGTGGTTAGCATTCAAGCGGGAAGCCGCTGGTTCAGATGTGCGCCAACGTCGCATCTTCAACGACTGAGCGTGAGGATGGGGGAATTCTCGACTTTCTCGACGGGGAAGCTGGAGGGGAGCAAAACACGACAGACACATACATCATGCAGGCTTCGGCCAGAATACCGCGATACCGCTGAAAGTAGGGTTTATTCGGAAAAATAATTTTGCGCATTGGTACATACTCTGCTCTTATGTGGTACAATCGCGATTTTTCCCTATCTGGCCGCATTGGAAAGAAATCCAATTGAATCATAATCATATTCAACGAAGATAGAAAAACAGTCTGTGTACGTGTGGTTTTTGTCGTCACTGAGCGGGCATGAAACCAAACTTGCCTTCTGAAATCCCACCAGGCAACTCGAGTCGAAAGGCCCCACTCTGTCCTGTCCACCGTTTTGTCGCAATTCATGGGGGCTGGGACCCATAAAAGACAAGATTGAAAGCTTGGTGCCAGGTTTCTGGCGATCTTGTTTAAATTTGTAAAAAGAATCCCGGTGGCGATCTTCCTGGGATCATTCCTCCCCCTTCAACCTCTGGGATTTGATTGACATTTCAATTTGCAACCTCATTTGAGGTTTCGTTGCCCTATTTTTACTTTTTCTTTTTGTCTTGCCGGCCGACAATTAACAGACTGCTAACTACTGCAGGTACTGTTATGTACCGGTCCTTTTCAGAGGGAAAAACAGGTAGTGCCATGAGGGAAGGATAGCCGGGTGGCCATGCTGAATTATTGATTCCGGGCAGTACCTATATTTTCTCCAAGTAAAGGTCAGAAGTTTTTATTCTTCTAACCCCTTGTTCCCCTCAAGATCAAGCCAATACGTACATTATATAGTTCTAGGACATAAATCATCGTATGGGGCGGCGTAGCAACGGGTTTCGACACCTCACGCCCCATCATGACTACCCACCCAGCAACCACAATTGACCCTTTGGAGAGCTGTTTTTTTGTATAGTTGTTCAATAGTAGCTAAATAAAGATAATTGGACATTCAATATCTTGTATACCAACCCCTTGCCTTTATCCCTTGGACGGATGAAAGTTGTCAAATTCGCGACTACACTCTTTCAGCTATCACTAGCCTGATGTAGTAGTTATTGGAAATTCTTGATTGGCTCTGTTGTTGTTGCCAACCGTAAAAAGCAAGATAATTCCCTTACTAAGTTGTGCACGGTCCAGGTCGCGAATTTGACAACTTTCATCCGTCCAAGGGATAACAGCTCTATTCTCCTAGGCATGCTCTCAACTAGCTACCAAATCTCTAGAGAATAAATCATCAGGTAACAGTTCCCAGCAATGAATTAGACCTTCCTCCACAAGGGGCTTCAATACTTAAGGTGATCTAGTATCATATCCCAAATGGGGTAGTGTTGATGGTAAAGCTTCTTGAGATGTACTCAAACATGTTCAATGGGATTTAAGTCAGGGGAATAGGTAAGCTAGTCCTCCAGAACATCTACCCCACACTCCTCCAACCGCTGAGTTGTAAGGGTTGTGGTGTATACCTTTACAAACTTAATAGTTGTAGGAGCATGGGGTACACTGTCTCTGGGCACCATCAATAATTATAAAAAAAATTTGTGGTCAGGCATTGCAGTCAGGCGTTGCGGCGTTGCGACCTCACCTTCCGATGATTTATGGCATCGCGCTGTACATACATGTAGAGATATTTGCTCTACTGGTGAGCGCAGTTTCCCCCAGAAATCAAGTCTCAGTAATTAAGATCAGCCCTTTCAGTCCTTAGCTACCAAAAATGTACTGCGCAGCAACTATTTTAGGCAACCTAATCCAACTAACCTTCGGTAGATAAAGCTTTTAGAGCAGCCCAACACGCGGTTCCTGTTGGCTGGTGTTGAGATTTAAGCGATGGTTCAAACGGTAACTTCCGCGAGCCGCTGATGTGTAACGTAATTTGTGACACCAGCTGAGAGTGCTGTTTACCAGTTAGAGAGAGAGGGGAGCACAGAGGATGCCCCCACCAGGCAAATGGTTTATCTCTCTCCCTCACTCTCCATATGAAGCAACCATAAACTGGGCCGTAATCTTGCATGAGGCAGCAAGTATGTATGGCGAATCAGGAATACGCTAGGGCAGATTCACAGGGCCCATTGGAATGGATCCAGATTGAGATTCGAGCGCGAGCAGTCTCTAAACCCATGTAGTTATCCACTCTCCAACTGCATACCTCCTCATGTATTGCGGTATCTCGCTGTGGTCTGAGTGCGAAGCTAGAGTCGCCTTGAGTGTAGTCTCTGTTACTGTTCAACGGTCCTGTAACTCCGCGATAGCCACTTGAGTTCCGCCTACGGGACAGAGCTAGAGATCAAAGTCTCAGTCTCAAGAAACCCCATAAATAAAACCAACACAGCCTGTAAACCATTTACATAGGCAGGTACCTACATACCGTAACAAACATACATACATACATAGGTAGTAGAAACAGCAATAATTTGGAATGATTCTCTGACTTGAGTTGTTTGCGCAGTTGATCAATCAATTTCCCCTAAATGACTCACTTGGTCATTCGACGAATGTCTTTCTTTACAGCTACAGTTACCATTTATGTAAACATCTGAGATCTTACAGTCCACACGGCATGTGCAACGTGTGACTAAAAAAGCCCTTGGCCTTCTGGGGGGTGCTATTAAAGGGATTATCATGGGCTCACATGACCTGCGCTGATGCGCTAGGAGGCTGTCCCGCAAAACCTAAAAGATAAGCTTGAACCTCTGGCTACACAATATACACTGAAATGAGCATAACCTACATGACATGAGCAACAACCAGTGTCAACCACAGCCGGTGAAATGGAGAAGACAACTCGAAAACACAGATCGAGATGGAAAGAAAGAAAGAAGAAAAAAACTGGGGAAGAGAGATAGAGAAAGTTTTAGCCTTGTTTCCTCTAGTGCATCGAGATATTCTAAGATAGTCACGCAGTGCAGCCATTGGGATGTAGGGCAAGCTTTATTGCTCTACAGCTTGCGGTAGAAATATGGGAGGAGTTCTATTGGCTTGCCCAGCCACAGAAACCCTGTTTTTAGACCCCTGTTTCTACAATAATTTTACCTCTCGCTGTACCGCAGTTAGCACTAAATATAGACATTCTTTCATGTCATATTAAACTCCACTGCTAAGATTAACTGCGATCATAGTTAATCACTCGGGTAGACTTTCTGTCTGTTCAAGGGCAGCGTAAAGATCTAGATGCAAACTGGGCACTGCATGTATTAGCTCGAAACTTGTGCTTCCTAACCGCTCTTAGTCCGGGTCATCGAATTTCCGTCCCGCAGTATGTCAGCCTCTTTGTTGCTTCCCACGGTGTTCCTTAGAGGAGTAGGGAAAATTGAGGGGGGGTGCTTTGATAGTTTTGCTTTCTTTTTGGTTGGTTAATTGTTACTGTTTCGAAAACATCAATTGGGAGTAGAGTAGTCCTGGCTCAATGACACGGTGACAGCAGTCCGATCTGCTATGTCAAACTGTACTGTGCTAGCTCAGCTCTGCGGAGTTCAGTCCGCACGTATGTAATTGTCAAGTTGCTGCTTCCATGATGGTGACCACTGTGTAACAGGGGTGTCGGTTGAGCACAATGGAAGATCTCCATGTAGACATATGTAGTATGTAATAGTAGAGTGGAAGTAGAGTATAAAGACACACTAAGAGGTCAAGATAGAGTATGTTCATACATACATACATACGCGATATTGTTCGCGTGATAGAGTGGCAGCAGTAGCGAGTGCACAGACACTCCTCCCCCCCCCCCCATCTCTCGCCTTGGCCTTTCCCATCCATCGAATTCTCTTCTGATTCTCAGGAAGAAGTCACCCCATCACCCCCAACTGGGCATAGCTGTCGACATGTTCCAGCCAAGCAGGCTCAGTTGATCAGTTCAGTCCAGTTCAGTTCACCTCAATCTCAGCCTTGCGAACAGGACAAGCCCGAAGCTGTATCGTACAGCATACCTACCTCCCACAACTATTACCTTAGGAGACTTAGTCTACCTCAGCGTATATACATAAACGGTTTGGACACTAGACAGACAGGTATCTTACCGTCCTCCTTCGCATCACAATAACCCTAGCGTGACATTTGTAACACCCATCACTCTCTAGCCGGAAATCACCTGAACCTGAATGCGGGGCAGGCAGGGCAAGACATGGTACACTAATTTAGTCACCAGAAGGCAAATCACAGGCCCGGAGGAATTTCAACCCGACTCCCTATTCCTCTACTACCTCGTCTTACCATCTACCTCTTGTCTTCTTGCCTCTTACTCTAGCAGTTAGCTCTATGGGCATGGATGGATGGATGGGTGGATGGAATGGGGATGGGGGATGGGGGATGGGGATGCGGGTCTTTTAGGAATTCCTGTGAATTTCGTGATTGATCCATCAATCGATTCTGTGCATCACGTCACGTCGCACTCGGAATTCTCTTTCATCCTCGAAAATCTATCTGATCAAACAAGAAAAATAAAACAATAAAAAAACCTAGACAGAGGAGGAAAAAATAAAATAAAATAAAATAAAAAAACTCGGTCCACCGCCAACCATGGCCACCACCAGTTTTAATACGGGTTTCCTCTTACAGATGCCGTTTCTTTCTCTCCCGGTGGGTGATATAGTCAGTACTCTAACAAAAGCAACTTGGTTTTGCTGGGCATGATCAGATGGGCGATACCGGATAAGGACTGGGTACCATAACTGAAAGAGCGGACAATACCCTATTGTCAATGCAAGAGAGAGGGGAAAAAAAAACCTGTAAGACGGAGTTAGGAACTCACCTTACTCATGCTCATTCAATTATGGTACTACATATGCTGTTTCTAAGACACTCAAAATCAGGATTACAATAAACAACAGCAACAGCAACAGCATCATGCCATGCCATGCACATGTAAATATATATCTACACTACATATGCGCATTCCGGTATATTTTTCAACTACATATTATTAAAGAAGCGCTTAGCCGTGGAAAAAGAAGAATCAGTGACTCGAATCCACAACATTATTGGCTGAACCGTCTCTTAGGAATTCCCAAAGATCAACCCTCCGTTTTAATCAATCGTGTTGAAATAAAATTCCCGCTCCTCCTGCGTAATGTCTCACTTCGATATATGAGACAGAAAGAAAAGTATCAAAAGGAAAGGGGAAGCAACAATATCCCTACTTGTCAATTTCCAACAGCATAGCTAGCTACAGTGCTGTACCTAGCCGTTAACCTCTGCCCTGGCGGGTAAGCAGGGATTCAGACACCTAACCCTAGTTACTCTGCTCTGCAAACACGGCATCTACTTATTGCTTTCTCCTGAAATATATCGCGAAATAGGGGCGAGAACTATGGAACTCGTCATAGGGCTACATTTGCAACCACCACTGAGATGTGGGTAACCGCTCTAATCCGTATTGAGTATGAGCTATGTATGTAAATATTAATGCTTCAAGGGATAATGAATCGCACGTCCCCTCATGATTGACTGTAGTACCTGCCCCTTGACACGAGCCTAGTAGGTACAACTGCTGAGCAGATGTCATTATGACTTGTGTAAAGTTGTTCTCTCCCTCCTGTGCCCCAATCGACATAATAACAGTAGGTAATTTACATGTATACATGTATGTATGCAATGTAAGTACATGTACTCTACTCTAGTTAGCACATATTGTACTCAAACTATAATAATAATACTTACCACACACGCCTTCCCGCGGTGCTGCAATTGCAATGATAGGAGAGTCCGGCACCGTCAATTGTTATCGTAATTTGCATTCCCCCCCGGTTTAACGTGTCCGTGCACCATCATCTTTGAAGAATATAACGGTATGATCATCTTAGGATCATTGGTCTTAAGATTCTCATTTAGGAGATTTTCAATCATGGGTCATCTGTCTCGGCCAGACTCGGTAAAACTGGGTTTTTTGGAGCTAGTACGCTTTTAGTCAGCAATACATCAATCAGGCTCAAATCAAAGCTGCAAGCTTAAGCAAGGCCCGGGAGTTGCCTTCTGCTTGCTGCTGAGGCCAGTTTTAAAGATAGATAGGTACGGGCTGCGGTGGTAAGGTACTCGCGTCAGGGAAAAAGAACCAGAACATGCAAGTGAGAAAGCAGGGATTATTTGTATGGAGTGGCGCTGAGCTGCCATACAAACTAGGCATTTGCATGTTCTGGTTCTTTATCCTAGACGCGAGTACTGGGTCTCGAGACATGGATGCATAATCTGTCTGTTTTTTTACTCTACCCTGGAGCAGAGTGTCCTGGTTAGCTAGTCCTATACCTGATCGCATTCGAGGTTGCCAAGCGTCGTTAATATTGCATGGGGGGATATCTAAGATTATCATATCATAGGTACATGCGAAGAAAAGGCACGGCGCGCTAGTTTACCCCGGATTTCAAGAAACTGGTGCTGCTTGCTGCATGCAGTGCGCAAAATTGGGGTGTCGCTGCTCGTTCTGATTGACGAGGGAAATACACCAGGGTAAAAGGAGGAGGCAAAGAGAGGGAGAAGGTGGGGGAAAGACTATCATTGTTTCAATCGTGACCACTGTTCCAGAATAGTGCGAGATCTGAATCCTTGACTAATATTCTAACGGGCCATTTAAGCCTAAAAACAATAATCATTTGCTTAGCTAGTTAACTAATCGAAGCCGCAGATTTCATTCTTGTGACTAGAGTAGGAAATTATTATCGAGTGCTTTGCAGTGATCAGTGATACAAATGATATTCGGCAGCATCGGTGACCCCGTGCTGAAAAGAAATTGGGACTCGAGGATAACCGACCAATGCTGACAGCAGCGGGACCGAAAAGCCCCGCTAGGACTTACACCCCCACCTGAAATTCAGACCGATAACCATGAGTCTAGGGAATAAACACGACAATAAATCACGGCCACGGTGTAAATGTTTATTTTTACATATTTATACATATTTATACACAAGTGACTGGTGGAAGCGTTATCGTGGTAATCATAAACTATCACTCGGTACCAAATTATCATCAACTATTTTACATGGGCACGAGACTTGCAGATTGAATTATCTGGTACTTTTAGTACCGATTTTGGCCATATATTATTCCGTGATATGACTCACGTTGCTTATCTCAACCGTTTTGCACAGTCAGGATTAGATGACTGTGTTGAATCACAAACACTCACTCGACACCTTTGTACTGACCAACCATGAAGGTGAGAATCCATGACTAACTGGGCATCTCAAAGGATTGGTGTAGCACACATACCAGAAATAACCAAACCCCTTCTCCATAAAGTATGTAGATCCGGGGTCATTATCGGTAATAGAGGCCGTCCGATTATGCGATGACAGGTATGGTAGGTCATGCATCTAGAAAATGTCATTTATTTCCCAACTTGACGGAAAAGAATATACAGGAGTTCACAAATGAATGTGGATATGAATATCGCGTAGTAGGCACCGAATCTAAATGCGATCAGAAAATGCACGTCCTCTTAAGCGCGCGATATAACTATACCATGACTTTTCTTCACTCGCTTTCTTTGGAATTGCACCTGACGCATGAAGCATCACTCGGTATGTATCGGCCAAACTATCGTTCTTGTGTACATCTCAATCATTCGTCCGCTCGTTCGACCAATCGATTGGATTGGACCAATGATTTTTTGAGACCTGAGATTCGCCATTCTCGTATCTGATGTGATGTGACGGGATGTGTCTGTGTCTGCGTGAAGATACAAGATGGATCTTCGGGGGGATCTTGAAGCATCCATTCGTCCAATCAGACGGAAACATAGAACAGACTAAAGATGGACCAGTACATAACAGGAGATATAGAGACGTATCAAGAATAGTAAAAAGCCAAACACCTTACAGAATAAAAGAGAAGAAAGAAAAAAAACCAAAATCACAAACAGCCCCCAAACATTGACTCCACTAGCCAAAAAACCTTTCCTCCACTTTGATACCAAAGTTTTGCGAAAAAAACATTCCATTGATGGATCTCCCTCCATGAGAGACCTTCGGGTTCCAAAAGCTTGAGGTGGCCTATCGGACGTTTTGGGAAACTGGAATTCCCTCCATAATTCCTAACTTTCCTCCAGCTACTGCGCACCTCAATCTTTTGCTTCTGTCCATGTTTGGACTAGCTACCATGCCAGTGGCAGGTGAGGCGAATCCAGACAGAGAGCTAAATTTCGGGGTAACACTAGTATGTCCCTCAGCAGCAGCGGAGACCAGTGAGCTTGCGACATAACTGCGCTTCCGGCTCAAAGTAGGGAAGCTTGTTGGTGTAGTACTGCCAGTAGAACAAGGCGAGGAACCTTCCTTTAGCATGTTCAAGCTCATAGCCGCGTCGCGAGAGCTTGGAGAAGCACATGGTCTATATTCATTCAATCGAGGGCTGCCAGTTTTAAATTCACTGTTCTGCCTCTTGGAACCAAACATAGGTGACTTGCGAGATGAAAGAGGACAAATTGAAGTTGATCTCAAGAACTGTCCATTGGGAGATCCTGGAGCTGGTGATGAAGCCTTAATCATGTGCGAGAGAGAAGATTTCCGGCGTGGAGATGGACATGCACCCACAATGGGTGGCGCCCCAGGTCCTCTCCGGGTGATAAATGACCAATTCTCCTGAGAACCAGAAATCATGTTACTATGCGCAACATTGGCAACAGATGCCATAGCAGCCATAGCACCACCGGCCACAACAGTAGCTATCGGCGGCGCCATTCCATTTCCAGAAACAAGACCCGCTGCAGGGGTATCGAGACTAGAGGATTGTGCCAACGACGATGACCGATGTGACTGAGGTGGAAGAATTGTCAGAGCAGTTTTTGGAAGCGGCTGGTGGAGAGCGTTGAATGTATGACAGCTCTTGAGCGAACGCTCAAAAGTCCGGGGAAGGGAAGAAGAAGGGGCCAGGGGAGCTACCGGTTGAACTGATGACTGCGGTGCTGCCATTGCCCTATCAAAAGATTCCATAGCAACTTCATCCCCCGAGCAATGCTTTAGTCCTCCAGAAGGAGATTCGACTTCAGTCAAATCCGGGGTAAGTGTTAGAATTAATCCACACCATTCCTTTTTTCTTTCCTCTTCATCAACCCATGGGGATGCATTCAAAAGAGACATCGATGTCGGTGTGTGGTCTGACGTATACTTTAGTACAAGATCCGTCCATTTTTGGAAAACTGTTTCAGATATATGAAGTTTCCAATTGACTGCATCCAAAAAGGCCATTTCGTTGATGTTTATCTCTAGCGTATTCAATCCAGATATTTTACTCCATGCACGGGCCGAGTAATTGCGATCTTGAAGATATTTCGATGCTAGAATCAAAGCAGCCAGGAACATTCTTCTTCCACATTGCTTTGCGCGTATCAACTGCGCCTCATCGAGGGGCATACTATTGATATCGCAGTCGCGTGGGGGAAGATGAGGCCGGATAACAATGAGATAATATAATGCAACCTGTAAAGTTGAATAACTAGTCCTAGATCTCCGAAGCGTCTCTTGTATAAAAGTCCGCAACGGCAATACTTTGTCTTTTGAAGCAGCCGCGCAAGCTCCAAGTCTTGGAGGCGGCCATATAGTCTCAACTATCTGGGCAGCAGAGTCTTGAAAAATGCCGTTAATCTAACTTAGCTTCTGCATTTATCTGTTTAATGAATTTTTTTGTTGACCCAGATTTTGTACGTACCAACAAGATTATCGACAAAATTAACCTTTCGATCAGCTTGGCGCTGGAGACTCGGAACAGGCGGAAGAGGACATGTACCATCCACGGGACACCCCGTTGCATTCACACTCTCTACTAGGCGATTGGTCCTGCGTGGGTTTTGCCTCTGTTCAATTGGTACAATCTCCGCAGGAGTGGGAACCGGGGGCGGGTGAGGATGACGCTGTGATCCATCGCTTGTTTTGATACTTGTTTGGTTCCTGGCGACAGGATGAGAACTCTTGGGCCAAGTACTTCGTGTAGGAAGAGGTGTAATGATAGCAGTGTTTGGTGCAGTAAGTCCATCCGTGGTAGTACTAGATGCAATAGATGTGGCATTCGAGGAAGCGGTTGCCACAGACCAAACGGACGAATTGGATGAAGAGGCGGTGGATGCGATAGATGCTGCCGGTGAGTATGGATAATGAGGGTGTTTCGTAAAGGTAGTAGTGGGTGGGGTGGGGTCCAGGGTCATATTGTTGGATAGGAACACAAGAATTGAGAGGAGATGTTGCAGGGAAGAAACAAATAAAACTAAAGAAAAGCCGAGATAAATATCAGAATCCTTATTCCGTCTTCAAGGTCAGATTGTGAGTAACAATCTTGGGACAATCTCAGGAAAGTAGGTCGATCTCAGTTGTGTGAATGAGTGGAAGGGTGATGTGTTTTGTGACTTAGATGGCGAAGCAAATGACTAGTAAATGGCTGAGTAGATGGCGGAGTTGAGTTGTGTCAACCTCAAATAGATTAGGGTGGCGTAGGGCTGAGTGGCGATCAGAGAATCTTTCTCATAAGAACGTGGCTATTGGTGACTCTAGGTGGCGGTGTCGCTTGTCGTGTACTGTCCAGCGGAGAAATTCCAAAGCTCTTTTTTTTTCCTTTCTCTCCTTTCCTTTTCCGTTTGTTGATATGATGCTCAGTTGTTGTTAAATACCAGATGTTCCTTCCACGTTTTGCCAAGCAAATCTTGAAATATGACTGTATTCGAGATCGAACACTGTCAAGTTGGCCTCTGACTGTCGAAAGTATGAAATATGCTGAAAAGATTCACCTCCAAAATGGTCCAACCCAGAAAATAAAAATCCGTTACCTCCTTCAGATAGAAACTCCAGTAGGAAAAAAGAAATAAAAAAAATTCAAAATTTTCGGCTTTCCCAACCCGCCGTCTGTACAACCAAACGCGATTCCTCAAAATGTATTCGATTAGGCGAAGATGTATTTATTCAGAAAGATATATAAAATAAAAAAAAACTGTTGATGGTAGCTAGAAGTTATGACAATGCAATAGCATCGATAGCGATAGAATATGTAGTGAAAGTAGCGGTGGCGAGGTAGAGTGGTGAGGTGGTGGCTGGAGATCCTTCGGCGATGCTAGTATTACCCACAGGACACATTGTGATACTTCCCAGAGCTGGGAAGAAAGTTTTCGACGGTGGAGGTGGTAATGTGAGTTTTTGTAAATGGTGAAGGTTGAAGTTGTGAGACAGGTAAAATGGGAGCCTCGTCACGAATCGCGAAGTGAGTCTTGACTAAGTGACGGAGAGATCAGGGGGGAGTATATGGGGGGAGGCGTTGGTTGGGAAAGACCGGCTGGGTTGGCTGCACTGATTGTGGCACAGGCTAACTCAGCTAATAGGTACAGTACCGTATGTAGTGTGGGCCCTCCTAGTTCAGGGACTACAAACGCGCTACTGACTGGACTTCTGCTTTGAGACCCTGAGGTACGGTATGATGATGATGGTTCTGATGATGATAATGCGGCGGCAAATGAAGAGGACAGTGACTTGGAGGATTGGATGCAGGTCCTAGCTGAGTGTAGCAGGTTGATGCGGCGGCTGAGGTAGGGGAATTATATAAAACACCAGCGGAACAATGAAGAGGGAGTGAGTAAGTGTATGGAAGAGTGAGTAACCCAAAGGCAGCGAGGGAATGAGCAACAGCGACTGTGAGCGCGCCGAGTGATCTGGAGGGGAAGGGAGGGGTGTGTGAGTGTGAGTGTGAGTGTGTGTGTGTGGAGGGGGGGGGGGGCTGGTGGCAAAAGTGCCCGATGACAGATTTTATCGGGGCAGGGGAGGAGGTATGAGTCCGAATGTATGTTGTCTCGGACGTCGGCGAAGAAAACTGACTTCTTCTTCTTCTCCTTCCTGCTTATTTCTCCCTCCGTTTCTTTAAGGCGCCCGGTGAAATGCTGGAAACAATAAAGTGGGGAGATTAAGGACAATGTGGGGAGAGCGAGCAGCTGGACAAAATGGTATTCAGACTGAATGGAGAGTGGAGTGACAGAATCGGAACCGTATCTATTCTTTCGGGAAATCTGTAAAGCTGTTCATTATTGCGTGATGACTGACTGACGAGAAAGATCAAAAGGTATCTTTCGCGGGAGGGGGAAGCTTTTAGTTTTGTTCAGAGCCAGGCGGAGGCGGGGATTGATCGATGAGTAACCCTTCGCTCGTCTCGTTCCTAAAAAGTCTACCGATGATGAATAGGCTCTCCACACACACCACACTTCACCCAAACTCTCCCTCTATCCTCTACACTGCATCTTTGTGCCCTTCCCACACTACCGCTTTATCTCGTATATCACCAGGCAGCCCAGCACAGGCAGAAATTGGAAGTTAGATGGTTCTCCACAGAGAAACCCGAATGGATTTTATAAATGTTGTAACAAATCCTTTCCCTCTCCTTGGGAAAGTTCTATCACATAGGTTATCTCGCATTCCTGTACCGAGAGCTGAGACGTAAAAACCATCTTGGTAGGCATGTAGGATTCTACTGCGAGCTCATATCGTGCTGCATATTTGCTATTTGCTGTTTGGTCTGGTTGTCTGAACTTTGCCGGTCGGTAGGTATGTAGGTCTTGGGGCTGGCAGCACAGAGAGTGGTTCCAGTACCCTTGCCAAATCAGCGATCCGTAACACACAGCAATGCATAAGGTATGACTCTTTCTTCCCACGATGGAAAAGGCTGTTTTCTGGCCTCTCTTCCTTGGTCGGAAAGTGTGAAAATGGGCTGTGTGTCTGGCGCTGTGAATTGCGTCAATCCAGTGCTCCCGCCTATCTAGCCGTTTTCGGATGCTAGGCCCCGAGCCTCTCTCTCACTGTCTCTCCCTGTCTCTTGCCTATCTTGACATTGTTTACGTGCAACAATATAAATAAAAACATAAAGTCCCTGATCCCTTTCCAAATCTAAATCTAACTCCTTGGAACCAAGGAAACCGTGCAGGACCTGGGAGAGGAGGTCTCAAAAAGGAGCCTCAAACGAGTCACTGATTCCTCGTTTTAGCACTTTGAAGATTCGTTAAGGAACCCAGCTGCGGCGCCGCCGGTGCAGGACACGTTCGGTGGGTTGTTCCTGTGAAACGTATTACCGACCGCTACCACCCAATCATAATCTAGACTGACTAACCGAAACTTATCTAGACCCAAACACGTCTATGACTCTGGCTGCCCAATAAGGCGCAATTTAAGTGCGTTGACTCATTTTATTGGTCCAATGAGAGCTAAAAACTAACGTCATTGTACCGCTGGATCGCTGACAGCCACATCTGTGGCTTTGAAGGTCATCCACTCCCTCGGATAAACCGCATTTTAATAAAGGCTTGGACCCTTAAGCTAGCTAGGCGGCTTAGAAACATCTACTTTTGAGTGTAAACATCGACACAGCCTGGCGTTTCCCAGATATTTAATACAGCCGAAAACGATCTCAGGAGGTACATACATATCATGTACATTCGCAATAACGAGAGCTAAGAACTCGATTGGTAGCCAATATTCTGCGAAATTCGCGTCGCTCACATCGCCGGCCGACAGGATGTGAAGTTGCCTAATATAATATCGATGAATGATTGACCTAGCGAGTCATAGCTTGTCACAATCAACCCAGAGACAATATATTTCCGTCCAAGCAATTGTTTTGTTTCGCCACAATCTCCACTGGCAAGTTTCTCATCTTTTCCTACAATGGCAGCAAGAGCGTCTACTGAGGAGAAATAAGACAGAATACAGAATTGGACTTTCCTCGTTCAGCAAGTTAATGTCATTTTCAGCTCAGGGTTGGGCAGGAGTACATACATACATACATACTTCTCTTTGGTTACACCTGGATGGACACGCGGTCGACCCAAAATTCCATTACTCCTCATCTCTAGCAGGCAGGTTGCTGGTATCTTCACAATATCTCTAATATTGCGTGACTGTGCCCGTAACTAATCCAGCCTAGTACCGTCTATACCTACCAACTGTATTGGATAGAAATACATTGATATCTGAGAGTACCTTCGTATTCAAGCACATATTAGGGTTCCGTTTCTAGATCATATCGCAACTATACATCAAGTTGTAAATAATTGTATACCACAGCCATATATTTGGTTGTGGTGCGGGGCCGGCGGTGACCCTCAAAGCCAATTACTGGCTTTCCGTGGCGTCCCTTTTAGTCCTGCAACGAACTTCCCGCTGCACGTGGACGACACGCTGTAAGGTGCGCACGAAGCAAGGCGGAGCAACTAGAGGAATCAGCAGAAAACATCACAATCTTTGCATCTCCAAATGATCTTGTATCCTCCGGTCCGGAGTGACTATTCCGCGGGCAAGAGCTTCAGCAAAAATTGCGCCTTGCTGTAGAGTAACGTACTCTGCATTACTGCCCTAGATGTGTATGTACATACTTAGCTACATGGTGCCCTAATGCCTGATGAGCGGGCAGCATGTAAGGGCATATTGCTGCCCATCTGAACCTAAATTTGTACCATCAAGTGGTTTTGGTTTGTTTTTGCTTTGAATTTCTCCGGTTTGTTCGGTTAATGACATATATGTAATTGATGGTGGCGCGGATGGGAGATCCAAAAGGCTATTTTTGCTCACTTGAACCTCACATCATGAGAAAGTACTTGATAGAAGCTTCCCAGATTCCAATACGCTGTTCCCGAGATCGCCATGATCATGTAACACATATAATAGGTAATAGTCGGGAGGTAGCTTATAAGGCTCAGATTGCTGGTGATTATGACAGACGAAACGAGGCTTCATCGGTGGTATCATAATTCGAAGCTGTGGATGGAACATCATCTCAACTGGCAGTGATGCCTGGTGTATCAGTAGAGTCCATGGCCAGTGCAGTTCGAGCCGCAATTTTTTGCTTTTTTAGCTCTCAGCCCCCATCTTTACATGCTTCCATCTTTGAACTTGCGCATGCCAACCCCTGCCGCCCTACCCTGCACGTACTCACTCTATCATAGGTGGCTACATAAGTATGTAGTTATCTCCCCGTGACTCTCCGTATCGATACGGTGAGGTGAGCATGGATACCTAGCACCAACACCAACTGAACTATGCGTCACAAATTAACCTCATTTCTCTCGTTCCTCTGGATCTCTCTCTCTCCTTCCTCTCCTCAGCCGCATTTTCGGCGAAAAGATAAACATTCACTTCGTGTCAGCAAATAGGGCATATAGACTGATCAGATTGACTGACTATCAACTCGACGAGTCCCGCTAGGTAAAATTCCCACTAGGTAAGGAATCTGCATAGGTGCCTTTGCTTTTGTTGATGGTCGTATTCGGGATACAGAGCCGGATGTGTGAATATAAGTGGGCAAGGGGAGTGAAAAAAAAGAGAGTCACAATCACGTCAGTCGAGAAGGCTACTCTAATTCTATCAAGAGGAGCTTCTAAGCTTAAACTAATATTACTATGTCGATTCTCAAGGCTAGGGTTTCTCGCTTTTTTCTTCTGGATTCCTCTCTCTATCTCGTCTCGTGAGGGCCTCATGGGGGAAGGATTGCTTCTTGTCCCTAATTTCGCTGTTTTTGTACTGCACGAGTAGATCTCGTGCAGTGTCTGCTCTGCTCCACATACTGGTCTACGGGCACAACTCTGGATTCTCATTTCTCACCGCAAATGGCTCCATGTATGTACTTCTAGAGTATGTTAGTTTACCCCGCTCATCTGATGTACCCGAGTGTCCAAGGGTTGCTTGCATTAATTCAACCTACTCCATAGTAGGAAACGAAACGGCCAACCTGCATAGTCTTGGATTGGGCAAAATCACAGGCCTGGGCTCCTGTTTTAGTAAGGGAGTGCGTGTTTTACCGGCTCCTTGCACTTCCGATGTTGTGCTACGTGGGTCTATCTAGAGGTACTCTCTTTTCTTGATATTTATGGAATGAAGGGTTTGTGTGGGTTGGTTTAAAGCACCATGGTTTTTACACTGAGCTTGATCCAGGGTTGAGAATTCAAACGAACATTTGCCTGACGGAAGTTTCGAAAGCTGGCCCAGGATGAACACTGAGTGCTGTGCATGTGCGCTTAAGCTAATTGAAAAAGTACGAGCAGACAAAAGGTGGATAATTACATAACTGCGGGGTGGCTGGTTAGTAGAGTAAGCATTGGAAACCCAGATTCAGGGATTAGGGCCGATCAGATAATTTTCTGTCGATTTTATCATTGGAGCCTTTTTTTTCTTTTGGTTTTGGGGTGTTTTGAAACGAAAGGTTACCCTGATTACAGGTAGCGCTTAGACGGGAGTACTAGTATAGTACTATTGTGTGGGGTGCCTGAGTACTATCGGATTTCATATCTAGCGATTTCAGGATCCAACCTCCGGCCTTAACCAAGGGTCGATCTGCAACTGCAGCGTATATCACGGCTGCCCGCCTTACGGCTTTAAGGCCACCAATGATCAATTGATATCAACGAAGCAAAGCAAAAAGTGCATCGCTGTACACAGAAATACCTAATTGTCTTTATCAATTCAATAGACGAAGAGGTACGTAGGCCTTGCGACTTATGATTACTGCGCGACGCACACGGGTTGTTGTCCGAGTTGTAGAGATTTCATCGCTGACGAGTTTGCTGTTGCAAGACCGGCCATATTCTGCAACACAGCCTCAGTGGTTACATGCCCAAAAATCTCGCGATACGAAATCATCGATTTTGAGAGGCTATAACCACAGCCAAAAAGGAACAAGGAAAGTTTGGCCGTTGGTGGTCGCATCGGAGAATGCACACTTGGCAGCAGCGAATATGATAACAGCGGCTACCAAGCCGAGTGATTTTAAATGATCGACAATGGAGGTTCAGTGGTCAGCAATTGTTATACGTTCTGCGCTGGAAAGGGGGCAGAAGTCTCTTCAATTAGTGGGGCTCCTAAAGCTATCATATCTTGGTAGCGAGGAAAAAAACGGCCGCGTAAGCTACGCCACCCTCGCCATTTATCCGAAACGAGATGGTACTAACGATACGCGTCCGTCGGAGATATCTATTTTCAAAGCCTATGTCAGCTATTGAATAAGGGGGTAACTCTGCGAAGGCTTCTCGTCAATCGTCGTGAGCGTGGACCGAGGACAGCAAGGGGTCATGAGTGGTCACTCGAATCTTCTAGCATGTGTTGGTACTGTCGAGCACGTGCGATGTTCCTCGGCTTGCATGAATGCTTCTAGAAATCAGAGAACTATAAAGTCAGTTACCCTTAATTACCAGGATATAAGCAACGGAACACGCAGATTATAGGATCGTAATGCCATTAAAAATATCGAAAATGGCCTCAAAGTTGATTTCTCGGCTCCTGAAATTGTGGTTGTGATATCTCTATAGGAAGCTATTTTTTTTTTGCTCAGTACGTATTTGACCCTGGCCACACTGGTGTTATCAGATCGTCGGCTATGACATTGTAGGGGTATTAGTCATTATTTGGCTACGGATGTTCGTTTTGGGCGTTCCAACAAGATCCAATGGTATGCAACTATTTGCTTATATAAGGATTTGCAAAGCCTTTAACTATAAATGGATTCCAAAAGCACTAGTAATAATACTCGTCTTAAGAAGGCCGTGACCTCAGGCACCGCAAAATGCAAGGGCGCATTTAATTCCGCACCCTACGACGTCATCCGTACTCGGGACAAAACTCTGCGTCAACTTCAATCAAAAACTATAACGATGGGTGCAATACTATATGCATCCAAATCAATCAAATTAGATCAGATCAACATTAACCTACTTTGTGTAGAGAGAGTAATAATGAGGGTGTGCACATGTAGTTCTGCCTGCATTACATGGTTAACTCTGTGGTTAACCGCAAGTCCAAAAGTCTATGTGCTGGAGGTTAGGTTGGCATGATAAGAAGGTTCCATCACTCCGGGTATCACGCAATAGTGCGGGGGGAGAGAGAGGAGGGGGGGGATTGATCCGGTAAATAGCGGCAACAGATTGCAAATCTAACCCTAGGGCTTTTGAACATATCGTTGACAGCAATCATACACATTCCTCCCAATATATCTACATACATGTACCCCAAATCGGCGCACAGTACATGAAGGGGGTAGTACCATGTGCATGTATCCGCACTATTACATACGACCTGTAAGTACCTACAGCGCTGGCAACCGTCGTCGACATCACGGGTGTAGTACTTGCAACCTATGGTATACCACCAGCGTTGAGTGTCAACGACAACTATGGGTGAGTGGGTAGCAGCGTCTCGTGCCCAGGTTCATATCGGACGTTAACTCCACGGTGAAGGGTTGAAGATGTTTAATATTTTTTCTTTGTTTCGGGGGTGTTTCACCCGGCATAGCAAAAAAAAAAAAAAAAAACCATACCAAGCCCCTTCTCTCTCCCAAGACCCTCCTTAATATTTCTAGGTCTCCCCATAAAGGGTTCCCGCCACCCCCAGCCCACCACGCGACACCTTATTCTGAATATAAGAGGAGGGAGATCAAGAAGACAGGGCCGCTAGTGTACGAGTGACTCACTCGTCCACTCGCCTCTCACACGCATATACTCTCTCTTTCGCCGTAACATACATTGGGATGTGGGAGGGGGAGTTTATAGTTCAGTACCTTCTGGCCACACAAGAACCTTGTTTTACCCAGCGAGTGACTCACCCCCCCCCCCCTCCCAGACATGATCCCCGACCAGAGATTATCTTGACCCGGGACAACAACAGAAGCAGTAGCGTACCATCGCTACATCCCGGTGTGTCACTGCGTGTGTACACGCTATGATATACTTTGTTGGGTGCCCCCCCCGCGGGGGGGGAGTCATAGATCATGTATATCTCTGCTGGCAATCAATAGATGAGATTAGAACTACATACTGTAGCTACATATAGCTAGGAGGGTGGTTGGTGCGGAGAGTAAAAATCCTGTACATAGTGGCCGTGGCACAGAAAACTAATTCACTCTTTTCACTTTTTTTTTCTCTGACTCCTTGCGGCATGTTCCGTGTGTGGAATGTGATTTGACGTGAATGCGCGGGGGAGAGAGAAAAAAACGTATGGCTGCCTGTCTGCGCATCGAGTGATAGCCTGTGAAGATAGTCACCGGGGGGGGGGGGGGTGCGTGAGTGAGTGAGTGAGTGTGGTGGTTACTGGGTTGGATGGTTGGTGGTGTGGTTGGTTGGTAATTGGTGGTTGGTGGTTGGCGCGGGAAGGGCACTTTTCACCCGTGAGGTGGGGTGGGAAGGGAACGCTTGCTCGCTCGGGTCGCACGCCGGGTTCTTCGGTTCGGGCGTTCGGGTCGGGCGGTGGAGGGGGGTGGATCGGAGTTTGCGAAAAGTGAGTGGGTGGGATCCGATCCGATTTGGTCGGCTGGGTCGGCTTCGATATGGCCGGGGAGGGGGAGCCTTGTTTTTTTTCTTTCTTTTTTTGTGTGTGTACGACGTTGGATCAATGAGGTTGACTATGTGCCAGCTGCCAGCCCTATTGCTATTCTTGCACGGTTATGGCGTAGAGGGAGGAGGAGGAGGGCTAGAAATAGAAAAAATAGGAATTAATAGAAAATAGAAAAAATAGACATGGAAGTTAGGTACATGTATGTAGAAAAATCATTTCCACCCCCAAAGCTTAGCTTATCTCCGCTTGCTTGTCAATGATCAGTGCTGCTGGACTGACATCTCCGCAGAAGGAAAAAAATAAAAAAAAGATAAAAAAAAAGGAATTAAAATATATATTGTAGGAAAAAAAAACTACCCCACACGATAGTCCCTCCCCCCGCGCAGGCCCGAAATCTTTGCCTCGATCTCAACCTTCCGCCTCTCGAGGCCCTGGCGGTACAGCTTCAACCTATCCCTCTCTCCCGCCCCGCAATCAGCCCCTACCCCATCCTATCCAAACCTATCATGTCCAATTGGGCCTTAAAATTCACAGATAGGTAGACAGAACCTACCTCTCGATGCGCGAATCCAAGCTCTCCTCCACCACCGTGCGCTTCTCGGTGTCCGTCTTGAGCTGCGCGCCCGTGAGCACGCCCACGGCGGTGATTGCGGCCGTCGCGCCCGTGAGGATTACGGTCCGGCGCTTGAGCAGTGGGGTGGCCATTCGTTTTTTTTTGGGGGGGGGTGTTGGTCGGTGTTTGGTGGGGTGGGGTGGTGCGGGTGCGGTGGCCGAGGGGTGTGCAGCGGAGTGGGGTGGGTGGGTAGGGTAAGTATGTGACTGGGAGGGCCGGAGGGGGGGCCGGGGGGATAACGTAATCAAGAGCGGGCCGCCCGGTGAGTCGCTGTGTGTCGCGATGTGAGTTATGCGGGTGCAGGGGGGCGGATGAGGGCGAGGGTTAGTGATCTGTCTGGCTTTCTTCTTCTTCTTCTGGACGGTGACTGTTGTTTCGGAACCCCGGGCCTGGGTGGTATGGCGGAGGTGTTCGATTACAATATGGCGTACATGTAGAAACAGCATCCATCCATCGCGGCGGCACCGCCCGCAGGCTGGGCTGGGGTTTGACGTTGTGTGATCCGTACGGTAAGGCATGCGCAGTAGTATTCGCTAACTACCTTCTCTACCAGTGTAATTTACCGAAACATCTGAAACCACCGTACCCTCCTACAGCGCCCCAGTCCATCACTGCAGAGCGAGGCTAACTGCTCCACCTTCCACCTCTACCAGGCAGCCGGTGTGAATTAAGCAAGGAAAGGAAAAACGGGGATTTCGTGATAAAAATTTTGTGATAGATCGCACGCTTGGCCTTCTCGTTCGTTCTGCTCGTGATATGGTTGTTGATCTGCGTATTAGCTAGAGAATGTGCATGTGTGTGTGTGTGTGTGTGTTGCAAGCAAGTGCAAAGTGGGGGGGGGGGTTTTATTTGAGCAACACAGAAGCAGGCAGCACATGTAATATTTTATTTATTCATACAGACATACAGAAAGAGGGTCACGTCAGTACTACATCTTCATTGGCCCCCTTTTTTTATATTGATTTATTATTATCTCTAGTTAATTGTGTAGTGGTGGTGGATCGAGGGAGGGTACGTGCGGCGCACATGTCTTTACGCTCGCTTCTAGGGTAACGGGATCGATTGCTATGACCGAATCTTTGGTTTTGGGTGTTTTTTTTTTTGGCGGTTTGTGAGATGGATTGCCTAGGATTGATGGGATGGACCGGATGACAGTGGTCATGGCGTCTCTCACGTAAATACGTAGTAGTTACATGTTGTATACGAAAGGGCATGTCTTGGATCCAGAGTTGTTTTGTTGCGGGATATCAGGTTCATGGAAAGGTCCGGAGGCGGTTGTGGTAATGATCGATGAGTGAACAGTAATAATGGAGTAATGGAGGTTTCAGTTCAAAAACAGTCGAGTGATAACCCGTGATGGCGTGGCCTCCGCCTCATGGGTGATCACTCGCAAAAACATGGCCCATCACCCGAGATTAATTTCCTCAGACCAAAAAAAGAAGACAAAATGGAATAGTTAAATACATCCGAGGCTTCCCCTCCCAACCCAGCTTCTTAAACTACATAGTTCCAAAAATTATTTCCGAAAAAAAAAATAGTAAATTAGCCTGAAGGAAAAAACAAGACACGCAGCCATTTCCCAAGGAAAGCGATAATAAATACAAATAATAAAAAAAGTAAAAAACAAAAACCACGCGCCAAAAGATTAATAGATAAGCTGTGCTCGTGTATGCTCTCGACTCAAGAAGGAAAAAAAGGAAAAGACACCATTACTTGTGTACCTTGAAATAAAAGCGAAAAAAGGAGGAAAAGAAAAAAAAGAAAAAAAAGAAAGAAAAAAGCTCTTTATTTGAAAATAAGCTTCGGATATCACCCAACGCGAATCACAACATCGACACCTAACGCCTTGGCTTCTCTAATGCAACAACTAAGGCAAGTCCTCCCTCTACTGCCAATGATGGCATTAACTCCTCTTTCCGAGCACCAAGCCCTCGCAAGCACCCCTCGATCGTTTCCTTCTCCGCCCGCCTCGATAACAAGAATATGGCTCCTATCTCTCGTCTCATCATCACCCTCTCGTACGAGTGATTCTATCGAAACCATAGAATACTCGAATTCCTTGTGCAATGGATGTGCCCTCTTTATCGCATATTCCGCAGAGTCCCCCTTCTTCATTCCCTTGAAGCTCGTCGGCGGATCAAGACAAGGGAATGAAGTGATGAAAAAGACCTCATGCTTTAGTCTTACTGCAAGCTCTTCCATCTCGCCAAGCTGGAAATGCAACTCGGCTTCGTACTTGATGGCAATATCCACGTCCACGTCCAAGTCGTCCTCCCGCGATGGCTCTACAAGAACAAGTCTCTCCAATAACACCTTCTCTCCAGGAATGGCGTCGTCAAGCGGCATAGACAAATCGCTAGACAGGATGCTTTTTGATTCCCTATACTTTGTTCCAAGAGGATTTGATTCCTCCTTCACCCGGCGCGGTTTCAAAACTCTGGCTTCTCCCTCATCCTCTGGCAGGAGCGAACAAATGTTTAACCACCCGTTTGTGATAGATCTATAAACCAGTCCATTCTCGGTAGGCACTTTAGTACTCATGCATGGTCCAATCCACCCGCCCACTTCTTTGGATCCACCGTGGCCTGCCAATACTCTCCCGACAATGCAGTTGCTGCTCCACCAGGTCGAACCTTCATACTGGAATCCGGCATAGAGTATTGAGTTGTCGCCTAAGCTTTCAACAGCACCAGCATCGTTCTCTAGTAGTGTAGAAATCAGGAAATGCGGCAATCCTTCACCGGGTAGTATCAACCCCGAAAAGAATGTTCTCGAAAGCCAACCACCAGATCCCATCGTCTTCGCCAATACAGAATTTCTTACTGAACTGCTACTGGTCATAACGGATGGAGTAGCAGAGGTTGATGCCAATTCCTGTATTCTTTTTGGGCGCCCGAATGCCTGGAAATAGCTGTTTGCATTCGCAGACATCATTGAAAGCGGCGTTGCTAGAGGAGTCCCGCTGATAGACTGTGATGGGGTTGAGAAAGTCGAAGCGGAGCGAATTTTCTCCTGGAGCTGTAGAGATAAAGTATCAATCTGAGGCCACTGGAGTGATCTGGCAAAGTACATCAAGGCGGAGAATTGTCTATTTAAGTTCCGGGGATATATCAAGGCTTCATAAGACTTGACGCCATTCTCATCTTCATCGTCGTTCACCTCTGGTGGCGGTGAAGGAGGGGTGGCTCTTGAGGAGAACCAACCCCTTCTCTCAGATGCTGGAGGTGCTAGGCTGGTGGGGTCCTTCTCTACTGCGGATTCATCGTCTATTATCTGTACATTATCCAGCCACCTCCGTGCCAGAAGTATATCCCACTCGACCTTTTTCGTTCCAATCCTCTTGAACCTTTTGCACATAGCTTTCTTTGATTCCACAGATTGATTTTCTGGGGTTTCAACGATATCATCACTGAACAGAACGTCCAGTCGGACTGCCAATTCGCACGAGAGGAGAATTTGAAGGAGGAGCCAGACTTTTTCTGCGTCTCTTTCGGAGGCAATGTCTTCTTCGTCTTCCTCGTCATCGCTATTTTCGTCTCGATAGCTTGGTCTTCTCCCCCACAGAATCTGGCCAATACAGATCCTCCAATGAGGGTCCTTAAAGTCGAGCCAAAACCGTTTCATTGCGAGCGTTTCCAATAATGCAATGACTTGTACCTTTAAACTATACGGGTCGTTGAAGTCCTCCGTTGAGATGCGAGTGGGTGGGTAGAGTAACCTAGTAAAGAGTTGGGTATATAGCTCAAGCGAGGAATATTTCCCTAGCACACCTTTGGCTTTTCCGGCATCATCAATCTCACTGATAATGATATTGCTGCTCTCTTGTGCCTGTCTCCGTCTCCGCTCGTTCCAAATCTCCCCAAGCTCTTTCAACCTCTCAACGATATAGTCCGTCTCCACACTTCGAACACCACCTTTCCCGTTACCCATACTTCCTCTCCTGCTTCTTTCTCGTCCACCCTCATCAATCTCGTCAATGTCATCGTCCTCATTGCCCTCCGTCTTGGCAAAGTCGCCCACGGGATACATCATGAAGTATTCCCATCCGCAAGTCCCAGGTTCAAGCCCCATGAAGCTCAGCATGCTCGGTTCCTCCTCAACCATTCCTCCAAGCTCCTCCAAGTCCGAACCATCCTTGGCCCTACGGCCTCTAGCATCTGGATTTGAGGGCCTATGAGGCCTTGATGTGCAAAGGGAAAATGCCGGATGCGCGATAGGCGGGCAATCTGATAGTTCCTCCAACTCTTCGTCGTCTTCATCGTCGAACGGAAAGAAAACCCTCGGTTCCGGAGTTTCGTTGCCTTCTTTGATGATTGAAAAGACTGGTGCACCTGAAAATAGGGAATTCAGGTCGTGAGTGGATAATAACTCTGGTGGAGGGGGGGGAATATCGAAGGAGATGTGGTTTTTGTTGGCGTCTTTTCGGGAATCCTCCTTCTTGAGCTCTCTTGAGGCTGTACTCGTCCTTAGAGGAGGGCGCTTGATCTGAGTTGTAGTATTTACTGGTGGTGCACTGGGGGTTTCATCTTCGTCTAGATCCTCATCTGACGTGTTTGAGTTTCTGGGTCCGGGAGACTGTGGTAAAAGAATGGTTAGATTAAGTCGAATTACTATGGCAATGCGTGACTTACAGCAGGACGTGAGTTTACAGGAGAATGAGGACGACTAATAGTGTATTTTGCTATCGTTTTACGAATGGCAGAAACGATGCCCGACTTGGAGAACGCGGTGTTATGATTTGATTCGTCTTCATCCATCTCTGAAGGCTTCTCTTTATCGTGCTCTTTCCCTTCGTCCTTTGTCTTAATAATGGTGCGTAATGGCATGGTATGTTTGTGTGATAGAGGCATCCAAGGCGTTGATTTTATCACCTGTAGTATAGTAACGCTAAAAGTGTCAGAAATAGATTTCTTCCAAAAGAGAGAGGTCAAATGGGGTTTGGATTAGGAGGAAGCTCTGGGGTTATCTGTCTGGATCATTGTCCAGGAGGATAGAAAAAGGAAACTGACCTGCTGCTGTTGGTGTGACTCCTGCCTTCACTTACTTCTTCCTACCGTTCCCGTGGCCAGATATATTTACCGAACGCTGGTTGAGTTTTCAAACGGAATCCTCCTGTCGCGCGATAGCTCTCTATAATATGCCTTTTGGGCCGACAGTCCTGTCCCGGGATTACGGGCTTAACATGCACACTTTACTAGTTACAATAGAGAGTTATAGATGAGTGGCTGAAGATCGCAATAGAAACCTTGGGTTGAAGTAGATCTAGAAAATGGGGATAAAGCCCGCAACCGCAAACCCAACTCCGAGCGAACAAGAATTGGTTCTGGTTGTATAAAAACAGGAGGTCCTTTCTTCTAACATCATCATGGGTTGGAAGATCAGCATGCTTGTCGTCATCCCATGGGGTGGGTGAACTGATAGCGGATGACCCTGTACATGTGGCTGGCAGGAACAACGTAGTTGTGGCGTAATGCCCAGAGCTGTAATTGGCGCCCGCACCACCGTAAATCATATTTTGTTTATCATTCCTGTTCGACATGAAGGGATTAATATCACGATGATGTATGGGCGTTTTCTTTTCTGTCTAGTTGTCTGTACGAGTATCCCCATGGAGCAGGTGCTCAGCTGTGTTTCTCCTTTTCAAAATGGAGGTTACAATCGGTAGGTATCTATCTAATACTGTGTTCCCCTTTGACGAAGATGCACGAGTGAGAGACCCAAGACTGCCCGACTGCTTGCTACACGATAGAGATACCAGGCACACAGCCAGTCGATAGAGTGCGATAGGCAGGCCCCCTCTATCTCAGACGCAGACGCCACACAGGATTTATTCCCTTTCGGCCTGTGGAATAATCCAGAAATGCCTCTCACTGGCTGGTGACTTCCCAGAAGCCCTGACGTCGCAAGATGCATCGCAGGAATACCACAAATAGGATGAGGCTAAATGCATGTGGATCCCATAACCAGTGGCCCCCTAGCTCTACCTACTCGAGCTACTCTACTCTAGGTAGGCCCTTAAACCCCTCCTCGATCTTCCTCCTCCACCTCCTCCACACCCGCGCGCGGCGAGGAGTGACCCTGGTTGTTTCCCAGATGAACATGGTCCATGCGCCCACCGCCGTCCACACGATGCAGTCTGCAGACCTGAGATATTTAGAAAACATCTAACAGTGCATGCTGACGTTTTTTATTCTAATTTTGATTCATCGTCGTTTCTCTCGATTGAACCGAGGCCAAGATTCAAATCTCTCCCAAGCAAAAAAAAAAAATACTTGTAACAATTCCCGGTCACTTCTAAAGTAGTGGGGATTAATCTTCCGAGGGCCCGTCTAGAATCCCAAAATCCAAATCTGCCGCGGCCGTAGTTTACTAAACCTGATGCCCGTCAAAAAAACAGCTGTTTAAAGCTTGTATCATACATGTATGTATGTATGGCTACTCCACGTGGATGGCATGTTGCACCGGTCGTGCTGTGCTGCTGCACAGGGATGCAAAAAAGAATCAACACGCACAAGATATGTACTCGGGTATGGGAGAAAGAACCAGAAAATGCAATAGGGTTATTTGTATGGCAGAGCGGCGCCACTCCATACAAACAATCCCTGTATCGTCACTTGCATTTTCTGGTTCTTATTCCTGTACCCGAGTACAGCTTGCGGTAAGATTATTGTAGAAATATGGGAGGAGTCCTATTGGCTTGCCCAGCCACAGAAACCCTGTTTTAGACCTCTGTTTCTACCTCTCGCTGTACGCAGGTTCCATGCATATGACTTTTTTGGTAAAGGTCCACAATAAGTAGGACCGCTCTCCGCCTCAAATTCTCAAGCCAGCCGGGCGGTGAAAAGCTTTGGGCACTGGTGATCTCGACAAAAAAGTATATCCACGGACTAGCTAGCGGTCGCGGCTTGATGCCGTGAGGCATTTTTTTTTTTTCTGTTCAGGAGCAAGCGGCATGTACACTGTACCTACATGATGGGTCCGCATTGGAAAGTTACACTGCCGAGAGCCATTTTGCAAATGCTTCCTTTGGCTACAACAACCCTTCAATACCCACATAATGTATATGTGGTGTTTGAAAATCGGCGTAGAATCTAGTTTCAACAGTTCCGGGAGCAGGAATGGACCTGCATCCGGTCTGGGTGCTGATGGTGGATGATGCTTTAAAGTTGCATCTCGCTATTAAGGCTGGCCAGTTGCTAAAAAGGTCAATTGACTTGGATTTTCTAATCTTGGACAACATTAGCATAACGACTACATATACGTTGGGAGTAGGTCTAAAACTTAACGCCTGGCACATTTAAAGCTGATTCTGTCGACCGCGGCCGAGTGTAAACTGTAATATATTCAGTATCTCGTGCGGATATATGTGATGCAAGTAGTATCGTACCCGCGCATAGCTAATTGCGCGATGCAGTGAATCCACATCTAGCACCTCCGATAAAGACGGCCCAAGAGTAAAATTAGAAGTCTAGGGGATTTGAAAGCTACCGGACGTTACTGAGTGTGGGCTTTGAACTTGGTGAAGTATTTACAAGCCGGATTTGGGTTGGTCACCACAGACGGCACATAGACTTCAAGGGAAGTTACATAAGGTGCTGGCGACTGTTAAATGCCTCACTAGAACCTTTTTCTTCGATAGTATATTTACGAGACCGGTCAAAGGGCCTGTCTTGAGGTACTCTATCCTCGGGCTCGAGCTCATGACTACATGAACATCTCAGGGAAATCACTCGACTTCGCAGTAAGGATTGATGACGCATAAGTATAGAAAATCCATGTAGAGCTACCATTATATATTTAACACTCCAGTACTCAATAGCAGTATAAATGGTATAAGATTCCTCGCCATGGCCAAGAAGTTTTTTCGAATGGCCGGTTTTATATGGGTGGCTTAAGTATTCGTAGAAAACCAATCGATTCGCATCATAAGGAATCACTCAGTATTTCTAGCGGTCACTCCTGCAGAAAACTCGGGTCGATAGACTCAGCCGTGTAATACCAGCTCTTTCGTACCCCTTACCCTGCCAGAAAGTAACTGCACTCATTCGAAAGCAAGAATGTCCTCCTTACTTGATCCTTCTAAAACATATTTAGCAGATGAGCGGTACAAACGCCATTTTGAAACACTACCTGGCACTCATTAAAGGTTCATCGTTGGTACTCATTGGTTGGCGGCGCGTGATCCCTATGCCCACAGGACACCGACCTCACTTCATTTCTCCCCCTCAAAGCTCAAGCTCAGGCCTATATATTCATCTAGGCCAGATCGTATATTCGAGGCCTCCCTTTGGCTGCCAGTTTCCACGTAAGAACCGGTGCTGGGAAAAGACAGGCCAGCGTCGCCTGTTAACTGGGCTGGGGTGTAGTTAGTGTTAAATTTTTGGAACTCAAAACCTCTCAAAAATGTTTTGTCACTAAGACTAGGTAGGAAATTCCGGAAATATAGGTGAGTCGAGTGAGGTCCCCAGTGGTGATAGGGCGCCCAAATATATCCCCAGCCATTCTCAACTTTGACCCTCATGGTTTCTCCCCGATAGAACCTATTTAACCCTTTCAACTTTAGTACTTAAAACCCTACTCAGTATGCCAACCGTAGGGATTGGTGTGACAACCTTCACGGGGAGCCAAAAATAATATACTTGACTATTGAAGGCCTTCCCATTAATTAATATAAGGAGAAAGTCTCGAATGAATAATATTGACTCTCAGTATATTCACTAAAGTATCTGATATCGTGTTAGTCATCTGGGGTCCGTATAGATATGTAAGAATTAAAAGCTTAATGCATATAACAACTTGGCCATGCAACTCAGAGGAAAGAGTAGGCTGTTACAAATTTCTTTGTAACTTCATTGTTATTATTATTTGTTTTGTTTTGTTCTTGTGTGGGATTTCTGTCAGATATTGTCATAACCTCCGGGTTGCATACAATTGAATGGAGTAATCAATCAATGGCCATGCAACTCGTGGTTAATTCATGAGATATCACTCGGTAAACCTGCGTTCCTTAGCCTCATGTCTATGCAGGCCTAAGTAACCTTCGTAGGCCGTTGAGAAGTACATAGAGGAGGAGTAGAGCTGTCAGTCCTATGGTTAGATATGACTATATGTATCTAGAAAAGGGTTGAGGTGGTGTGAGTTGAAGGGTCGGTGTCATGTGGCGGCTTGGCAGTTTTTGCTAGTGCCGAGTCATTTGGAGCTACCTCCATCGCTGGACTCCCGTGTAACTTTGAGATTCGCAGAGATTTTTTTTTTTGGGGGGGGAGGGGGCTTAGAACCAATGTCATACTCGAAACACCAATATCTACAGACCAATTATTCTAGGTCAATGGCCACATGGGAAGATCCGCAGACGGGGAGAGAGGTTTCAGGTCACGGCGGATCCATTTGACATGCCGGCACATACGGATGATCTACAAGCAAATGCACATGCTACACTTATAGATATACCTCTATTACACTAGGCTCATTCCCAATCTCCACGGGGGACGGACTGGGAACAAGCCTACTAGACGCACCCTATGTCCACACAGATCCTCATTTATTACGGATTGGCCAACAGATGTGTTTGGGGCGTATCTATTTTATTTTGAAGTTTTCTGGTACCTGTAAGAATCGCTGAGAGGGAGGTTAGCCCCGCCATTCATCAGGGGTTCCTCTGGATATGGTAATGTTTTTCCATACGGCAAACTTCTAGCATGTCCCAGAACAGTGATACACAGGTTTCTTCGAGGAATTTTGCATAGCCTCTTTATTGGGTTTTATCCTGGGATACCACCGGCTGAGAATCACCTAGGTGCCAAAGGTTTCTACCCACAAGCAGGCTCTTCTCCAACAGTCCCTCTCTCAGCCCTCTCTCTTCCATAAATTCCTCCGTCCAGGATGACATCCTCGTTATCCTTCAACTCGTCCTGTACCCTTCTCCAAGTCTTTGGAATGCCGCCGTCTATTTCCTTCCCCTTTCCCTTCCCGTCAACGGCCGCCCTATCATAGACAGGCCTAATCATTCCTTTCAGGAGTGGATTTCGTGCGTATTGGCCTGCCCTTTCCGTGCCTTTCCCTTTCCCCTTTGCTTCAAGTGCTTGCGCACCACCTCTCTCGAGTCTCTCATCGTATTCGCTCACTTCATGCTCCTCTTCGCTACTCATCTCTGGAGGTGCGATATCTCGCATCTCCTTCACTATTTTTCTTCCCTTCAAGTCAATAGCGACCACTATTCGCCGTTTCTCATAGTCCTCCTTCGCATTCCAGTCCATCATCCGCATAATCTTCTGCTGCTTTTTCAGCTGCAATGCACGCTCCTGTGGATTTGCCCATGGGTTCAGCCCAGTCGATATTGGTGTTTCAAAGTCTGCTGCCTGATCAATGATCTTAGTTCTCTGGGCGTTGTTTGCCTGGAAACCCAATAGTCTGTCTCTATGCGCCATCGCTTTCTTGAGTCCATCTCCTTCATCGCCACTCGGTATTGGGCTTGAGTTTGTGGAGAATGGTTTTGGAGTTTTGGCAACTTCAGGACGCTTATTCCGTGCCGCATCCACCGCCATTCTCTCTTTTCCGCGCTCGTCGCGGAGCGCGCGGACCATGGACTGAATGTCCTCGGAGCTTATGAGCGGAGTGTTACAGAATGTACATGGGCCGAGGCCCTCTTTGATGCAGATGACCTTTCCGCAGGAAAGACAGTTGGGTGCAGCAGCAAAGACTTCGTGTTTTAGACCCATACAGGAGCATTTTCGACGTTCTGTGGCAATTGTAGGGTTGGTTGACATCTCGAGGGTACGGAGGGCCGACTCGAGGTCGTCAAGTTCTTTTGAAACACCACGCATAGAGGTTCCACCTGTTACTACAACCTTTTGCTGTTGTGGCTTTGCCTTCTTTGTTTTTACGTTTTTGAGGTCGGATGTGAGTGTTCCGAACGATTTAGATGGGTTCGGTACATGCTGTGGCGCAGGGGGAGTAGGGTCCTGAGGTTGGGTCCGTGAATTCTTGGAGCCAGTGAAATACTCATCCTCAAGGTCCTTCTTGATATAAACGCTGCTTGGATTCGTGAATTGGTCCTCCACCTGGCGGGGCGCCTGGGCAAACTTCCCAATCGGCGGTTTGCCCTTCTTTCCTTTCTTCTTTGATGTAGAGGGGCCGTCGCCGCCCCATGGTTGTGAAGGGCCCGGTGTGGGTTGTGATGCTTGGGGAAACTGGCGGGAGTTGAACTCGGAGATAAAGGATAATGATTCTGGGGCTTCGCCGAGGAGGTCCTGGTTTCGTTAGCTGTTGGCTTTCTAGTGGAGAAGAAGCGGGTATGAATGGTACTTTGAAGTGAGCGCTGACTCGTTCTGCAGATGAGAGAGACACGGCATATGTTATCACTTGAAGAAGGTCTTCTTCGGGGAGTGGTAGGAGAGGTTGAAGGCGGGGGAGCGCCCATGACTGGAGAGAGCTGGACATGATAAGATGGTGTACTCTAGGGTATGTGTTGAGTCGATTATTATTATTATCGCTATGAGAGAACAAAAGAAGTATCGGCTGGTGGGCGAAACAAGTGATAGCGGTATGAGGTTAGGCCTGGACCGATTGTTACTGAGGTAAGACGTTCATATGTATGCCAAGACTTTGGAGTTGGCCTAATTGAAAGTGATCTCTGGATAAGATCTTATTTTATTATAACAGAGACCCAGCAAATAAGCTTGAAACTTATGCCAAACAGGGTAAAAAGAAGAATCTAGGGAAAGTCGGGGAAAATGCATCAGGTGGTTGTTAGGCATAAATCGAACAAGGGAAGGCATAATAATAGAAGCAAGATAATAAAAGCCCTAAATATACAGCTATACAGAGCAGAAAGTTAGAGATTATGTAGGATGTATTCAAATTAAAACATTCAAGGTTGTAGAGGTTGTAAGTACATGTAGAGTCAGTGGTATGATAATGTATGTTGAGGCTCTGTGACGAAGGCTTGGCTGATGCAATCACAATCATACAGTATCACTCGTTGGCTGTGGTCCTATCGAATCCTCGTACTTGATGAAAAATGGTATTTTGTGCACGTAATACTATGGCTACGGTGCGAAATACCGCAGTACTGGAGCTTTACGTACTGTAGCTCTAACTCCAACCTCGGAAACCAATGCGTACATTGTGTACATACGTATACGTGTATGTGTACTACGCCAGTACATGTATGTACATGTATTATTCTAGAAACCTTGTTTTACTTCCCATGTTGGTTAAATCTTTGTACCCCTGCTCCTTTTGATGTGGCTACATGTAGGAAGAAGCTTAGCACTAAACATCCTCACCGTTAGTAGGGAATATTGCCATTCAAAGGTGTTCATCTCTTATATCTATGGCAATCCACATACACATTCATCAAGGCAACTACCCCTCACCCTCTTCGTATGATCTACAGGAGAGATAGTTTATTATTTCACCCCTTTTACCCTACATAAGAGGCTGAAAAGGATCGACAAACTGAGAAGTTATCAAATAGCCTTTAGGATCACGGGAATCACCGGCAAAGATCCAGGGAAAATATAAACCAAAAGAAGTCATAATCATTTTCGTGTTTCCGCTAAATGGCATGCAGGAATACATGAAGTAGCCTGGAAAGTTTCGAATATTTACAAGAGAATACATCACGAACCCCAATAAAATCAAAACAGCCCCGGTATTCGAATATGAAGAAAAAGAAAGAAAATGCCCAGTGAGATCTTTATAAAGCATCCCACAAAGATACACCGTCCAACAAAGGGAAAGAAAATAAATCATAAATTAATCAGATGCGCCTACGCAATGTTGTTCATCATCTTGTAAGCAACGAGCGCAATCAATGCAGCACCGACACCGGACCCATCCTTGGCAACTCCGATCCTAATCTTCCTCTCACCTTCCTCTCCAACCTCTGGGATGTCTCGGAGAGCTTGTCGGAAGTGACCCTCGAAATTGGGATAAAATTCGACTACACTGCCGTCGACACCGATATCAATAATATCGTCCTCCGAGATGGCTTTGTCAGCCTTCACAGGTGATTCGCCAGTGGGAGCTGGGGCATCAACCAATGGTGCAGCATCCGGTTTGCCTAAGACAGCCGTTACGATGGCGTTGATACCCTGCTCGATGAAAGAGAGATCTTTCGTATCCGAACTTTCGGCACTCTGGGTGTTTGGTTTAGGAGCGTTTCCAAGCTTGCCGGTTGCCAATACAATAGCAGCGATAGTAACAGCCGAAAGACGAGCAGAACGCTTTCCAATGGCATGTACTATTGTCTTGATCGCTTCTGCTTCTTCGACGGTGGTACCATAAACACCCATCTCCTTCTGGATAGTCTCGCGAGTAACCAAATAATTTGGAGTTTCATCGGCCTCAATGTATGACAGGACCGAGGTATCAAGAGACCAGGGGGTGTAAAGAGCAGAATCTGTCTTGATGGTGGCTGTGGAGAATATATTGTGGCTCTCCTTCAAGGCCAATACTGCATTTCGGAGAATCTCACCCAAGAACATACCGGAAACACGCTTCTCAAACATCTGGATACCAGGGTTGACGCTGTTCTTATCAAGAGCACGGTCATAGGGGGTATCAGGGAGAACCTTCATGTCATTGTCGAAGCTACCCCACTCGGTGTTTACGACCATTTCACCGGTCGATTTATCATACTCTCCTACATTGGCGCCAGGCTTGGTCATCTTTGTTATCCGACTCAGCTTCTCGACGTAGGCTCCATTGGTACCAGTGCCGAAGATAGCTCCCAATAATGTTCCAGTCTTTCCGGGGGAGGTGTATGAGCGCGCCATCAAAGTTCCTACGGTATCATTGACTAAAGCAGCAACGACAACAGGCAGTCCGAGAATGTCAATTTCTGCCTGGAGAAGAGCACAAACATCCTTCCCAATGGCATCAGGAATATCAAAACCCTTGGTCCAACGGATCAGGTATCCTTTGTTGACGGCTTTCTGATCAACAGGGAATGAGAATGTGAACCCGAGATGGAGATGGTGGGTAGCATCCTCAGCGAAGTGGTCCGAATGGTGCTCTTTAACAAACTCGGCAATGTTCTTTGCGAGGAAAGAGAAGAGCGATTTGGAGTCAGAGACCATCAAAGCCTTAGGAATGGCAACTTTCGATTGCTGGATGCTGAAAGTTGTGTCGCCCTTCAAAGTGATAGAACAAACACGGAAATTGGTACCGCCAAGGTCAACAGCAAGGTACACACCCTAGAGAAATAGTTAGAGACGGCGAGAAAGAGATTGTGTTAAAAATATGGAAGTGTTACCTCTTCTGTGCCATTGGGAACTTTAGTAACGTAGGTCGGGATCATTGTCATAGCTTCGCCATCATTGCTTAATCCAACGTCTTTAAAAATAATTGAATTAGTTTAACACTATCACTACCATAGACCATTTTGGAGCTTACCCATCAATCGGAGAAACTCCTTGACACCCGCTCTAGCTTGCTCTGGAGTATACTCAAACTCCGCAGCAATAGACTTTGCCTTCTCGATCAACGTCATGTTTCCTCCCATGTGGCTGTTTTCTACAGAAGAAGTTTCAAGCTTGCGGACGAATGTTTGGTGGGGGATGTCTGAATATATCTCAGGATCCGGATCGTTCTGATAATTCTTCTGAGGTCCGCAAATCGCAAATCCCGATATATTCTCTGGGACGGTTTCTGGAGTTGAGGAGGCTGCCGAGGTACTTTTACTTCCAAATATTTCTTGGGGAACAAGTCGTGTAGGGGTAGGTTTGAGTCTCGAGGTGGGACGGGGAAGAACGTCTATAAAAGGTTTGTGAAAGAACTGGAGCCCTAAAGCGATAAGAAGAAGGGCTAATGATAGCAGTCGCAGGCTGGGGAGAGATGTGGGGAAATATATAGAAGGTGAGACGGTGGCTGGGAAGGGTGTCACTCTTAAATTGTCCTTGATTTTAGCATCTGAACTTGGCGAACAATGAGGGGTAGAGACTGAGTTAATCGCGTTGCTTGTGATTTTGTGCGAGGAGGTATGAGGTAAGTGAGGGGCGCTACGGAACCGGGCTGGGGGTCCAGCAACATTGGGCGTGGGAGGACCCGTCATCGGCGGGGTCCCTAACGCTTGCTCCTAGAACCTGGCTCTACGAGGGATTTTCAGACAAGCCGGGAATAGGTACTGTGGGCAAAGATTAAAAACAAGGTCGTGCCGGAAGATTTGCGAGTGGGCCGGAAGAACAACAATTGAAGCCGGGAAGTATTGTTCTAGGGGGCAATGGCCGTTGGGACGCGACGGGGGTATCAGTTTCGATCTGAAGATTTAATTGACCGGGGGCGAACTTTGCTTTTGGATATTCCGATTTTACCTACTGTTCGCTACTGTGTAGAGGTTGTTGAGATGTGATGGGATGAGGGTGGACCAGATTGAGGTGTGGTACCAATAGGAGAGGATTCGATGCCATGCCATGCAAGGGCAGGGATCTAATGTCACGGTTTTCTCTTGACATGTTTTACTACGGAACAGGCGCGGAAACTCGGAAAATCTCTATCTCTATGGTTTGGGGAAGTTTACTAGCTTTGCCATTATTTATTGTTCCTGCAGAAAATGACCTGGGTATTTGCTTTATCTCTAATACATACCCCTCAATTCTGTGTGATCTTTAAAGACATTCCGGCTATGCAGGGCAAATAATTGATTTTTTTTCACAGCTATGGTGTTTTTGCTTTTCGAAGCAGCAGTGCCTTTCACCCATTCAAAGGTGCCAAGGGCTCGACAGGGACAAGTCTAGAGTTGGGATTTTCCGGATCATCCGGTAGGGATTCACTTGTACAAAGTCGGAACTTCACGGGGAATAGTTTCGCGGAGAATTTATTTATTACGACATCACGAGGCCATGACACGGATTAACTTTTATGGAGTTAAAAGGCGAGCGCGGCGCTCATTTTCTCCAGGTTTACCATGATAAAGACTAACACAAGATGAGGTTCATCTCCTGACACAACCCCGGGGAAGACAACGCTACTACTGGGCTGGGTATGGTTGCAATGTTTCTATGGTATTAGTGGGGATATTAGTGGGGGTTGGTGATGGTTAGACCGGTGTTCTTTCCTAGTGGACACGCATTTCAACCGCAATGGAACAATTGGCCTAGTGTGGTTTTTGGCGTTCGGCGGCATGTAACATGATTGTAGTTGCGGTATCTTTACTGACATGTCTCATGACAGTCCGTTTACTATTCAGAGATGGATTACCCTCTGTACCTTCTGGCAGCAAAAAATCAAAAAATGTCACGCAATCATTGACGCCACAGGCTCCTCTCTTTCGCCGCCGCCTTCGACTGAATGCCTGCCACCCTTTCCAGATGCGCAGCTGACGGCTTTTAGCTACCAGTAATGTCACGCGAGGTCTTATTCAAGTCGATATATTGTACTTTCTTCTAGACTCCATCCGTAACTGACGTCAAATGTCACCGATTACCAGTTTTTATAGCAATATAGCATTCCCAGGAACACACTACGAATAGGGGGTAGCGGTTTGGCGGGAAAGGCGTCTCAGAAGTCTCGTCAAATCACATGGAAGTGCATAAACACAACCTCCCAACTGAAACTGGAGCTCAAGTCTTTATGCTAAGGTCGGAAGCACGTTGTAAGTCGACGAAGACTCGAGGAGCAGGTGCTTGTCTGGTGATGGACAAGGACTTATGTCTATTAGGGGTATTCAGATGTCGTGGGCTTGGGGCATCTGTATGCAAGTGCATACACGAGTGACGGGTTGGGCGACTCTTTATGAGTGTCCCTCGTATTATTCGGCTCACTACGTATCATGTGGTCAAGTTTATTACAGAGGCGTAACTTGTCACGCAATATTTTTGAGCTCGGGAAACCTCAGGAAGCAGTGAAGTTCTCCTATGTCTGAATCTCACAGATAAATAACAGTCTATTTGGGGGTAGGAGCAAAAACAAAAGTGCTGAGGGTTTGAGAGAATGGCACTATAAGCTCTTCTAGCAATATCCCTTTTGATTGCCCCCCTTGTTTGAAGCTAAGCTAAGCCCAGAAATGAAGAATAAAGAGGCATTGAGAACTTCTTTCAGGTAGAAAATTGTACGTCAAGCTCGCCTCGAGCTTGTAGATGCGTCAATGACTGATAGAAACAAAGAAAAGACAGCCCCCGTGACCTTAAATTTGAAATTGACAAAAATGCTAGGCGTAGAGAGTATATATGTAGTTATACCAAGTCTTGAACTAAACCATCAAGGCTTTCTCTGTAGACTTACGATTGGTTTGGTCAACTGGTACTGTAACTGTAATTGGGAGTCGAGCAGCTTGTAAAAACGCCTGCGTAGCTAGATTATTGTTTCGTTGAGCTTCACAATCAATTGGATCAAAATCTCCCTGGGTTTCAAAGAACTTTGATGAGGGTCTGGATTAATCTTTGGACCATCTACATGTATTTAATCAATTGGAAGGTACATGTAGTTGTGCACCGGAGAGGCTTCGGTGTGTTACAAGCAAATCCCCAATAGATTTACTAAAGAGAGTAGATTAGATAAGATGGTACATGCATGTCACTACATGTACAGCGGTGGGTAATAAGTCATCGGACGACCTGGCCACAATTTTGCCTGCAAACGCGTATTTTGGTGGTGTTCCGTCTGATGACTTATTACCCACCGCTGTACTCGGTGCAGGCAAAAGTACCGGACAATGCAGGTTTTTGGTTCACCAATGGGCGCGCGTGCTAGGCGTGAACTACTGCAAAAAAAAAAGCCCAGAGACAAAACTTGCATTGTCCGGTACTTTTTACCTGCCCCGGGTAGGTACTGTGCTTCCTCTGGCTCATGATTGATTATCATGCGATTAACCAATCGTCAGGGGAGCAGCACGTGCACCAGATCTTGGGTTCCAAGCCCTAACCCTGAGAATTTGGGTGGATGAATGAATACATGTAGGCACTTACGAGCTCAGGGAGAGCTGTGTGGTATTGTATTATCGGGCATGAAGATGCCCTAATCCCCCAACATATAGACGGAGCTGTTTAGTTGGTACTTGCTGTATTGCGCGAAGCTCTGGGGCTACTATCTGTGCTACCAATGGGGGACAGGGGACGCCAAAGGCACCCAGAGTCCCAGATCAGAGCAGGCCCTGAAGATCACAGCTGGGAGGGCTGCTCGGTTGTTTGGCGTCGCCATTTTCGGATGCAAGCGGTCCCTGATACGCATACTGTATGGCTGGACGGGGGAGGGGAAACGGGGGGACGGGGAATTTAAAGGCGGGGCGCAGATCGGGGCACGGGATTGAGAAAGAAGCTATGGGTGCTAAATAAAGCACAGGCACAGAAGCTTTGGATAAAGGGCTAACTAGAACTCTCAAGCAGATATTCGGATGAAGGCATAGGCAAAATGCGATAATGATGATGATGATGAGAGAGAGAGCTCTCTCCGAGCAAATATATGCCATGAATAGCCTCTAGATAATTCTATGTTCTACTCAGCCCCGCATCTTTAGAGTAAAGCTCTTTTTTGCTAGAAGAACCCTAAACCTGAATTTCCATAAAGCCCATCCCATCGCGTGTCCTCTTCAAAGCTCCCTCTTCTCGACAACGACGTCTGCTGGACTCAACACACAAAGACAGGCGTCAAACATCCAAGAACAAACATCATCACAACCACAACACAACCACAAACACAAACGCCCATCACAACAACTATTGTATAAATTGTCAGAAAATAATAATGGATAATCCCCCCGCTGCTCAACAGAGCGACACCTCACTTGTGGCTCGAGTCATCGCAGCTATCTTGTTTAACGGCCCTACAGTTATCCCGTTTATCCCAACCTATCTTCATCTCATCGTTGCCGCCGTCCTGCCCATCTACACCGGTGCCCATGCTTCCCTCAAACGCCCCGCAAACACACTCTCTCCTGCTCAGGTCCGCAAGTCTCGTAACGGACAGGAAACCGACGACGACCTTCTCGAAGACGATGAGGACGAGGATGACGAGGCCTCGGCATCGCCCATCGAAAATCTGACTGCCACAGATGCTTTGATGTTCCCAGTCACTGCTGGTGTTGTTCTCGGGGGTCTCTTCCTTATCATCAAGTTTTTGAACGACCCCAGTATCCTCTCTCGTATCATGACATGGTACTTTTCGGTCATGGGTGTATTTGCTGTTGGGAAGACTACCTCGGATCTCTTGAGCATTTCAATCTCATATATCTTTCCCCGGCGCTTCCGCTCGGCTGATGGCAAGATTTATGTTGCGGGATACAATTCTTACAAGGCCAAGGATAGCGACTCCAAGAAGGAGAATCCGTGTGGAAGATTGTGCTTTTTGCCCAAGAGCCTCTGGAGACCAACCTGGGCGCTGAGGCGCACACTTGGAATGAGATGGTGTCTGGTTATCAAGTCAAAGGGCTGGAGCCAAAATATCAAGAAAAGATTTTGGGTTGGCGATCTGGTTGGCTTGGTATCAGGCTTGATGGTCGTTGGGGCTTACGCTCTTGGAGGAAAGCATTGGACTTTATCTAACACTATGGGAGTTTCATTTTCTTATGGAGCTGTGCAGGTACGTTTTGAGCCAAGATTCTCATGAATAGTTCGTCCCAAACTTTACTAATATCCTTTGTCGCAGTTGATTTCACCTACTACCTTCCAGACTGCCAGTATCCTCCTCGGAGCCCTTTTCTTCTACGATATTTTCTTCGTTTTCTACACGCCACTCATGGTTACAGTCGCTACGAACTTGGATGTCCCCATCAAGCTACTGTTCCCGCGCCCCGGAGTAACTAAAGATGGAAAAGCAGCGTTGGCCATGCTTGGACTTGGTGATATCGTAATTCCAGGGCTCGTAGTCGCTATGGCACTTCGTTGGGATCTTTGGAGGTTCTATGAATCTAAGCGTAGAGCAAACTTGGAACGGATGGAGAAGTCGGCCGTGGATGAGATTGCAGACAGTGACGGACACGACATCAAGCGTAGAAAAACCATGAGCGAGGAGGAACTTGTTCTTCTGACGAAGCCACGATACGTTAAAGTTACTGGTATCTTTGGGGAGCGTTTCTGGGGTGGTGTTGAGGGCACCGCATTTGGAAAAGAGTACTTCTGGTCCAGCATCTATGGATATATTGCGGGCATGATTGCAACGTTGATGGTAATGCATGTTTTCAAGCACGCGCAGCCAGCATTGCTATACCTCGTACCTGGTGTGTTGGGTTCTATCTGGGGAACCGCTGCATATAGAGGGGAGCTGGGTCTCATGTGGAACTACACCGAAGAGGGCGATCCATTGCCCGAAACCACAGTACCAGAGAAGAAAGCGGACGAGAATCCATTCGAAGAGAAGAAACCTTTGGAAGCCAAAGAGGAGACGACTGACGATAATGAGAATGATGATGATAAATCCACCAAATCCACCAAGTCCTCCGGGTCCTCTCAGCCTACCAAGTGTGAAGAGGCACCAAAACAGGAGAAGGAGGAGGAGAAGGAGGAGGAGGAGGAGGAGGAGGATGAAGAGGAGGAGTGGATCAGTGTCTCGGTGACCAAGAAGCCTGCTGTCGGCGCTAGACGTAGAAAGGTGAAAGGAAAGGGCATGGAAGTCCCAGCTTCAATAGCTGACGAGTTGGAGTTGTTGAGCTCGTCAAGTACCACTTCCTCAGCCGAGGTCGAGGCTGAAGCTTAGTGAACATAATATGCACTTTGGACTCTGCTATTTGGTCGAGATTGAGCCTGGAAAGTTCACTGGCCATTAGTTGCCCCTTTGCCTCTTTTCCTATTGTCTCTTTGCTTTTAATTGTATCTTATTAGGGTGGTCTTGACATTGCTTCTCAGAGATGGATGGGACAGGCGTTTGAACTGGTAAATTGAATTTCACTACTTGCTTGAGAGGGTATCCTTGCATATATATTGAATGAACATATGACTTTGGCTGTAATCCTTGTGCCTTCTGTGAGGATATTTCTCACCAGCCTGCAGCTGCATGGAGGGGGTATAGCAGTTCTCCATTCTACATATTCTCCATGTCTACTATTGAATTTCCCAGTCACGTCACGCCCATACAGTGCAGATCATGTACCCACGTGTGTGCGCATGCATGGTGTTGACGCAGAGTATGTACATGTAGGTATTCTGACTCCCGAGCCCACAGGATAAAACCATCCCAAGGCAAGACCGCCCTGCCCTGCCCTGGATATGTTCCACTGTAAGCAGCCCCCCTCACTCCACCCCCCTCGCTCCCCTCCCGTCCCGCCCCATTCTTCACCACCTCTCAGCCTCAATTCTACCCCGCTTGACAACAGCGACCCCGCAATAAATAAACAAATATGGATTTGCCAGGAAACAATATCGACATACATGTAGCTTATATATGTGTCTGTACTTACCCGCTGATGTCTGGTTATTAATAGGCTCTCTCTCTCTGCTCTCTGCTCGATCTAGCTCCAGGTCGATGCCAGACGGGCTGAACTGATTCTTCTACCTTCGTGTGCACGAGAACGGGCATATATACCTTATCTACGCCGTCCATCTCAATTGATACACCACGACCTCCGTGATATCAGCTACACCTTCCCACACGGCCTCTACTCACTCTCTGTACCCAATTCCAATTCCAATTCCAATTCCAATTCTAATTACACGAATAACTACATACACACCACACCACACTCTCACCACACTCCCACCTCCCCCCTCCCCCAAAGCCACAAGCAAAATGGCCCAGCAGGCCAGCACCACCTCCCACCACCTCCCCAACGAACACATCGTCCTCCGCCCGCCCACAGCGCAAAACATCGCCTCCCTCCGCCGGCTCAACAGCCTGCTCCTGCCCATAAACTATCCCAAGTCCTTCTACAACGACATCCTCGCCTCGCCCACCACAACACGCCTCACACGCCTTGCCGTCTGGCTGCATAACGTGACCCCCGCGGACCCACCGCCTACTGACGGTGACGGCGACGGCGACGGCGAGCTGCAGCAGCAGGAGGACCCGGGCGTCACTGTCGGCGGGGTGCGCTGCCGGCTTGAGCTGCCGGCTCCGCCGCCGCAGGAGGTGGTGGAGGGGGTAGAGGGGGACGGGGAGGGGGCAGGCGGTGAGGAGGAGGAGGGGGGGATACAGACCGGGGGAGCGATATATATTATGACGCTGTGCACGCTGTCGCCGTACCGGCATCTGGGGGTGGGCACGCGGCTGGTGGCGAGTGTGCTGAGGGCGGCGGTGGAGATGGGGTGTAAGGAGGTGTATGCGCATGTGTGGGAGGCCAACACGGAGGCACTGGAGTGGTATCGGAGGAGGGGGTTTGATGTGGATACGGGCGAGGTGGTGAAGGGGTATTATAGCAAGTTGAGGCCGGCGGGGGCGAGGGTTGTGAGGAGGAGGATTGGGGTGGGGGATGCGATTGCGTTTGCGGCGAAGGGGGAGGCGGACGGGGAGGGCGTGGGGGAGGGAGGGGGTTGGAGGGGTGAGTATTGGGGGGGGTGGGGTGGAGTTTTCGGGGTTCGGGGTTCTGGGTTCGGGTTTCTGTTTTTTTTTTTTTTTTTTTTGTCCCTCTTCCCTTTTTTACGGTTTTATAAGAATTCATGGCTACTTTTAGCTGTAGTAGCAGCTGGCTGGCTGGGTTATGCAATGGCGAGCGTTTAACGGAGGCGTGGATACATATTTCTTTTCTTGTACAATAATTTCAATAAACATCATGCCTCTCAATGCAATTGCAATTAATTAATTAAAGATGCTATTAACACGCCCGAGGGAGCACACAGAGAACCACAGAGCTGCACATACACACTGCACTCCAGGCAGTGTGACCGTAACATATGTACATGTAGCCTTGTACTGCCTGCCCACCGTCCTCTACGCAGGCAGCCTTCTCCAGCATCAGCATCGCCATCAAATATCATTGGCCCCACCACGGTCAATCATAATCATACGTCTGATCACACCGACCGAGTGATGGCCCATGATGCGATTCCTGCCCAATGAGCACCCGATCTTTCCATGGGCTGCAGATTCGAATTACACGGTCATCAATTGCCCCGCGCGGGACTTTAGCCAGAGAGAGCACATACATCCTCGCTCTCTCTCTCTCTCTCGCCCACACGCCCTGATCCTGCAGATATACAATACATACATGTACTGTAGATAGACGATACTAATCACCAGCTTTCCCTTATCAAGATCGCCGGCGCCGATCTTACATAAGCATAATTTCGTCTGAGGCTCTTTCATTTCCAGGAGTGTTTTTGCTTGACAGCGCAGTCTTTCTTTCTGTTCTTCTTCTTCATCTTCTCTAATATCTTCCATCTCTCTCTCACACTCGGTCTCTCTCTCTCTCTCTCTCTTCTTCTCTCCCCCCCCCCCCCCCCTCTCTCCTCTCACTCGTCCAGCTCCCCTCCCCTCCCCTCCCCCGACCGCTGCAGCTGGCCCCCCCTCTGCTCCACTCACACACACGCGCCCGGCCATCGCTCCCCCCCCATACAAATACATGCACTCGGCATCGCACCGCGGGGGCTCTCAGTGAGCTATCAGCGCACGCAGAACCGTTCCGGCTGAAGACCCGCGTTGTCACGTGCGGGTGAGTGAGCGAGCTCTGTCTGTGCTCAGCGCCACGGAGCAGAACGAACAGGACAGCACAGACGAAACAACATCGACTCTCTCTCGAGACATCTCGACACCGTGAAGAAGGGAAAGACACCGAAGAAGAAGAAGAAGAAGAAGAAGAAGAAGAAGAAGAAGAAGGAGAACAAGAAGAAGAAGAAGAAGGAGAAGAACATCATTGACAGCTTCGATACACGCAGGCAGACGCTCTCTCGCCGTAATGGCTTCGTCAAGCCCGTCTGGCTCCAGCGGAGATGACTCTGACATGAACAGCGTCACCCCCAATTCCCTCGCCGGCCTGGTGGGAGCCCTCTCTCTCCTCTCCTCCCCCTCTCTGCCCTCTCTGCCTTCTCCCATCCCCCCCCCTTTGTATCTCTGTCCGCCCTCCCCCCCAGTGCGCAGGTACTAACGCTGCCCCCCGCCTGATCCAGTCTCTCTCGATATTCTCCGACCTTCTCGCAAACATCACGCACGACATTGCCCTGCAATCCCACCGCTCCGAGAAGCTCCTCCGTACGAAGCAGCAGCATCTGCACCCGCCCACCACCGACGGCTCCCCGCCGCCCGCCGCAACCGCAAACCCGCTCGCGGTCGTCCCGGCCGAGATAATATGCTCGCGCTGCCACCTGCCGCAGCACACCGCGCACACGCTCGAGACCACCACCGCCGCCGCGCAAAAGAAAAAGTTCTGCCCGCGCCTCCCCTTCCAGGACGCGCCCTTCCACGACATCTACGGCAACCCCTTCCCCACCGTCAAGGAGAACGCCGCCAACAAGAAGGGCGACAGCAACAAGTCTGCCGACTCGCCCGCCGAGGATGGCGCCGCTGCCGTCGCCATCGCGCCCGGGAACGGAAAGAAGGGCGCCGCGGTCTACTTCAAGTGCCCCTGCTGCGACAAGGAGAAGGTGCCGCCGAATCGCTTTGCAAAGCATCTTGAAAAATGCCTGGGCCTCGGCCGAAAGAGCTCCCGCGCGGCAATGGCGAAGATGAATAACAGCAACTCGGGAAGCGGCGCCGGGAGCCCCATGCTTAGCGCCGCGGACGCCACCACCGCTCAGGGCAGCAAGACGGCGAGTCGCAAGGCTAGCCCAGAGAAGAAGAGCAAGAGCCCCGTCCCGCTCGAGGAGGTGGCGGTCCCGCCGCCACCGGCGACGCCGGTGATATCGTCAAAACCGATCTTTGCGGCGTCGGTGACGGAGATGGCTGCTGGCAGCGGCGTGCCCACGCCAAAGAAGAAAAAGAAGAAGGCTACTGCCGCCGCCGCAGCTTTAAAGGTGGGATCGGTGCCGCCGGAAGAGGATAAGGGGTTGTTGGCGATGCCGGAGACGCCCACGAAGCCGATTGATGTGCCGTCGTTGACGCCGCTGCCACCACCGATACTGGCCAAGGAGCCGACGACGCAGAAGAAGCGGAAGCGGAAGGCGGAGACTTTGGCCGCTAAGGTAGAGGCGGCGGCGACAGCGGTCGGGGAGGAGAGTAGGGAGGCTATCACACTGCAATTGTCGAAGGCGCCGCCGCTGAAGAAGCAGAAGCTGGCGCTGGGAGGGGGGGAGAAGTCGACCACGTTGGACAGCCCGAAGAAGAGCCAGCTGAGCAAGTTCAAGAACCGCGCAAATAGCCCGAGTCCTGGTGGGACGAGCAGTAAGAAGGGAGAGACAATTAGGGTATGTTATATAGCTTCTTTTTTTTCTTTCTTTCTTTTTTCCTTCCTGGTTGTTATATCATACTAACAGCTACATATATAGAAATCCTCACCCGCACCCCACGCATCGCCACCAACAACACACAAGTCGCTCCCCCCCAAACCGCCCACACCACTCACAGGTCCGCTCTCCGCAGCCCCCATGGTCACCTCCTCGTCGAGCCAGGGCGCAACGCCAAAGCAGCGGAAACCAAAACTCGGAACTGGCGGATCGGGCAAGAAAGCCGCCGCAAACTCAACTGCTCCAACAACAACAGTTACTACTGGCGACGGTGGTGGTGGTGGTGGGACCGTGGTGAAAAAGGTCACAAAGCCGAAGATTAAGAAGGTTGTGGGCGGCGTGGCGGGCAAGACGGTGCCGGTGCCGAGGGTTGCGGGGAAAACGGTGCCTGTGCCAGGTGTTGCGAGGAAGGGGCCGAAGGAGTAGAGGATGAGAATGTAGTTGGTATTAAAAAATGTTGATGGGGGACTTTTTTTTTTTTTTTTTTTTGGTTTGTGTTGGTTATTTTATCATCCGTCTAGCTTTCTCTTCGTTTTCTCTTATGGCATGGGTATTATCATTGTTGTGTGCGTTTTTTTTTTTTTCGACCGGTTTTTTTTCTCTGTCTTTTTCTTTGGGGCCTATTGGTTTTTTTTTTTTTTTGTTATTAACCTTCTTCATTTTGTGTCATTCGCCATTTTTATCTCCTTTTTTGTACAAAAACCAAACTGGCGGCGGAGTCATCATCTTGTATTGGACTGTATTCGGATTCTTCTTCATCTTTATTTCTGTGTGTGTGTGCGCGCGTGTCTTTTACCTGGGTTTTTTCTTTTTTCGTATTCCCCTGGCCTGTTTTGCATCTTATGCGTTTGTCCTTCTAGTGTGTTTTGCGGTTTGTGTTCCAAGAAGGCCTTTTGGTTTTGGTCTTGGTTTTTGAAAAAAATACTTTCAGTAGCGGTTCTTTTTTTTCTTCTTCTTCTTTCTCTGTTGTGTTGTTATTCTTAGGACTAGATCAAGAGAGTGATATTGTCGTATGAACACCCTCTATCCACCCCACTCCCTACACACACATACACACACACACACGCACACACACGCACACGCCTTTATTTTTTATTTTTTATGTAAAGTAAAGAAATTACTACATACAACGGGTTCTGTTTGTTGGCGTGGATGGTGTAGAGAGAAGGTGGCTGTCTGTTGGCTGTATACGAGTGATATATCGTGATCCGGCCATCGAGGTTGGATGTCCCAAGCGCCCTCCGCGGGGGGATGTGGAGGCGTATCTTGCATGGTAGTGGAAGATTCTTGGGGAATTAAGGAGGGGAGTGGACGGGTGGAGGGGCGGGAGAGTACTGGCTACATAGTACAGCCATAGTCCGTAGTGGGAGGGAGTTGGGGGGGGAGGGGGGGCAAAATGTCACTTTTACCACCAACCGACTGGATACCGTATGAAATCTACCAGACGATATCTATAGTGAATTGAATGAGGGGGCTTATGTTTTGGCGGCTGCAGGTGCGGAACTGGTAAGAGGCCTACTAAACTCGATTAGGGTCGCTGTTCTTGCACTACATGCAGGTACCACACAGAAAAGACACCGACGGGTGCGTCTTCTTCGCCAGTCCGAATGAAATCCTCAGCACAAAAAAAAAGAAATGAAGGAGCGTGAGTATTGTAGAAATGATACACTTGGTATGGTGTAGATAAAAAGAACAAAAGGTACATTGATGGCAGCCGCCATGTCTACTACCCCCACCCCTGGATTGAACCATGGACCTTCGACAGGTACAACTTGGCACAACCACACGGTGTATCCGGAAGGCGAGTGCTAACCGGTAGACCACTCGCCCATGTGTGCTGTGGGCGGGAAATGGTATTTGAACGCAACGGCTGATTGCAGATAACTACTTATACTATCTCTATCAGGCGAGCTGTGATGCCGGCCAAAAGAGCAGGGCAAAAACTCAATCTAGTAGTTTTATCACACCTAACCCTGGATTCTACCCATCTAGACGTTCAAAGGCAAGACTGAGCTGAGTGATAGGACTGGGTTGGGTTATAAAACTGGTCCCCGTATGGCCCTTTGGTCATTGCTGGGTGGAGTGGCTACTTCGTTTCTTCGGTTCTCTCTGTGGCCTCGGTTTTGCACTTTTCTCGGTTTTATGGAACGAATTTGCACCAGGTTCGGATGGACGAGGGAGTATAGCAATGGGAAATACAGAGCATGGGACGTGTTCGTATGCTTTCTTCTGCGGGGGTTGGGGGGGTAGGCCTGGGTATTGGCCGCGGTGGGTACTAAGCTGGTGAGCTATTCTCAAGTTCAGAAACTACGTTTAGCTGATAGAAAAGATCCCAATATATACATAGATAGGGGTTTCTCGGGTCAGTTGGATCATTAGAGCCACAATCATAATAAGCGACAGAACAGGCACAGTCGGGCTCCCACACTGGATACATAGATACTTAGACGATTATTCAGGGTACGAAGGGTTTATATTTGGCCCCAGAAGGAAGGACGGAAGGAGAGACAGAGTCAAATTAGAGCTAGATAGTTACTTTTCGTTTCTTTATTTTCGTAGATGGCGGTGGATGTTTGCTAGCTTGCCGAATACCCTTCACTAGGCGTGGCCGGGAGCTAGTGGGGTAGTTCTGGGGTTATCGCCATAACTGTAAGGTTGCATGCAATTAATGAATTAAACAAAAAAAAAAAGAGCCCAATCATAAACTATCACTCGAGAATACCAGGGTTAGGGTTTCAACTCGCAATTCAAGAAAACCAAAATGATTCCATTTGATAGCTCCTCCTAGAGACCTTTACCAGACTCTATGTGAGCTTTGGAGCTCTACTATTTGAGCTCATTGATATCCTGAAAGAGCTCCAGTATTCGTGGGCTATCCTATCTCGCGTTTGGTTGGGATTTTCGTGGATGGGGCAGCACAATTAAACCTACACCTATGTATAATGTAATTATATAATTGTTAACGTTGTTTCTTGCCCTAATTAGCTACATGTACTCGATCTGATCCTTACCCCAGTGTCCGTCTTGGCAGGTAGTCACTATAAATTTAAAGGATCTCTTTCACCGTCCACTTTCTTTCCTGTCGAAGCTACGTCCCGACTTCTCCACCACCGCGGGAGTCCTTTTCTCCTCCTACTTGCCCTCGCTCCTTGGAAGCTCCACCACCACCGTTCTCGGCTGTCCGGGCTTAGGATTGAGGGGACGAGGCACTAGTTTCTTTTTGTTTTTCCTGCTGTTGGGCGGGGGGCATGATACAGTCTTCCTCTGATGGAGACTCCACCATCAATATCTCAACAGCTTCCCAAACTCCTCCAAGCCCCCTGTTCCTATTCCAAGAGATAATTGGGATGGCTTTCCGAGCTACGGTTGGGCGGTTCCCATAGGGTTAGGGTTTCTTAACCTTAATCAATTTTTGATGTATATAATAAATTTTATTTAATGATAATTAATTTTGTTTGTGTCTATAATAAATCTTTCTTAGTGATAAAAATCAATAAGCTATTTTTGGCTTGTTTTTCTTGTTAATCATTGGCGTTACCCTGAACAGCGGCCGCGGGGATACCCAATGACCTCTCTTTCCCCGAGCCTCATTACGACATTATCACTCGTTACGAAAAAAAGCTTCAATGTCTACTCACCGCCTTCCAGAGTCTTCCGACTTCCCCTCGGGACTAGTCTACACGCTTAAAGCTCCTGCCAAAGCTGCGCAGAACATCCTCATCCTCTTCCACGGCCTCGGCGATACCCATGAACCCTTCGCAGCTCTAGGCACAAACTTGAACCTCCCCGAGACAGCATGTCTTGCTATCAAGGGCCCCACACCACTACCGTTCGATATCAATGGATTCCATTGGGGCGACGATATCATCTTTGATCAGTCGACTGGCGGACTCGATGGTGACAGCGGGTTTAAGAGAACAAGGAAGCTCCTGAGGGAGGTTGTGGACGAGTCACTGGTAAAGAAGTGTGGTTGGAATCCTAGGAGCATCTTTTTTCTTGGCTTTGGGCAGGGCGGGATGGTGGCGGTTGATATTCCAGCGGGGAATAAGAGCATCGAGTATGGTGGTGCGATCTCGATCGGAGGTGCGCTGCCGTCCGATTTGGAGAAGCTCGAGGCTGGAGGGCTCAAGAGTGCAACGCCGGTATTGTTATTGGGTGCCGAGAAGAACTCGGTTATCGATAAATCTGTAGAGGTAAAGATGAAGGAGAGATTTGACTTTGTAAAGGTCGTCAAGTGGGGCGGCAGGGATGGTGATGGGATGATGAAGAGTAGGGAAGAGGCAAGACCAATCATGGAGTTTTTCGCAAAGAGGTTGAGGAGTATGCAAGGAGTTCCGGAGGGAGCTGTGGAGTTGCAGTAGTTAAGCACGTGATCAGGTATCAAGTACTACATAGCTAGTTGATTGGAGCTTTTCAAGTTTGAGAGGAATCCGGTACTGCAAGTTGAAGGAATTCTAAGGAAACGATCACGAGTGATCAACTATGACAGTTCATGTCCGCTCTGTAGAGTCCAATTTTCTCTTTATTTGGTGCGCATGGAATCTGCGCGAGGTTTGCGCAGCCCGATAGATAGATAGCTCCTTATTATCATTGCATTGGTAGAAATCCAGCTCACATATAAGAGCAGGATCCAATGCAAATGATTCGATCAACAGCTTTAGGGGTTTCCTGCCGATTGTGAGCTTGTGAGGCTGAGGAGGAAGTGCAATTTCCTGCGCGATGTTGAAACATAACCGCTAGAGTTTGTTCAAACCAGGATGCGGTGTTAGGTTGCAGAAGTTGCAAAAATAGGGAGGGTACGTAGTAGTGATTCATTATGTTGCAATCGTGCATTCTCATATCCTAGAGTTCAAGAATAGATATTCCTCATCCCATATTTACGGGCTTTGATAGTCGTTCATATAAATACGAGTTTGCACAGAATAAAGATTTCTCTGGGACATAAAGCCATCGGCATTGCCAAGTCAACAGTTCAGAGTACATAGGGATGTAATTGCAGGGGGAGCTTCGCCGACGCACGTTAGCAACTTTATGATTTGGGAGTGTTTCGCGGAATGAATTTTCATTACTTGTATTGAAAAAGCACTTCAGCTTGAGCGCATGATAACACTTTTGTGAATATGACACTCATACAAAGTTTCCAATTCATAAATAATCATTATCATAAGAACATTTCCCATAGAAGAACGGCGTATGGAGTACACATCCAACTAGTCATCAAAAGTTAAAAAGTTATTCAGAATCAGCAGAACCTGTAAATTGTCTGAGCCATTACCTCAACCCGAGTGCTTGCTTTCTACACTCAAAAAGACAGATCCACGAGTTCGCTGTACGCCATACTGTTCGTGAGTGTTGCGAAACCTGTATATTCCAAAGCTCTCACACCCGCCGAGAACCCGCGTTCTTTTGCAATATCGATCGGCATCTGAAATAACAAGTTTTGGAAGAAAGGAAACGCGCCGCCCTCAAGTAGCAATATTGTCATGGTATCATCGTCGAGAAGCGCCGCCCGGTGTAGGACAGAATTTCGCATGTTGTCCATTGTGTTGATGTTTGCCCCTCTCATCAAAAGCGATTTGACTACCTCCTGCTCGTTTGCAGACACCGCCACGAGAAGCGGTGTCTCTTCAAGGTTGTTTTGAACATCGATAGCGGCTCCATTATCTAGAAAGAGCTTAACGAGCTCTTTGTGGCCCTCGGCGGCGGCTATGTGAATAGCTCCAACAGAACTGCCATCATTGATATCAACACCATGCTCGAACAGCAAGCGAACTATCGTACTACTCCCTCCGTAAGCTGCCCAACTAAGAACAGATCCACCCTCCAAGTCATGTATCTCAGTGCTTGCTCCCTTCTTAAGTAGACTTTCGAATATCGCTTTATGGCCCAACTCCGCGGCCCAATGGAGTGCCGTACCCCCGCGAAGGAGGTCTTGGATAATGCTATTGGCCCCATTCTCTATCAAATACTCAACCGCCTTGTGCGAGCGACAGCCCAGGCAGATACTTGAGTAAAGGGTTGGGGCTTTTCCGATCATGATGCTGACTTCGCATTCCTCGAGTAGGAGGCGAATCATCTTTTCGTTTTTGTTGGCTGCCGCAAAGAAGAGAGCCGTGACAAAGTGCCTATCCGTTTGAATTGCATGCTTAAGCAGGCTTGGGGATAGCAATACTGATAGATAGCGATTGGCCCTGAGGAGAGAATAGAGATCCTTTGTTTCGAGGTCCTTTGAAATCTCGAGGATAAGCTCTGTTGGAAGGTTAAGGAGAGGCATTGAGGAGTTTGGTATATGGGTATACGCTGTGAAAGCTATGTAAGAGGTAAAAGGTCGTTGTTATATTTACAAGCTTATGGGTTGCCAGGTCATCCCGACGATAATCGAGCTATCAATCAGGCTATCGAGCTATGAAGCTCTCGACCTATCGCCTCTCGAGCTTAGCAAAGTTAGCATGGATGCACATTCACACGTGATGCTAATGAGTGCGTGGCGTGTAATTCTACGCTATGTAGTAATCATTAAGCGCTGTGCCAAGGCCTGAGCGCGCATAACTTATATCTCAGTTTGGTCACTTGATCGGCCATGTCCTATATCAGAGTTCCCGTCCCAAGTGCCTTTAAAGAGTTGAAACTGCCTTTTACTTTACAAACAGCAGGTACATACATACAGACCAAAGGGTTTGACCTGGGCGAAGAGCATCACATTCGAAGATGGACCTTCCATAGGGTAGGCGCCTGGTGGGGTAACACTGAGCTTCCCCGCACACTTTGTGAGCAAGGCTGTCAGGCAAGGCTGAGAAAAAATATTTAACTGCATAAGTGAATGTATCCTTGGGGCTCTGGGACTCATTTGTCTTTTACAGTTATCCCGGTAACCTTTTTGAATCTCTTTATAAGCGTTCCAATTCCCGCGCACGTTGTTCTTCCACGTATCCCATCCCGTTTTTGACAAATATTGTCGGTATTCTCGTCGGCTTTCTATATTATATCTAGCAGAACTTCCATCAGCATGCCTGACATGCCTAAGTATAGCATTGCTGTGACTATTATCGGGGTCATCCAGCTTGCGGGAAAGGTTACCTCCCTGGGCTATGGCTATATCGGTGGAGTGGATCGTGCTCCCAAGTACCTTCGGGAGCTTGTTGATGAGCTTGCCGCTCTCAGTAAAGTACTTATCGCCATACAAGATCACACTGATAAGGAACCAACCTCTGAAGTCATACATTCATTAAACGAGGAAAGAGGGCCTCTTCAAGGATGTGCACGGGAGTTGGAGATACTACAGTCGGAATTAGAACCCAAGAATGGAGAGGGACTTCAATCAGTCATGGAAGATAATCTTGAGTGGCCTCTTGAAGAAGAGCCGACGAAAGAATACATTAAGCGTGTCAAAGCACTAAAGGAAATCTTTGAACTTTCTTTGCAACCTGAATCCGAGTGAGTAAATCAGTCGGTCTTTAAAGATTGTTCTAACTGTAACCAAGACGTATTGCGGGTGATTTGGTCGGACTGGTGAAGAAGTATACTGAGGACGAGGATCTTGAAGTTCACAAGCTCCCCCTAGATCATCCAGTTGTGGTAAATTGGTACAAGAGGGAGGAGGCTCTCCGAATGGGTGAGTTATAAAAAACACAAATTAGAAGATCTCATATTCACTTATTTGAGCTAATTTGCTCAATTACTAGAGGAAAAGCGAGAGAATGTACTCAATTGGCTATACCCGGAAGACCCTGAGGCCAGGCATAATGAAATTAGTAATCGGAGGCAAAGGGAAACTGGTTCATGGCTTACAGAAAGACCTGAATTTCGGGAATGGCTTTTGCATCATGATCCTGCTTCTCTATTCCTATGGGGCTATGGAATCCGTATGTCTTCCCACCGGTCAGGAAATTCCAGTACTAATAAAAGTCATCTCTGAAGCTGGTGCCGGAAAGACATATTTGAGGTATTCAGCGCCGTTCTATATATATGATATGCCTATCGCTGAATTAGCTTGCTCTCTAGTTCTGTCGTTGTCGACTATTTTCCATCTGGACCATTGGCGGAAACGGTTAACTACGGGCTAGCTTATATCTATTTCGATTACAGAGAGCAAAACAGGCAAGAACCCGAACATATCATTGCAAGCCTCACCAAGCAACTTGGTAGCCAAACTCTTGGTCTACCAATTGAAATTCAAGAACTGCACGACAGATTGACTCCTACTCGTGAGAGGCCTACATATGAGGAAATCTTTACTGCATTGTTATCTACCTTTGAGTCATTCGATCGAGTATATTTCGTGATGGATGGGTTGGATGAGATTAAGGATTTAGGGAAGCGAAAGAAGTTCCTTGACCTATGTCATCGGATATCAAAATATGGCGTCCGATTTTGGTTTGCAAGCCGAAAGGACGAGCACTCGACCGATATCGAAGCCTCTATGAACGAAGCGGAGGCAGCAAGAATTGAGCTCCGAGTTGATCAAGATGATATCAAAAAATACATCTCGGAGAGGATTGACGGCACCCCGCGAGCCAAACGCCTTGTCCAGCAGGGCAAATCTAAGGAGAAAATCATTGAGGCTCTTGCCATGTGTGCCGGGGAAATGTGAGTTGAAATTAATCCGGGCCCTAGTTTTAATCCATTTCCTGATTTCTTTAGGATTCTACTTGTCCGTTTCCACCTAGAGTATATCTGTCAACAGACTACGGCGAAACAAATCCTACAGGCCCTCACAAAACTAAAAGGGATTATCGATAGAGAAGGCCCATTGGAACCAACTTTTATAAGGGCCATAGAAAATCTACGACGACAACCTAAGAACTGCTCTGACTTGGCCGTGAAGGTCCTTGTTTGGCTCGCTAAAACAAGGCGGACACTTACAGTTGACGAAATCCAAGTAGCCGTTTCTATTGAGGCAAGGCGAGAAAGACTTGACGAGCTAGACTTGCCAGACAGGACCACGTTGTTCGATGTCTGCGGTAGTCTTGTTTCAATTGATGAGCAAAGTGGAACTATTCGCCTCTCTCATGAGAGCGTAAACCATTTCTTAGCCAATAGCCCAAGCACTGTTCCAGAGCTTTTAGACGAGACTGTCACTGTGGCTTTGATGACTTACCTTGGGTTCGAATCTCTCTCTATCAAAATTACCAATGATGAACTGCCGGCCCGTCTCAAAGAACAGCCTTTCTTGAGTTATGTGGTGACCCAAATACAATACCATCTTAAACTCTGCCCGGAAGAGATCACCCTTCAATTGGTTCTCAGATTCCTTGGTATGCCAGTAAATATTTATTCATATCTACAGGCGGCCTCGTTTTGCAATGCGAAAATGCGGGGTGATATTCTCATTCCGGAATTCCCTTCGGAGCCCCTCGAATATCCTGACTTTCCAACGAAACCTGCACTACACGTCGCAGTCATTTTGGGACACTTTTTGGCGATTAAGCACTTAATAAAAAATGGTGCAGATCTCTTGGAGCGCGATTCCTGGGGCCAGACTGTAATCCACGAAGCGGTTTTGGCGGGAAATGAGAACGTGTTCTGCTATTTATTGGAGAAGGGTGTTGATGTTCTGAGGGCTGACGATAAAGACCAAACGGCACTGCAAAGAGCCTGCGATATAGGCAATGAAAGAATGGTCAATCTATTACTAGAGAAAGGGGCCGAAGTAAAAACTGTTGATGTCACTGGTAAGAATTGCCTTCACAAGGCAGCTTTGGGGGGCCACGAGGGGATCGTAAAAATATTACTCGAACGCGGCATTGATTTTACGGTCATTGACGAACGTGGACATAACCCCTTAATGGAGGCGGCTTCCGGAGGACATGAGGGAATAGTAAAAATCTTACTCGAGAAAGGCGCTGACACCAGTCTCCTTGATGTTAATTGTCGATCTATCATTCACTTGGCGTCACATGATGGACACCACAATGTGGTCCGGGTTCTCCTTGAGAACGGAGTTTATGATCTTTCACTCTTTGACAAGAGCGGGCAAACGGCACTTCACATCGCGGCGGCTCGAGGTCATAAATCTACTTTGGAGGTATTAGTTGAACACGGTGCCGACATCCACGGCAAGACCAGTGCTGGAGATTCTGCACTTCATCGGGCAGCAATCTACGGGCAACGAACGATAGCCATGTACCTCATTGGAGAGGGGCATGTAGATATCTCAGTCTTGGATGCGAATAATAGGACAGCGCTAGAGGTTGCTGAGATCGCTAGGCGCGACCAGTTGGCAATGGTCCTCAAGGGTAATGGTGCCGAGGAAGAGATTAAAGAGGCCATAAATCGTGAAAGACTAGTCCAGGTATTAAGAGGAAATTTAAATCCTGAAAATCCTGGTAATCCCAAAAACCCTGGTAATCCTATAAGTATTACTGGCAATCCTGAAAATGTGGATGTGGAGATGAAAGAAGGTTGAGGACAATTTTGGTATGTACTTGACTCCCAATGGAGTATTACCTATTTCGAACTTTCATGCTCATACGTCTTGATAGGATTCTTTTGGTAGCCTAGATATCATGTACGCATACAGAATGGGGGTCATAAAGTAATGAAACTGACATGATTTTTTGGCATTTCTAATCTTTCAATCTTCCTTATTTATATGAAATATAGATACTTGTATTTACTGCTAAATCGTTTCAAGACTATTCATGTCTTCTATTACATCAAAGTCCCACGCAAGGTTTTGGCTTTTTAATTAACGTGAGTATATCCACGATAAAGAGATAAAGAGCAGCCTTTGGTGTTAGTTATTAGTTTGAAGTGGCGGGCATTCACACTTCTATCGTTATTGAATTCTATAATCTCTAGACCTCATCACTTTAGTTTAGACAATCGGCATAGAAAAGATGGACCTTTTAAATTGCTGAATGAGGTAATGATTCATGTATCTAGATATCTACCATAGGCTGCTTAACCATATCGGGTTAGATCACATGATCTACGATTATGTTCGAGTGAGATTATGTGAGGCTTGGCGGGCCGTGTGCTTATTCCATTCTAAATAATAAAATGGGGTTTGAAGAGCATACATGTAATTATAGATAAACCAGGAGGTTTTTATATCATTGGGCAGGCATTAGGCTTCTCGTGCACTGTTAACAGATTTTTTGGTTTATATATTTGTAATCCAACAGCCAACAAAAATTACATGTATTTACCCCTTTCCACCGCGCACCATACTAGTACGGCCATACCACCTAATACAGCATACATACATGTAGATGTATGTACCTCTGTTATTATACATTTACATGTGAATAACCGTCCCACCCTATCACCCCCCCTTTCTCCACATACACCCACACAACACAAAACAGCGATGTAACATAAGCAGTGTCATTAATTACTAGGGACATATTTTTCTCTTTTTTGGCACATCCAGAATGCCAAGCCCACCAAGTAACTCATATCTGACCGAAGGAAAAGCTCGAGTCTACGAGGAAGCAGTGCGAGCGTTACAGGACCCAAAGAGACAAACAAGCTCCTCGACCACATCTCCAGTAGCAGTTGCAGCCGCAGAAGAACTCCCGCTCGCGGCAACAGATGATGCCTCCGCAGTAGCAGTAGCGGTATTAGAAGCAGAAGCAGAAGCAGGTGCAGAAGCAGAAACTGCGGCAGAAGCGGTGGCAGAAGTGGTAGCAGAGGCCGAGGCAGAGGCGGAGACAGAAGCCTCAGCCGTGGCGGTGGTAGTGCATGAGGTAGCGGCAGATGCAGCAGCAGAAGTTGTCGTAGCGGTATCTTCAGTGACAGCAACGGCTTTCAAAATATTAGTACCGAGGTATTACCTATGGGGGGTGTTTTTAAATAACTCACATTCAGCTGGAGCACTCCCAACTGGAGCAGCGACACCACCGAGAAGGGTGGATCCAACAGCGACCAAGTTCTCCTGCCCGAGAGTATTTTGGGTATAGCGAGCGTTGAACTTAACAACGCTCTTGATAGCATTGAATGTCTTGACGTCCAATGGTAGGGCTTGCTCAGTGACCAAGAATGTCAACCCTTCAGCACACGGGGGAGTGGTGAGGGAACCAGTGTATTGGAACAAAGGTGTGGTTTGGAGGTGGTCAATGAGAGGCGCGAAGTCGAGGGGTCCAGTTTCTGTAATGCTACCAGGAACAGCAATTTCGGCAATCTTCTCGGTGACGGCTGTCAGAAGCTCAGTCGTTGTGCCATCTTCTGTGAGCTGGAAGGTTACTGCTAGTACTGCAATTCCGCCAGAGCCATCTATAGTGATATTAGAACATATCTACCAGGGACTAGGTATCAAGAGAAAGGAAGATTGAACTTACCAGCTGCTTCATGCACCATGTGAATCTCCAATGGAAAATACTCCTCGGCGATTCTGTGCTCGCTTGGTGTATGGAAATGGAACTGTTTAAGAGAAAATTCCTTCCCAGCAAAGGTTGTAGTGCCATTAACAACTACCTCAATTGTGGTCCCTAAGTTTTCAAACTCTGCCGCCTCGACTGAAGCAATTGTAATCACAGGGGCCTCTGTTGCTAATGATATCGTATCGTCAATATTGATTGGAGATTGGACGGTCGAAGTTACGCAAGCCGAGTTCTCAGCTGCAATCCCCGCCCACCCCAAGGGGCCTACAAGCCCGGTGTATCCAAAGTTGGAAACTGCAACTTTCCCGCCTGGAAGTTCCTCGCGTTTGTGGAATGATGTACCGTGGATACAATTTGCAGACACGAGTTGCGAGCTTAACGCCGAGGCGATTAGGAAGATCTGTTTGATGTACATTTTGACGATTTTATAGGTGTTGTGAGTTTTTTTGGTTGCGAAACTTGCTACCGGAGCGAGTGAGGGCAGGACTTTTAGCTTCGAGGGTGAAAAATGGGAAAAGACCAGCGCTGCTGTCTAACGAAAGATATTTCTCCTATCTTTTGCGATAACGAAAAAACTGGTTGAGTATAAAAGATCGGCTCAGCCGGTTTGAAGAATGAAATAGGACTAAAAGAGAGAGAACAAAAGGAAACTGAAAAAAGAATACCACCAGTAGACGGTAAGTTGCAGAGTATTGTGTACAGAAGAAAGATTGTGAAGAGTGCCGCATTTGAGGGTGGAATATATCAGAACCATAGCCAAGAGGCCAAGCAAGCCAAGCGAAATAAACATAGCAATGTGAGGTTGTGAAGCAGCTGCAGAAGCAGAGCTTTGAAAATTTAGTGGGCGAGTTTTAGAAAAGCAAGGTGGATGTTTGGGTTGTGAAGGTAAAATACTTGGCAAGACGGAGGTGATATGTAAATACAATCTGCACAGTGGCAATTAAAGAGGGCGGATAAGTTATAACAGGCGCGATATAATATTATGGTACTTGCGACAAGAGCCTGTGTGTGTGTATGTTTGGGTTGCGGCGGAGTTTGAGAATACTCACGATGAAGCAGTGGCTTTACATCTGGCCAATACGAATGTCCCGTAGACTTGCCACTTCGAGATAATTAAAGTAGGAAGAGCCGCAGTCTGCCTAGACCTATCATAAAAGAAATTTCGCAGAAAACCCCAGGCGGCAAGCAATCCCAGGGCTGCCATCCGAGTAGCGAGGTTGATATCACAGAGACAACATGTGGGGAGTTGCTTGAACTCTGAATGGATCTGCAGAGCGATGATCCGACCCGAACTCCGTTAGGAGTTGTGTTCTCCACTGTCTCAAAGACTCTGAGTGGGGGTAGGGGTTAAGGGTGACTTTCAAGCGCTCTCACGGTTATTGTTTCGAAGCGCCCGGTTAAGCTCCTGCCAAAAATGCCAAAATGCTTGTTATATTAGCCAAGGCTTGTCTCAACTCACGATATCAAACATCACTTTCACGAGGAGTGCTTTATTGACACCATAAGATTCGGTAATGTCGGTTTAAATGTATATGTAGTTGATTGCCGACCAACACCCTACTCCTTTAAATTAACGTTATGGCGTCTGAGATTGCTTGCTTTTTCGGTTGTGTCCCGGAGTGCCCTATGTTGGATTTCAGGGCGATAATGACCCCGTATTGTTTGGTGAGTATTCATTTTCGATGAACTCGGATGGGCAAGTCTATCGAGAATTACTAGTATTTCCATGTGTTGAAACTGTTGTGTTTATCGTAAACAAATCAAAGGGCCAGAAGGAACTACCATAATAATTTGACTGGGCTCGGAGGTCGGCCTGCTGTTATCGAGCTGCTCCGATGCCTTTATGCATGGTTCATCTTGTTTGAACCTTTAGTATGGTCGGTGCCTGTGCTATTCTCAAGAGCGGATATAATAATTCAACTTGATTGTGGCGTGTGGAGCTTCTGATGATTGAATGAATATACAGGTACTGTATGTAAGGTATTAGTCGTTGCTATGAGAGTGTGAAGCTGGAATAGGATGTAGAGTAAATGCATGCACATTTGAGCGCTAATAGAGAAATCATGTGATTTCACGATTACTAACTACATGTAGTTAGTAGTATTGAATGGCCTATCAATCCCAACGACACGGTTAGTGTGGGGCATTATACGCGCAGTGACGCGACTCCTCCACAATTTCTTTCTTTCATCGGATTCTCGTCTACAACTCTCATCTTTACGCATCCTGGATAAAAAAATCGCCTGTACCTGACATGCCTATTGCTACATCGAAGCGCTCGGCCTATGAGTTCCTGTCGGACGAAGACGATAAGGATGACATCTCTATCGCTTCTAGCATCGTAGGCCGAAAACGCGCCCGCCGGGGAACTATATCGTCGGATGACAACCGCCACCATAATGACAACGGAGAGAACGAGGACGGCCAGGATGATGAAGAAGAGAACGATGATGATGAGGAGGATGAAGAGGAGGACTTGGAAATGGATGAGGATGGGACAGTGAAGGTGGAACTTGGCAGTATTCTTCCCCCAGCCGATCCGGAGGTTGAGGATGAGGAAGAAGTTCTAGGGAGAGAGGGCTTAGAGCTAGGCCCCAACGAACAGCCTTTCCAGCCTGGGAGTATCGTACGGATCAAGGTCAACAATTTTGTTACTTATTCACAAGTAGAAGTATTTCCAGGTCCGAATCTTAACATGGTCATTGGTCCAAATGGAACAGGGAAGAGTACGATTGTTTGTGCTGTTTGCCTTGGTCTTGGATGGGGTCCAGGGGTGAGTTTCAGACGTCTTAGCTTCATGAATATCATCTAATGTATCACTGGTTGAACCAGCACCTGGGCAGAGCAAAAGATATCTCAGAATTTGTCAAACATGGAGCCCAAGAAGCAAGAATTGAGATTGAGCTTCAAGGTCAACGAGGTTCCAGAAATCCAATAATAGTAAGAAGAATTATTCGGGAAGGCAACGCCTCAAGCTTTACTCTAGATGGTACGATTCACACAAAACCATACCTTTTTTCGTCTACTTGAATCGATTAATCCGGTTTTCTTCCACTATAGGCAAACCAATCAGCAATGGGAAATTGCTCAAATTCACAAGATCTTACAGCATACAAATTGACAATCTCTGTCAATTCCTTCCACAGGACAGAGTTGTTGAGTTTGCTGGGCTTAACCCAATAGATCTCATGAGAGAGACACAACGTGCTGCAGCT